CCTATGCGTGAAATACTAATAGATACTGAAATTGGTTCGTCACAGCAGTCATTCTACTACAACAACGCTCAAGTTATCCTTCTGGTCTCGCTCCTTTGGTGCGGACGTATATACCTTATGCAGCAACAGAGAGCTGAAAGTGTTTAACTTAGACCTTTGCTGAATCATCATAGACTTCACAAGACACTGATATCCCATAGACCAGTTGGTTCTATGACAGTCACATTAACAACCAATATGCCGTTCGGTGAGGACGACTGGCCCTCTGTTATCACTTGAACGAGCACCCAATACAGTAATAGGGTAGCATCATATTCATAGTTTGCCTGCCAAACTTGTACGGATCCGGAGGATCAACCCCAGAGAGCACGTCAGGGGAAATGCAAAGAACACTCGCTAACACACCCAACAACGGGAAGATTGCCGTTTCAGTGAGCAACAAGAACATGTAAACGTCGTTAGTGATTTGACAAAGACAAAGGACACATCTTTGGAAAATGGCGCCATAAGTTTTGAAGCATTCGCGTGTTGATCTTCAATTCGAAATGCTTCATGTGATTATTCGTGCTTACACCTCCCGTGAATTCTGCTAAGCACATCATGGTCAATAACATGACGATGATCTACTGCCTTTGGCATAATAGTTGTTCAGAACCTACCCACTGTTCAACCTGCGTCAATCTTTTCCCGAGGTACTCAGTATGACACAAGTATTACTGACAGCAGTACGCTAGATGGATGGTTGTCCAGCCTAAGGTTACATTATCCCCGAATTCCTGCCCCATCTATGTCTTTTCCCGCCCTTCGCGCAAAGTTGGTCGGGGCTTCTCACATATACGCTGCAGGGATAATTATGGGTATTGCGAAGCATACTGTAAGCTTATACCCTCAGCTATGTGAGGTTGATCCCCGGATCGGATTATCCTCTGGGAGAGATAAGGAGAGAGTCACTCGCGATGGCTTCAGGTTGTTTACACAACTCTTCATTGCATTGTTATTCTAATCTATAACCGGGCGAGCAAGATGTCTAACAGACATACGGCTCAGCTATCCCCTGGATTTTTTCACCATTTCCAAATAACGCGATGGTTTCGGGAATGCAGTTCAATTTCTAGGAAGGGGGATCGAACTCTTCACCCGAACTTAACAGCCAACCGAGTAGCCATGGCCAGTGCCAAATCCACCCCAACAGACACCAGAGGCCGTGTTGCGAGGAATGTAATAACTGTAGCCGCTGCTGCAGTCTCCGTTCCAGATGAACAGATCACATGAGGTGTCGAAGGCTTTGACGCTCTGGAAGCCAAATGCTAGAACGGAGTTGGTGAGAACGCAGCCAGCGCCTCCAGTGCATTGCGTGAATTGGCTGCCAGATGCAGAGCAGCCTGATTGTTCATAGAAAGTGCCGCTCCAACCGCACGACTGTCTCTCTTCAAGAGAGGCATTCTCGGTGCCTGCGGTTGAGTTGGTGCGCGGAGAGGAGATGGCGAGCTCGTCGCCTTCACAGGGGACGGGAATAGCAGGTCGGGCGTCTTTGTTGTATTCGACGGCAAGGACGGTGCTTGCATAGCCCAGGGCAAGGACAATGGTTGACTTGAGTGAAAGCATTTTGTTTGATTGGAGTAAAAAGGAATGATGAATGTTGCTTGATATAGGTAATTGAATGTAGTCGTATCAGTCAAAGTTCAATCGAGCTTGTCAGAGTTGGTCATGTAGCTGTAGTTCCGAGACATACTTGCTCTTTTATATGTAGATTCCCTGGAGACGTTGCTTGAGTCTCTGCTCAACTCGCGTTCCACAGCTGACTTACAAAGTACAAGGTTTCGCTCACAGTCGGTTTCGAATGCCGCGAAATAGATTCGAATGAAGAGACACGGTGAATAACCCACCAATGAAGACTGGCAAACTTACCTACACCGCCGTTCAATGAGAGCACTTTCCTATTATGTGTGTTGTAAGTAATACGGACTTTATAATGGTGAGATTCCTTCCCAAGTATGTCAGACAATGAATGGGACACGATATGAATCCCCGCTTTAGAGAATCTCGGCCGCTCCATCACATCAGGTAAGATAAGTCTTCTGCCTCCACCACGTGTTTTTCTCTTTCTTCACGTTGTGAATAAACAGACTGAAAGAAAAAGCATACCAAAATATCTGAAGTTTTGTGAAATTTTATAGAATGAAACTGCTGTCAAGTTTACCCCAATTATATAGAGCTAAAGGGCATATGTATCGCATACCTACTTTCCACGAGTACTAACAAAGGTTACTGTCCCGAGGAGTTGCGATGTTTTTGCGCTTACAAGATGGGGGCAAAATGGGCCAGCCTTGCAGAACCCTTTGGCCTCAATTGGTTGGCTTTGACGAAAGCCGGCATATGCCCGTCTGTGTCGGCTATCTATCGTATCATTATCCAGGAACCCGCCTGATTTATGTGCTATTTCAAGCTATAACTTTCGAGGCGGTTCAGCTGCCGGCCATCCATAGCGATGTTCCGTCCGCTGGGTTTCCATATCGGGTCACGGCAGTTGTTCACCGGAGGGACAGAATAAAGTACCTAGATATTGGTGTTACCCATAGCTCAGAGTCTAGCATACAGCAACATGGCATCATTCTGATTCCAGCAGGAGGTATATTGAAATAAGATAAGAAGACAGAGAGATTAGTTGCCCATTCATACCAATTTCGCCTCGCGCCCATCCTTTTAAAACGTGAAATTGACCGGGTTATCGTCAAAAAACTGGCCCAGCTCAGGGAAATTCATGAAAGGCAAGTCAGTAGCCAAATTAAGGATAGTTCCGGACATGTCGAATCCACGCCTTGAGTGCGATATATCCGGCGATACAGTAGTAATGCCAGCGGCTGACGACGTTTGAGGGAAAGATTGAGACGGCGACGCCATAGTCTGATTTCCGCCCAAAGAATACCCCATTATTCTGCGCTGTTGCTGGTCCCTCTCAGCCCCGTTGCGACCGGACAATACCGAAACCGCCAATGGCTGCTCAGATGCCCTTGCCCTGTCCATGTTTGTCCTGGAGCCATTGTCATAGCCTTGATCGGCTTCGAGTCGTGCAAATGGCATGGACCGATCAGGGCTAAACGTTGTTTGCGGTAGCGATGTCGTTCCATCAAGACTTGACGACATTTGTGATGTTGCCCTGCTGCCTCGAGCTCGAAAGCTATCCATGGCCTCGTGAATATTGCGTAACCGTTCCAAGAGGCGTTGCGAGACGGGTGATGTTAGTGACAGACGTTGAATCAGCTCTACGGCATCGAATGCATCCTGAAGACACGAGGCTCGATTGCCATCGTCGCTGATGCTGCCCAGCACCAGAAGCATCGAGGACAGGGCAGATTCGAGAAAGTGGTTGTAAGTCTTATGTTGTGCGTGATAAATATCGGTTTCGTCGGCGAGCCGAACCAAGGTACGAATTGTATCATGGGATACTTCAGCCAAGACATTGGCTGTGGACGAGTCAAGGTTATTTGATGCGAGGCGATTTGCCGATGTCCTGTGTATGATAATCCTCATTTGGTTGGCCCTCAAATACAGAAGCAGGCGGATTCTGTACTCTCCCCGGTCAACCCTTGTTGGCTCATACTTTTTGGAAGGGTCATATTGAAGATTGGCGGGCAAGTTGCGCTTCCATTGCACGACGCGAAAGTCGAGAAAGTCGCGTGTCGTATCAGACGCGGAGCCAGATATGGGTTCCAGTAACCATTTTCTCACATCTGATGAGATGCGACAATAGGAGACCATGCTTATCACGTAAGATGTTGAAGGTGAATCGTTCTAGTTCAAATGTTGTCCAGTCAGACTGAGGTTGCGGGTTTGATAGGGCAAAGATCGCTCACTCACCTCTAACATGGGATGTCGGTCAATCTCAGTGTCGTGAACCGCAAACGGCAAATCTGTGCCAAAACTCCAGCGGCGATCAAGTGTGTAGACACACCAGTAAAGCTTTTCGCCCGCCGCTGCAATCTGACTCCCCTCATGAAGACTCAGGTCGCCCGAATTTCGAGAGCTGTTTTCCTGAAGAAGCCGGAGAACATTGCCAATCGCTCTCCAAGCTAAGACTTCTCGGTCACTATGGAAGAAGAAGATGGCCTGATTCAAACCAAAGCGAGATTAGACGGGCACAATGATACGTGATCTTGGGTTCACTATCTACTTACAGCAAGAATCAGCAAGCACAAATCGGCGGCATTGATGGCGCTTTGAAGTTGTGTTTTTGCCACGGTCGTTGCGTATGTTTCTTCAACCCAAGAATTTGCTATCCCTATAGCTCGTGCATCTGCGAAGATGGATATGATGGCCAATATGTGGATCGCAATATTTTCGATCTGACTGCGGCTCACTTTGGTGCTCGACGGTGACTGTGATGACGGATGATGGCCATCATTTGAACTCCTCGGGCCATTTTCTGTGACCTGGCGTTTTAGCTCTTCGAGGTTAAGAAACGGATACTGAACACCAATTTCCTCTTCGTAGAATGAAATGATGCTGATCCAGCGATCGTTGTCGATGAAAGCCAACACGTTCCCAGGAGATTTGCTTGCCCGATGCAGGAGCAGCTGCTCAAGAAGATACGTGACAGGGACACCATCATATGGGTTTTGAGGTTTGGCCGTTTGGTTAGATGGAGGCCTCGCTGCAGTTAAAAGCTTCTCGGCCAGCTGAAGGTAATAGTCGGAGCTGAGCAGTCCATTGGCCTTTGACGGGGCTGAGGGCGTTGGGTTATGGGCAGCTACTGGATGAGGCTGTCCTGGGCGGGAGTCTGTGGAAGACGCAGCTTGCTGATTCACCGTATTCGTAGGAGAAGCTTGGCTCTCCGTCGCATTCCTAACGCGGGTAAGATACCTTACACCGGACATGATGGAGGCGAGCCTTACACTGCACGATTACGAGTTCGAAAGCGTGTCGTTCGGTCATAGAGGCAGGCGTGATTGCTCTCTCTGCAGGCTTTGCAGGGCCTCTCTCCGCTACATTTTGTCTTGCGCCGCTGGCATTCATCACTGAAGGGTGTCACTAAATAAAGAGTCGAGCGCCTCAGTGACTACGAGGACAGTCAATGCTTACCAAGCAACGCGCGTATATGAGTGTCGCCTCTTTCTCGTGGACGGCGCGTGGGATGATGATTTAGGAGCTGTTGTCGCCACGCCTCCGATTAATGTGTCTTCCATGTCGACAGAGGGGGAGATGAGAGGAGAGCACTGCAGTTAGTCAGGTTCTAGGTGTCTCCGGCGGCGATTCGCTTGCGGGTCCCACGAGCGCGTCTTTTGCTGAATGTCGACAAAGCTGCCGCAATGGAGGTTACAAGAGGGCCAGGTCATTTGATAACGTCGTGATAATTGGCCCAGACTATCTTGGAATCGCGCTGCTGCTGATGAGCTACATGGCAAGCGTTGTTCAGAAGACAGACAGCCTGTTGCTCACACTCGAGACGGGCTCACTAACCTGCAAACGCAGACAGTGCTGTTTCAGCAATTAATCGGACAAATAATGTTCCGCCTTCGTTGTGGTGACTAACCCAACTCACAATGGGGAGCATAGGGCGGAAAAGTCCGCCCTTCTCCGGGCCAAAAGACGAACATCCCAGGCTCTACGGAGTAGTTGACGTACCCACGTACTCCGCGTTATCCCACTCGTTCCAGCAAAGCGGCACTACGGGATATACCATCGGTAGATAAATGTCGAGGGTCTTAAGAGGACAGAATGTGGGTCACTGGCCGGCAAGTTCTTCTGAAGGGAGACTACGGAGGTTGAGATTGTTTATCTACGGAGTATACTAGGGAACTCTCAAAAACGCGGTCGGTTTTGAGACCCCCCTAGTAGTGATTTGGGATGCTGAAGTCGGCAGCTGCGACATACATAAGCATACTCCTATGTACATTGTATTCCGTCGTGGATTTTAACTAGATAGGTAGGGCATTAACATTGCAGAATAGGTTTTGTAAGAAATTCAGTGAACTCTGCGAATAAAAGATAATCCTTCTCAGGTTGAGCCGGAGCAACATGCAATATTACCCTATAAAGCTACCTTCTCCTCTACTGTCCGCGACGACGTCAGCTTCTACAACCCGTAATATAGCCCTGAAGATGTGATTTATTGGGATATCAATCTTTTACGCCGTATGGTCATATCTAATGAAGCCTTCGGTGACTCGAGTGGCTTTGACTCACAATGTGAGCATAGGTAGTTGCTTTTTGTCGTTATTCACATAACAAAACATCCACCTGTATCATGAAGAGGAATACAGTAATTAACCAAGTAAGGTGAGGCTACATCCTATCAGCTAATAATTTCATGCCGAGTTTTGCCTTCACGAGCCGGTTCCTCTGACTCCATCTTCGAACCCAGAAGTCTACTCCTCCGGTGCAGGCAGAGGCTTGTCTAAGCCAAGGCGCTGCAACGAGCTCGGGAAGTTCTTGGGATCGACATTGTCAGCGTCCACGAGGAACGTCTTGGGCGTCTTGTCGACCAAAAGACGGATCAAGTCGGGTCGCATGTAGTGGCCACCCTGTTTGCGCAGTTCGTCAGTTAGTGCAATGTTCGACGTTCACCCAATAGGCAGAATACATACAAAGTCAGCCAGGCGCTTGGTCAGGAGGTTCTCATCGAGATCGATGTCCACAATGAAGATTCCCTCAAAGTCCTTGGGCGGCTCCTGAACAGCGCGGAAACCATCTGGGCGGTAGATGCGTGCAAAACCATTGCCGATCACGGCAGCTTCGGCGTCAACAGCGGCTTCATCGTTTCGCAAACGCGGGGGAAGGTTAAGTCGGGCACCCTCTCGAGTGACGACTTGGCTGGGAGCGAGCGTCCAAGTGCCCGTTTCATACGCATAAGCGGGAGTCACGAGCTCAGATTGCACCTCAGAGATGTTTGTGTAGGGGTCGGGGTACTGCAGAGTGGATGCGGGAGGGTAAACGGGCCAAGCAGCAACGTGAACCTGCTCGTATTGAGCGCAAGCGTTTGCCTTGAGGAAAGGGTTCATCTGGAGGGCGTCAACGAATGAATCAGATGGGATATAAGGCCAATGGTAACTCACGTTCTCCCAGCAGTTGAGGTGGCCAAGGTTACCGATCTCAGTTTCGACCACACTGATCAAAGAGTCGCCAGTTCCCTCACCAAACACGAGCTTCTCAACATGCGTGGGCTTGATCTTGCGGCGGTGGTTGATGACATCGCCACTAGGATCAATGATAATCTGGGCAATATACATGCTGTTGCCCTCGATCTCGGAGTAACCTAGCGACACATAGATTTGAGCTTTGCGGGCAGCAGATCGAATGCGGCGCATCTCTTCAGAGTCAGGACGCAGACTGTTCTTGTGGTACTCTTTGAGCAGAGGCAAAGAGTCTTGGTAGTTGACGCGCCATCCCCAATAGGTGTATCTATCATTACAATCAGCTCCAAATCTTGGTTACAGTTGTCAGTCTCGGTATCTCGTACCCAGGAATCCCTAAAAGAGGGTATCAGCGTAACATCCTCGACTGTTGATGCATCAATGTACTCACACAACTCAGGAAAAGCGATAAGCTTGCACCCCTTCTCACCAGCCTCGGTGATGAGCTTGATGGTCTTTTGGACGGACTTTTCCAAGTCGAACCAGCCTGGCTCGGCTTGAACACAGGCAGCCTTGTACTGACGGATAGTGGCAACCATTTTTGCGTTAGACTGATGGTTTTCAGGAGAAGAAGTTATGGCGTAATGAACTGATGAATGAGTTGTTGATGGGCGCTCTCTCAGGTTGTAGGAGGCTTGGATCCCGTCGTGATTTATATATTGTGTTGAAGCCACGCTGCCCGGCTCCATGGCCGCTCCATTCTACAATCTACAACCTGAAATGCCATTCTGACAGCCTCGTGGAGTTGCAATTACATGCCGCAGACGCCGCCGCTGTCCTCGGCCATCGGAATCTCGGTGATCTTGTCAATATTGTGGTGTTGACGCAGTGAGCACATATTTCCTTCAGGGAGTAGTCGTTCGAGTCGAACCACTGGCGGCATCCAAGCCCGTCCTGTTCCACGCATCCCGCGTAACCCTGGTATAGGATGTGTTGGATGTCTTTGCCCGAACGTTTAACAATCACACGTTCTTCATGCAGTGCTCCCCCAAGAGTGCCTGCTGATTGCCGTCGAACCCTGCAATGTCTCCAGATTGCTTGCGACGTTAATGGACTCGAAAGGCCATTAACAGGCCGCATACGCCGCAGTTGCCGCAAATGCAGGCCCATGCAGGCCGTATCGCGGGGCATCATACTGAAGAAGAGAGAACCATTGAAATTCTTCTAGATAGGTCGAATAACGATAACCAATATCGTTGACGATTGTACAAAGAGCTCTGGATATCTGGCTACAGATGCTATCGGACAAGAGCTCTGTAGAGACAAAGTTTTGGGTAAATACCACTCCCACTAAGATGAGGTTGATTCAGCCTGTTAGGCGATTGTGAACGTTGGGCCAACGAAATGGAGGGGTCAACGAAAAGAAACCGACAGACCGGCATTGAGAATCCACAATTAAGCCCATCAATCGGAAAGCTTGTTTAAGGCTGTAGTGTCAAGCCATAATGCTGGATCGTTGACAGAGAATACGTACGCGAGACCACCGGAGATATGTGAATCATAACGGTAGAGGTGTGATAGCCTGGAGAAGAAGGCCATAGCGAGCGCATCGTGTAGACACGGTTACAGTCACCAGTGCCCATCGAGAGAGAATGATGAATAGCTGTCCATTGAATGATTGTCTCTCCTGCTTTTCTGTCTATTGCTCCATGGTATAACTATCTGAGAGCACATTGTTGTGCATGTCTTATCGCCTTTCTCTAATAACGAGACCCCGCTTGTTCTTGTGTCATTATGTATGATTCGCAGCCGAAAAGCTCCATTGTAATGGACTTCAGAAAGAGGAGATCCGGCTCTGGGGGCCGCTGGCTACCTTGGCTGGACGTATGAACCCGACGCGGAGCTTGGTCACCAAATGTGTATGTCCTTGATAGCACACACTCACGGCTCACTGCAACACAAAGGCATCTTCCAGTGATTTGTGCTGCCATTGCCACACAAAGCCCTGCCAGTTGTCTTGAATGTGTCACAGAAGTGAGATACTAGGCCGTCCATCACTGCCGCGATTGTACTCTTTTGGTCAACAACAACAACGACAATAACAGGGTCCGTTGTATCCTGTACGTAATGCCACGGCAGATCTGAGACGTCTAACGGGAAACATCGCCACCCCCTCGTGGGATCGAATCGGGAATATCGGGAACTGTTCGGGTGCGCGGCGAGAGGCTCGCTATCTTCCGAACAATCGTCGCACATAGCGGCAGAGCGGCCAATTATGGACGAGACTTGGGTTGCTGGGGATATAATTCTGGGGTCTGCTCAACAATGCCGCTTGTCTTTCGGCTTAGCCATTCAGGTTGACAAGTGCCGTACTGAGGTTTGCAGCTGCTAGTAAATGAATAGTTTCCGAAACCAGGTTGCGGTAGGCTGTCTCTCGAGCTTTCAGAGAGAGGTTTTACATCAGGTCAGTCCTGATTCCTTGCGGTTGTTGTTCGCCGCATCCATCAAGACTACACCTTGAAATACCTATCATCATTGGACACTCGGGTATGACTCGAGAACAATGATAATAACACTTTGAGAAGCAAAAGCTGACAATGGTTACAATCTGTGGAGTGTCGCCAAAAGACACAAGGTGCGTTCCAGAAAATGGTATGTCTTCAAATAGCCAAACTTTGCTGCAGATAGAGTAGAGGGGAAGAGCTTTGTGCTGGAAGTCACTCCTGAACGCCTTCATATCACCATCCTGATACCTCAACGTTTCCTGGAAATCCCTCCCAAAAGCCCTGGGTTGCGTCGGCAAACGACGCCTGCATCGCAGAGTCAATGTCGAAATGCGTATCAAAAAGATCGTAATCAGCAGGCGGTACCACGCCAAATTCGTGTGATATCAGCTCCGTCTCATTTGGACTGATTTCACTTGTGTCCAGCTCATTCGGATTCATCTCGGTCGTGTCCATTGCGTTCGATTTCAACGCGCTCGTATTCAGCTCATTCATGTTGACATCTTCCGTTCTCATTTGTGCTTGTTCAGACACAACCTGTCCGACGTGTAAGCCATAGGCTAGAGCGAAAGCCTCACGCATAGAAATAGACGTACCATGGCATCTTCTTCGCTGCAACTGTCGGCTGGCTGAACAGGAGATGGTTGCAACGCACCATAGTCGATGATGGCGTTGCGCATCTCTCGGCGAGCACTTGGACTCATGGCCTGATTGCCCTTGGACTTGACATTGCTATAGAATATGTGCATTGCCTTGATCGTCTCACGCTAGACAAAGAAAGGGAAATTAGTGACGATCCTTTGTAGCGGTATCAAGAGATTTGGTAGAGACCGACGTACCCAGGTGTCAGCCATTGGCCAGGCTTGCCTCATGTCCTTGAGGAAAACACATCCATCAATGATGCGCTGCCTCCAGCTTTCAATCTGCGGATCACCCTCATCAACGTGAGGGAAATGCCAGAAATACAGCAATGTTCCAATCGCTGTGTAAATGGTAAAGCCTATCCAAGGAACCAAGCCGCGCAAAAAGAAGAAGCCAAATCCACGGATGTCCTGGAGCATTTCGCACACCTGGTCAGCAACTTTTGCAAGCTCTTTGCAAGAGAACTCAGTCCACTGGTTCCTGTCGCCGTTCTCATGCTCCGCTTCCTCGTGCATTTCCAATTCGGGCAAATATGATCGATAGAGGAATATGACCGACATGAAATGGATGCAGTGCATATAGCAGTACGCCTGTCCTTGATTCTGGACACTGTGGGCGTGCAGTAGAGACAGATCATAGCGCAGGCGAGGAGGTAATGAGTCTTTCCAGGCGTTGAGCCGTACAAGCAAGCGCTGGAGTTCTGATTCTGCTTGCCAGGGAGGCGTGTTGTTTGGGTGCGAAGAGCAAGACCATTTCGCGACGGCACCCCAAATGTCAGCAACCCTCATACTGTAGGCGACAATGCCCATGTTTCCACGCGGGAGTTTTGCAGTGCCATCGGATCGAAAGCCTTCGATGAAGGGACAGAGGACCGATTCGCCGAAGATGAAGTTGCTCGTATCGCAGGGCAGCTGGATCTGCATGCTATCCGCAGAAAGCAATCGCTCACGTCCTTTGCCGCCGCTCAAGAGGCTGTCCATTAGAAAGCAAGTCCAAGCAGTTCGCCGTCGTTCCTCTCCGTGGATGAAGTCTTGGGTGTCCGGAGACGTGACTGGCGTATCTTCGAATAAACCCATGATCTGGGCCATCCTCACGGCCATTCCGAGGTACACCCATGCGCGTCTGCCTTCGCCCGACCCCCATGAATGGCCCGTGAGCATGAGAAGAACCTGTATCCGCTGCAAGCTCGGTTCATCGATCGACGGGAGAATAAGGGATCTGGTGTGCGCGGCGAAATAGTTGCTAGTTTGGATCTGGCTGGAAAACCCCTCGGGAGGTTTCTGAGAGAACCGCACGGTAATGGCCAACATCGCCCAGGCAACGGACCGATCCAAGGTTTTGTTCCGGATTTGTGCAAAGAAAGTAGGCATGTGGTGGAAGGACCACTTGTACGAACATCTCATGTAGCTCTCCTTGACTTCATCCGTCACGTATTCCAGAGGGTCCTTCTCCCATAGGTTGACCTTGGGCTGCTCGTCCGGGTCATCTGTAGCCTCGCCTTGAGGCCCGGCGGCGGCGGATAAGAGGGAAGATACAGTGCTGACATCGGTTGGCAGGGCAGACGATGCAGCACGTTGCTGGCGCTCAAGCCGTGAGCGTCGGAATATGAAGGAGGTGCCTTTGGGAGGGAAGATGCATTCATCGCCTCGTTCCTTGCAGCGGATACACGGCGGCCCACCAGAATGAATGCACTGGATTAATCAGCAGGGATCAGTAAGGCAGCATCGACATTGACTCACTCGTCTCTTCGAAGTTCGACATGCGCCGCAAGCAATTGATTTCTTCATCACCGCGGTCGTGAGAAGCTCATTTTCTGGAGCGCACTTGTGTGGTTACGCGGTGTTAATGAAGATTGATAAGAGCTATGGTGAAAGTGTGCGCTATATGTTCGCTTTCACATGAGGCGGCTGTTGGGATAATACGGAGTGCTTGGTATTCGTATGATGAAAACATCCATGAATCTTCTTCCAGCTCGGCTTCATATTGGCGCCGTACTCGGCTTTGGTGAGCATTTTGGCGGATGAGGATTACATAATTGTGACAGCGACCCAAGGAGGACAAGAATTTGTTGCCTGAGGCAGAGATTTACATGTATGTCGGACATCCCCTCGTACGTTTTTGGGGGGTGATCGGATTTTCCTATCTTACTCTTTGTCTCCTTTCCGGTTCACTCATTATCAATGTAATTAAATGGTTTCAAAAAGATCACTTCTAGCAGCCGTTGCCTGTACACTGACACCAGAAACGCTGTCGTGCGAAATAAACGGGAACCGTTTGCCTATGGGTCGGAACGATGACATGTACATGTACATGCACGGCATATGAATCTCAGTCATGGGACGTTCTGGGAGCCATCTGGCATAACTCAGTTTGCACGCTCTACTATTGGAACCATGTGGGATATAGAGGCGAGGTACAGTCTATTCGGCCGAATTTTGAAGTAACGAAAGGAAAAACAGAAAACCAAAATGCCCCCCAAAAAAAGACCCCCATATTGGATATATATATTCCACCTCTATTGACCCTTGACAAACCCCAGCCGACCCAAATAGCATTACACATTATCGAATTAAGCAATCTTACTGGTCCATTCTTCTTCAGAACTCGTCGTTGACGTTGATGATAGCAGGGGCAGCCAGCGTGGCAGCAGGAACGGCATCAGGGTTGGTAAAGTTACCGCCATCGGTCAACGAAGCGATAGACAGGCCGAACATGATGTTTTCTTCAAAGGGGAAGAAGGCCTTGAACGTGACCTTACCGCCATTCCACTTGAAGTCCTTGACGGGGACGCTGAAGGGGACCAGCTGGCCGCTGAAGTAGGTGACGAAGAGACCCTCGCCATTGCCATTACTGAACTTGGCGGCGTTCTTGACTGAGCTCAAATCGGCGCTGTAGTTGAGCCACTGGTCCTCGGGGCGGACATTAAGGGCAGCGCTACCGCCCTCGACGCTGAGCTGGGTGAAGATGGGCACGCCCAGAGCGTTGACATCAAAGGGGCATGAGTTGGGAACAATGAAGTTGTTGTTGAGGAAGGAATAAGCAAACGGGCCGACGTTGGTAGTCAGGAATGGCTTCTCAGAGGGGACGGCGCCGAGGAGAGTCCGGTAAAAGCCGTTCTGCTCTCCTTCCTGGCCAATGACAGATGCCACGCCGCGCACAATACCGGCATCTCCCGCAGCGGCTGCGGCCTGGCTAACATCTTGGAGAGTGCCCATGACGACGGCGGTGAAGGCCTCCGCTACGGCAATGGCGTCATGGATGTTGGTAACCGGGAAACGGTACTTGCAAGGCAGAGGAGCAAGCTTCTTGAATTTGTTCAGGGCGTTGAGCGCATTGAGGGCGTGGAGCTCTTCTTGCTAAGGGAGAGAAATATCAGGTATTAGTCTATGATTCGGTCAAGCCAGAGCGGCAGCTTCTTGTGGAACTTACAGCAATAATGACATTAAGAATCTTCTCCAGCTCGGCCTTTCCATAGCCCTTCCACGACTCATAGCCGGGGACACCCAACGTGACATTGGCAAGCAGTGACTGGAAGTAGGCAGTCTCGAACTCTTCGTTGAAGGCGATCACTTGGAGTGACTGCAGCGTGCTGTCGGCAAGCGTGGCTGGCGGAGGAGCGTTTGAGAGAGAGCCATCAGCTCTCTCCGAGATGGCTCTCAGCTGCTGAGCATTGGGTGTGGGGAAGCCATCAGCAGCCGCAGCGGTGGTTGTGCAGTCTTTGCTGTTGGGGGGCCAGGTAGCGGCAGAGGATCCAGCCAGAGCCAGGGCAGAGGCAAGAACCTTGGTAAGCTTGGCCATTGTTTCTGGATTGGTTTGTGTATGATGAGGTACAGGAGCTGTGTGTATATTATGTCAAATCAGGGCGATGAAGTTGATCAACAGCTGCTGTTATAGTGCTGACTGCTGAAGCTGTTGTCGTGATAATGGTGATGAAGGTGGTGATGAGATCGGGACCGACGAGATGGTTATATATATGCATGCTTCCAAGGGCCATCACCACCTAATTCCATTAGGCTATGACTACACATCATATCCATCATTTCCCAACTGGCGGACCACGCTGCTTCCGGATAGCTTGTGGCTTCTTCCCCTCAAAGCCTCTCTAAGCCATTCAGCCTGGTGCTCCCATTTTAGACTACCTGACCCCGGAAGCTAGGATTGCCGATTGTATATAGTACTAGTCTGGCAGCAGTCAAGGGCCCGGATGCGTTGGTAAGCGGATGACTACTGGCTGCTGACTGCCGACTGCCGTGCTATTTTTGGTGCTGTTGGAGGCTGTGGCGGGTGTTTCTGCTTCTTCCTGTCGAAAACTACCTTACGTTTATTAACAGCCCTGCTCCAAGGAAAACGTGCGCAGCCGTGCCCCGGCCCTGATCGAGCCCGAGAAGCGCGCGTTTTTGGCGCCTGGTTCACAGGATGGCCTGGCGCAGCCTAGATGGATTCTGTTTCAGAAAATAAACAAACCAACAAACATGTTTCTACAAGTTCAATGTTGACAGCTGCCAGCAAAACAGACTTTCGGCCTCTTTGTGTGCGCCTTAGCGTGGTATGAGCGAAGGCCTGCTCGCTTGCAGTAGGCTCGATTGTCATTCAGTACCTTATGTAGGACGCAGACTTCACATTGAATGAATTTCTTAGTATGTACCCAACACCAATGACTTGGGCGGCAAAAGTTAGAATCGTCAGGTATGAGTGGATGACGATGATGTTACGATCCGCACGGGCTGATGTGTGTCTCGCCAGCTACTTGTCTCAAAATTTGTCACATCTACCAAAGGTACTCTGAATAAAGTCTTGTTGAGTTTGGAGACAGCCACACCTACACACTTACACTCTCTTTCAAGCTTGTATCCTTGGTGATCGTTGATGCGTGTGGTCCATGGCTGTGGCTTTTCCAGCGCGCCGTTCTCGTAGTGGACTATTCTCAACACGCGCGCTTTTTTTTTCTTTCTTTTTTTTCTTTTTTTTGCAAAACATCAACCTTCCAGACCACCCATCCGCTCGTCAAACAGGATTCCCCCCGTCTTGCTTTGGCATGCCTGTCTGAGGATATTCAGGGCGATGCCAAACAAACCGCCCCAGAAATGCATGTGCTGAACTAAACACAAATGAATCCGCTTCGATCTATAACCCCTGCTCTCCACGCCTCGATGCAAGTCACTAGTAATACCTAAGCCAGCTCGCCTTCAGGCAAGAATCAGCTCGGAATGCTCTGCTTCCGTCACAAGCAAGGAGTCCATGCGTTTAAGCTTTGTGTGGCGCAGTCGGATCTTCAAGATGGAAAAGGTTCCCGACCCTCCGCAATGTTCCTCACAGACTTCCGAAGACGGACATCAGTTCGCTATGTAATACTACCACGTCGCTTCCCTCAGCTTGCGATAGAAACATTGAAGAAGCAGTCCATAATTCTGACTCTCTGCCTTGATTTCTCTTTTTCCCGAAAAATCTTACGCAAAAGGGGGGGGGGATAAAGTCTTTGTGCACCACCGTCCATGGCACCAACCCAACGAGGCCACACCAGGCCGCATGCCAACGCATATCACACTTCTCTTGTCATCAGTTTGCATCTGCATACCGCAAGGGAGCGTCACATACATAAAAGGGAGCCGCCTGTCCCATCCATTCATGGCAGAGCAATAGTGTAAAGAAAGGTGCTCACTTGATGTTGCGGACGACCATTTTCTGTGACTTTGCCAGCATCTCAGATTTTAGTAAGCCTCTACAGCTGTTGTAGGTCATAGTCCGTCAGCCGCCACATATAATGATTCGACTGTGCGACTACTCCCAGATAGTTTCTTTCAATTTCATTATCCTTGACTAGCTCCCCCATGAGCTGCAAGGGAATGTTTATTCGGCAAACCGGCTTTCTTACCAAGTGCCGTTTTTAAATAGAAATTTTGAGCTAGGTTTTGCCCTTAGACATCTATCAATATCTCCTGCTCGAGGCTCTACGATGTCGGCGTCACTAGGACTTGTCCAATGAGTTTACGGGGTAAATCTCTATAGCAAGTCTATACAATGTTTCCCCTCTAGATATTCTCACACGTAATACGACCAAAACCTCTGGACCTTTATGTGTGCACTAAGGCTGCAATTACCCAGCCCGTGGGTCCCATGGGCGGCCCAATGGGCTTATCCAGCCCATTAGGTAAGCCTAAAAATAAGTGGGTTTGCCAAGAACCGCCCATTCTTATCTTATCATGCCCAAAAGCGTGGGCAGGAGCCGCCCAAATGCCAAGAGATACCTTTAAGTATGCTATTTTAAATCTACTAAATAATAACTTTTATTATAAAAAAAGGTAAAAAAAAAATTAAAAAAAAATATAATTAATATTATTATATCTTAATATATATAAAAATATTTTTTTTTTTTTTTTTTTTTATATTTTATTTAGCTTTTTTTTAATTAATATAGATTTTAGGTAGAATGTAGGGTAATTGGGCTGGTGGTTATCGCACCTTATCACAAAGCCGCCCAATTTGGGCTAATTTAGGCTTGGGTAATCTGTGGGCTGCCAAGCCGCCCAAAACCTACCCATGGGCTAAATTTTTGGGCTAGCCCATGATTACCCATGGGTTATTGCAACCTTAGTGTGCACTATACACGAAAACATTGAACCGGGGCAGGATTGAACCAAAGAGGTAACTTGGAGAAACGTCAACCCAACCAAAACGGACCTCTATTGCTGCAAGCTTTTCATTTGTACATACAAGGGGCTTTCCAACTTGGGTGAGATGGAAGCTGCTGTTGCTTTTGAGCCCTGGCGTAACGGTTGAGATTTGATGTCATTATTACGCCACAGAGTTACCGACATCGAGAAATTCTACGGCGTAGTTCTCTAAGAGAATATGCATCGAAACAACTCCTTACCCCGCATGACGGATATAAAACAGACTGCTCGCGGAACTTTATTCAGCGCCGTGGCTGTCGCCAGTCAACTGCTCATCGAAACGAAATCGCAGTATACAAAGTATCGCCATGCCGTCGGCTTCTGAGAGGGCCAAAGCAAAGCTCGATGCGGTGTTGAACGATCCGGGACGCAATGATTGTTCCCGTAAGCCCATGAGCAAAGTCGTGGAAAATATGCCTAACGTCATACATAGATCGGTCGAATCGCATAGCGACGACACGATATGCTGCGGGCTGTGGTGTAGTTAACGCTGTTCCGCGTCGTCCCAGCCAGAGCAGCATAGAAAGCGCAAATGGTGGTGTCAGGAACAGGCTCAAGCGTCTCCTCTCGCTGCCAGCATACTGATCGATGATGATATGAAAAATGAGATGAGTGGTAACGCTGTCGACGATTATCTGAGTGTCTTCTTATGCAGGGTGCGGTCAATACAAAATTGCTTGGGGCTTTGGCAACATATGCTTGCTTTCTATCGTATCTCCTCGATTAGTACCAAACTTATCAATGGTTGAGAATCCATCTTCAAGTCAGAAGAGGCGTACACCTTTGTCACTGATTATCACTATGTACAAAAGCATGGTACCGGGCATGTTACCGCCTCTACACTCTTGCTGAAACAGCTTCCAATTGGTGAGCCAATGACACCGCCAGGCTTTAAGCTCTTCTACATTTTAGGACGTCCGTCTCAATTGATTGCGTTGTATATGATCTTCCAAAGACTGTTACCGATCCCCCCACGCTTCATAACTGTAGTGACAAACAGTCGCTATTCCATCTTGGTGGCCGTCTTTCAGCAGAGCTATATCTTATGGAGTTGTTGACCTGGCAATGCTGCCTTATTTAATTCAATTGCATCGCTTCATGCTCTTCATCTACACAATTGAAAGCAATCAAATGATACCCCTTTATTGGCAGTTTTCTTTCTCTCGTGATAAGACGTCGCCACTTGGCCACATGTTCAAGGCGGTATCGAACAGCTTCATGGAGCGCTATAGGGTATCAGCACGCCTGAATATAACCTAGACAGCCCGCGAAGAAAACGACGGCATCTTTTTTGCATCGAAATATCAGAAATTAAAGAGAGAGAAAATTCTAAGGTCAAATCATATCTGAACGGCGAGAACATGGCTGTCCTTCAATCACTGATGCTCAGACATGCCTTGTTTTGCTATATCCGTGGTTATCTTTCCGATTTATCCTAACAAAAAACGGACTCGCACGAAGTAAAGTCGCACTTCCAGACCTCTTGAGCAGTAAATGGCAGGTTGAATCCCAGTCCAAGTTGGGCATCACCGCATTAGTTGTCTGTCCATAGCGAATAAAATGTTTAAAAAGGGCCGTCGTCTCTGGCTTACAATATTGGGTTAACGGGTTGTCAATATATGGTACCTCGTAATAAGATGCCCTGCTGAGGAACTCGATATTGAAGCGCACACCTGGAGTTGCTGGGCGAATGGTTTGGTTGCTGAAGTAGTTCAATCGCATATCAACTGTTGCATTTGGCAGGCAATGGCAATGACAACGGCAGCGCCGCCACTGGTACAATTTAGTTCGCAATTTCCCATCATCATCTCCATTCTCAGTTGCACTCTCGACCATATGTAATTGGAAGCAGATGGCCTGATTGAATCTCTCGCGGATCGGAATATTGATAGCCCTGCCTTGGCGCGTTTCGGCTCCTGAAAGCGGGATGCAGTCAGAATCATCCTTTACTGCTTTCAACTTCCGACACTCTACCAGCCTTGAGCCGCTCTCCGCCAGACGAATTTAGCGGAGTGACAATGCCAAAGACGTGCTGCTCTGGGCGAGGTCATCGGACTTTGACCTAGAAGATATGAAGGCCAAGCAAGGTTGCTGGACATGTAAACGTGAGTTCATTGTTCTTTAGCTCACAAGCTCCGGCGGCATCCGCTCGGACGCCTTGCTGACAGGCGCCATCAAAGAGCGGAAAATCGGGTGTGACAGGGATCTGCCCGTGTGCCACAACTGCACACGCACGGGCAGACAATGCCTGGGCTACGGGCTTCGTCTGCTATGGCCGGATCGCCATGATGGTCGGCGCAAGAACAGCGGCTTCGTGGTCTACGAACCTCCGGAGAACCCGCACGAGTCCTCCAAGAGCTATGGAGTTCACTTTCTCAACGTCAACCATAACGATGTCGCCTCATCGCTGGATCCGACATCTTACAATGCCCTCGTTGCGAAAACAGTTGCCAAACCCACCCGGGCTCTCAATCTCTATCCGACAATGATCGGCCAAGATGCTGTGTTCATGTCCTACTGTAAGAATCCAACTAATCCTAGCCAGATCATATTTTCTCATGAACAGGTAATTGACCTGCCCTGAAGATGAACGCGTTATTGCTCCGATGATATCGACCACTCAGGTCCAGAACGGCTTCCGGACGGATCTTGTCCAGATGGTACTATCACGGGGAGACAGCGCAACAAAGGCACTATGGAACTCGATGATGGCCGTTGCCGCCTTTCATCACAGCGGCACCGCAGCAGCTCTTACATACAAGACGAATGCCGTTCGCTACCTATCTGCTTCTTTGACCCCCGGACACGAGACGAGCTCGATCGATCTCAATCAGACGCAGTTTGCCGCATCCATGATGCTGTGCATCTATAGTGTAAGTCGCTGGTGGGATGGGCTCGTATGCATTTGTATGCTAACTGATTGCAGGTATTTGATGAGACCGACGGCCACTGGACGACACACCTCGACGGTGCCAAATATATGCTGGAAGGATTGTATCCGGAATATCGAAGGCAGCTCAAGGCAGATTTCCTCTTCACCTGGTTCCTGTATCACGAAGTATTGGCGTGCTTCAGCCAGCCTCTCCGACAAGCCCACAACTGCATTGATGTTCTTTTCCTGTTGGGGGCTTCCAACTGCGATGCCACAGTAGTGAGTCTCGGCAATGCCGTCGCATTCCTTCTCTCTGCCTACATGTGGTATATTCCGCTAACACGAGTGGCTGGCAGATACTTGGAGCTCTGGGGTGCTCTTTGGAGACGATCGCAATCATCCACCGAATAAACAAATTCCGCATAGCTATCATACAGAAAGAGGTCGACCCTCTATCGCCCAAGCTGATCCAGCAACGTTTCGAACTGGAGCATACGCTGCACAACCTTGTCCAGAGACTTGATCCCGAAGGCGAAGCTGGTGAGGTACCAGCAAGGCGAACGCGCATTCTAGCCACTGCAGAGCTTTACCGCATAGGGACGATTCTGTATCTGCTCCACGTTATCCCTTTGCCCGGAGACGAGGAGGCAAAGGCAACTTATCTGGAAGAGGTCTTTGACATATTGGACCGCCTGGGAGTCGCGACCAGCCCATGGCCTATCTTCATGGTTGCATGCGAATGCCAAACGGACGAACAGCGCATCAGGATTCTACGTATTTTGGATTTGATGAACAACGTGAGGAATATCGGCAACATTCGGGTGATGCGCAATCTTATAGAGACTTGTTGGAAACACTACGACCTTCAGGCTGACACAACGTACATGCATCGCACGAAATGGTGGGAGTTTATTCATTATGAGACGGCAGTTCCATGGTTTATATGATGACAACACCAATCTAATAGTAATTATTCATCCTTCACAAACGAGAACTAGCCTATTTATCTCTTATCGTGACGAGCTTAGCGACCGTCGGGTTAACAAGAAGGCTCAAGCAGATCTGGTCGAGCAGAGTGACCGGCAACATCAATGAATATCTTGGCCTTGACAATGTCGCCCAGAGATACATCGGCCTTGAGGATGCCTTTTTCGCCATCTTCAATCGGTTCACACAGCGGCTTTCCATCAGCACCGAAGATTTGGGAGAAGCCACCGCCGGGCTAAGTCAAACATATCCCAATCAGCGAGATGGCCGCATAATCAGGAGCGGTTCTGCGGGCTGACATACGACTTTCGTGACGGGACCAATATGCTACTCTTTCCCAGGCCCTTCTCCGTCAGAATTTGCGACGAGTAGATGACAATAGTGGCACCCTCAATCGCCGTATTCTGGCTGATGCGGCTACTTGCCTCGGCTGTCTCATGGTAGAGCCATGCAATTTTGTCAGGTTCCGGCATGCCGAAGAAAGAAGGCCAGCTCGAGACGTGGATCTGTACTCCTTGCGTGTACTCGTAGTACCGCAGCAAAGGATGCAGATGCTCCCAGCGGTTGAGGCCGCCAATTCTGCCAAACGGTGAGTCAACCACGGTCTTGAGGGACTCGGCTTGCCCTTCTCCCCAGATGGTGCACTCTGCATGGGTGGGCTTAATCTTGCGGCGGTTGTGGTCAATCTCTCCCTCGGGCGAGATGAAGGCTTGCGCAATGTAAATGCTGGAATCCTCGCGTTCACTGTAACCCAAAACGACAAACATCCCGGCCTCCTTAACGGCGGCCATAATTCGCTTCATCTGGGGAGAATCTCTGGTCATGGAGTTTGCGTGGTATCGGGGAAGCCAGGTGGCTTGAATGATGGGCGCACCACACCACATCTGCCTACGTTTCAGACAACTCGCCATGTCAGCATAATGAAGCTCCAGTCATGAGGGTAGCTCCATGCTGGACCAAGGCAATTACCATGGATAGCGGGAATTCACACCTCAGGAAACCCGAGAACTTGAACGCCGTCTGTGGCCGCCTGCTCGATGAGCTGGATGGTCTTACCAACACATCCATCGAGATCATGCCAAACTGGCTCTGACTGGATGGCTCCGACCCTGATGATTTCTCATTCACGGGAGCTGTGTGTACTGTGTCTGCGGGCAGTTGCTCCCTGGTTCGAATGGTTCTGATCTGTATTGCAATGTCAAGCTGTTGTTAGACAAAGTTCATGGACTCTCAGCCCTTCTTATATACATTTGGGGCGCTCGCCAAGACTCGTCATGCACGCATCCTGTTTCTTCTCAAAGATCGCCAATGACTATGCCCTCAGAGGCAACTCTCGACACCTGGTTCAAGACTCATTTCCAAGACCTTTAGACGCAGTTGAATCTCGTCGGCCAATCACCTTGGGTATCGTCATCGCAGACTGTTCCCTTCCACAGCCCTTGCCGAGATCCGCTTGACAGCCCGGGCCGAGATGCATCTCGGAAGGAGATCTTCGGGCAGTTGACGATACACTAGACCATATCGGGGCCCTCTCGACGCACTGATCTGATGGAGGCAAGTGTTTGCGAGGCATGAATCGTGCGCTACCACAAGTCCGTTTTGCCGTTTTCAGTGATGATACTACTACTGGTATTGGCGCTGTTAGCCTATCATTGAGCCGTGGCTCTTTTGGCTTTGTTCAGCGGCTCTACATGCTGGCTAATGGGATTGTCTTTCCTCATGGGCGTATATCGGCTGTATGAGCGTTTACGACCACGAAAATGATATGTGAAAAATACAGCTCTGCGGACTATGAGATTTGAGCTCTTACTCTGGGCAAGATGCCATTTTGTCAATTATACATTGTCCTTCATCAGAAATGGACAAATCCATCGTTTGCCCTTGAAAGCTACGCGAGAGGGAAGCCGGTGAACTCAGCACATCGGTTGCCTCGCCTCCTATCAGTCGACCGTATGAATTGTTGACTTGGTCTCGTAGTTTTGTTTGTCTTGATATGTCAACACACATCCACCACTGTGGCTTTCTACTATTCCCGTTTAGACTCATGCTTGTCATTATTGGAGCGACAATCTCCTCTATGTTGCCTTTTAGACAAGCTGAAAAGCAGTCGACCTCGTTTGTCATCCGAGCACAGGACAAAATACTGTTTCGCACCCATCGCTTTTCTCTGCTTAGTTCTTACAGGGGTCACACAGGTTTTGATCGTCAATTCCTATCTGCTAACCTCATCCGGTTGTGGATTAAATGGCAACCAGAGCTCTGCTCAAGCGCCTATTCAAGATATCGTCTGCGAGGTAATCTGGATTTGACCATCTTCTAATCCTCCGCCGACCTGTTGTGATCATCTGCCCTCTCTCTTTTGCCGACGTCTTCTATAATGAGGTCGGTCGGAGTACGAGTACGGAATACAAGTAGGAAACATCCTTCCTAATGCCCACACTCGTTGATTTGCCATGTTCGGTCCAGCTTCGGTAATCCTTCATCGCATCCCCGACTGCGAGCCTCTCTCTGGTCCACGCAAGAGTTCAGCCGCATACCTGGGCGGGGAAGTTGCATCAGCTGCCACTTGCGGCTCGCCAAGTCATGTCTTGAAGTTTATCAGGCAGAACCCGACCCCGTCGGCGATGAGCTTATCGAAATGCCAAATTGGGGGCGGCTCGCGTCATTGGAGGAACCGGATTGACTCCCTTGCAGATCCCGGCCAACAACTACTACTAATACTGCATGAAGCAGGAGGAGAGACCACACGGAGTTGGAGGGTGGAATAAGGCAGCCAAGGAGGGCAGCCTAAGACTGAGACATGCTTGCTTCTCTGCCATGACTTGCACACGATTTGATCTAGACCCGAGATTTTCCAGGAACTTAGAGTTGCTCCCTCATTTAGCTTCAAAAAGCCTCCGAACGGGAGATCTGCGCCGGCAGCTTTTGTGGAAAGGCAGCCATATCACTAGACTGCACACACACTCTTCGATCCTTCTGCTTGCATTCTATTGACATCTTGACCTCGGTATACCAAGCCTATAATGTTGAGACGGCTCGCCCAAGTCGTCCGTGCTTTGGATGTTGGAGATCCTCTGCCCGCCCACACAGAGGAACAAGGTCTTCCTCCCCTTAGAGATGAGGAAGGTCAAGAGACTACCGGCAACGGAAGACGGATCACCATCATTGGGACCAACAATGAGGCGCTGGTTCCGCCCAACGACAAGCTCCTCGCATTTCGTTCCCTCACAGGCATAGACACCGTTCCTGCTCTGGCAAGCAACGGTCATGCCAGGCGGGTGGCCCCGAATGTTGGCTTATACTTTCGGGTCGTCCACGCAGAGCAGAAGGCAGCCCAGAATTATCGATTCTTTCACATCGCTATCAACTTCTGTCTCGGGGCGCAAATCATCGTCGCCGCCGCATTGACAGCAATCGGGGCAGCTGATGGCTCTCGCCACGCGATTACTGGGCTTGGTGCTATGAACACCATCATGGCGGGCATACTGACCTATCTCAAAGGATCTGGCCTCCCTGATCGGTTCAAGACCCAAGAGAATCAATGGAGAGAGATTCGCGAGCATATTGAGCAACGGGAGCGAGAGCTCTGCCTGGCAGACTGCACCCTTGACGCGCAGGAGGAGGTGTTTATCATCGAAGAGATGTATAACCAGGCCAAAGCAGAGCTAGATGTGAAAGGGCATGGTATTCGATACTTTAATGGAGTGCACCATTCTCATCAAAAGACACAAAATACTCCGATACGAGCCATCGTTCAGAGGCCGGCTGTCAAGGTCGCTCCATCGACAGAGGTGCTCGCTACGCCGCCGCCAGCAGCTGTGAGAGAATAAGCGGTGAGGACGAAGGGAGTCAGGGGAACATTGTCCATCCTTGAGATTAGACTAGGGAGCAATCGGACACGAATAGAATACACTATTGTTTATGGATGGGCTGGATTGGGAAATCGGCGGCGTTGGTCAACTTGGTGGAGGGATTTCTTCTTGCTTGAGATCTGGGATTATGTTCACTGGCTTACAATTTCCCCTACCACAAGTGGTTGGATAGATCAATGAGCTTCATATTCGTTAGGAGACAGCTATATCAATGAGATGATAGTGGCAGTGCACCATCTACTAATGACCGCAAATACTAGCTACTAGCCGTAATCTGAACCAACTTACTAAGGCTCACAACCTTCTCACTAAATGTGAGAATACTGCTGGTTCCCATGATATCCAGCATGGGCAGATCAGCCTTCAATGTCTTTCCTAGCCAAGTTCTGAACTCTGTAGCGACCAAGGAGTCCACGCCGTTGGAGCTAATCGACTTGCCGGGATCAATGTCATCAGCGGCCATTGATAGGAGCTTAGAAAGCTTGAGTCGAATTCCGTTCGAAACGACGGCCACTGCTTCTTCAATCTTCGTTGCTGCCGCCAATTGGACCGGTATCAGCAGTAGAGGGTCATCCTCGACAGCTTCAGTGGCAGTGCTCGTTTCGCTCTGGAGATGACGGAACATGGGAAGATAGAGGTAGCTCGGCACGGGCATACGGCGCTGCTTGTACATTGCAACATTTGGCAGTCCGGAAACAGTCTGGCTTGGTCCTGGGTATCGCCTATCGAGATGATACTCGATGATCAAGTGGATCTCGTCTTCACGGATAGATTCCAGAACCGAAGAAATGGTGGGGATGGTCTTGAGGCGAGTTTTGTTCTCAGCGACGTAGCCGACTGAGAGGATGCTGCCCAAGTCAATACTGGTTGCTGGAAGGCCCAGGCAGCGTCTGTGAGTTGCCAATGCGTCTTGGTAAGTGTTGCCAGCCGCATAGTTTGCTTGACTGCGGTTGCCCAGAACACCCGTTGCAGATGAGAGAAGAAGGAAAAAGTCCATGCTTGTCGGCAGAAGCTTGTGAAGGTTCCATGAGCCTTGGAACTTGGGCCTCAACGCGGCTTGGAAGTTCTCGTAGGACATGTTCTCAAACATCGAATCCTATATTAAGATGTTAGCAAACCTGTTTCCTAGTATTCGTATGTATTTATCCTCACCCTGAGAACCATTGAGCCCTGAACACAGCCCTTAATCTCCGGAAGCCTTGCCTTGCAATCGTCGATAGTCTTTGATAGCGCAGCCTCGTCGCTTACGTCGCAAGCAAAAACATAGACCTTGCAACCAGCAGCTTCCAGCTCCTGGACTAGTTCCTGGGCAGATTCGCTTGCTGCTCCGGATCGAGAGATGAAGATTAGATGCTTCGCTCCTCGTGAGACCATCCATCGTGCGATACTTCGTCCCAAACCTCCAAGACCTCCGGCAAGGACGTATGAGGCGTTCTGATCAAACTGCAATGGGGAAGATCTTTCAGGCATAATCGGGACGATGTCAGTTGGTTCCGGCTTGAACACAGTCTTTCCCATGCTCTTGCCGGATTGCAAAGAGCGGAATGCTTCTTCAATCTGTGTATAGTTTAAGACCCTGGTAGGCTTCGCCAGCTTAACCTTGCCCTCGGCGAACAGTCGAACAGTCTCAGCAATGAGCTGCCCGAGCTTCTTGGGCTTGTAATGCATGATGGTCGTCAGGTCAACGCTGGCCATGACTGTTTGGCGCAGAAGAGGGCTGAGGTCGATTCTTCCGTTTGCCTGAGCGTCCTTCTTACCGATCTCAATGAATCGGCCAAACGGAGCGAGAACATCCCATGAAGCACGCAGCGCATCTCCTGAGAGCGAGTTCAGCACAACGTCGATGCCGCGATCGTTTGTCATGCGCTTGATGCCCTTGACGAAGGACAAATCCCGACTGGAGAAGATGTGGTCCTTTTTCACGCCGTACTCGTTGATGAGCAGGTCTCGCTTCTCAGGAGTAGACACGGTAGCAAAGATTTCTGCTCCAACAAGATTTGCCAGCTGGATGGCTGCTTGACCAACACCTCCGGCCGCGGCATGGATGAGAACTGTCTCTCCCTCGGACAGGCGCGCAATATCGTACAGTCCGTGGATGACTGTAGAATACACGCAGGGAAGACTGGCAGCATCTTCGAAGCTCACGGAATCTGGAAGCTTGACAACGGCATCCGCGCTCTGCCGTCCATAGGTCTTGAGACATCCGCCATCAACAAGTCCGTTCATGTAAACGACTCTATCACCGACCCGGACGTTGGTGACCTTGGAGCCAATCCGGGAGACGTAACCTGCCGCTTCGTTACCAAGACAGGCCGCGACGTGTTCACCCATGGCAATCAGCACATCTCGGAAATTGAGGCCGACAGCTCGGACTTCCACTTCCACTTCGTTTTCACCCATAGGACGGGCCCAAACCGGGTCTGTGGCGAAGTGAAGAGCGCTTAGTGAACCCGGAGAGGACGTATCAAGCATAATTGGTCGACCCGCCTCGCCAAGTGGTATTTGCTTGGGGTCAGCCTCGGCGAAGTTTGAGTGGACAAAGCCGTTGACGTTCTGAGCGTCGATCAGACGGTTGGTCAATAACTCATAATCCTTCAGGTAATATTCGGCGTTTTTGCTCCCGTCGTCAATGTCGTTCACGAATTGATGCTTGAACACGGATAGGATGGATTCGATGAAAATGTCATCATCGGGTCGGGGCTCTGCGACCGACATAGTGATCAGGTTGGGAGCATCTAGATCCCGCTCCCATCGAACGGTTCTAATGACACCAGTGATCATGTACTGTGCTGGGTCTTTCTGGAAGTCTCCCGAGAGCCAGAGCACTCCGTCGCTAGTCGCGATGAGATGATTAAGATCGTTGTATTGTTGTTCCGTGAAGTCGGCCAGAAGAGGTCGCTCCAAATCAATGAGAGAGATGCAAGTGTCATAGATCAGCTCCCTGTCTGACAAATCAGAAAGTCCAACAATCGAGCAGTTCTTGTATCCGAAATCGTTCGTGATTCTGGAGTGCAGAGCAGTTGCCAGGCTCTGTGTTGCCGCCGAGGAGATGATGTGTACCCTTCTGTTAGCGTCTTGCGCGCCAATGACTTCGTTGTTTTCAGCAACCATGATACTCTGTCCACGAATATCAGCGACTTCACGATCGGTTAGAACCGTTGTGATTCCGGTGAACCCGGCTTGACGGAGCATGACATCCCACTCTCGCTCAGAGATTGATGGGCAAAACTTCCGGTTTGCCTCAACACTCAGCCACCAACCCTTGAGCTGGCCAAATGACAGTGGAAGCCAGAGAAGATCTAGTCCAGAGATTAGTATTGTAGCTCATCACGAGAAACCCCCCACCTTTTGGTATACATACCTTGCCGAATACCCTCGTGCATCACCAGCTTGCCACCTGGCTTCAACAGTGACCGAAGGTTGGCCAGTACTTTCTCAAGGTCCGCAGTGGCATGGATGACGTTTCCAGCAAAGATGAAGTCATATGTGCCTTGCTCAAAGCCTTGATCTAAAGCTTCATTCTCGATGTTGAAGGTCTTGAATTCGAGCACATTTCTCCATCTCTTGAACTTGTCCTTGGCCTTCTCGAAGAACGCTGACGACACATCAGTATAAGTATATTTGGCGATAGCTGAGTCGTTTAAGAGTCTTTCTTCGTCGGCGGCTGATGGGCCTAGTGCCTCCAAGACGGGGGCGGAGAGTGATCCCGTTCCGGCACCAATTTCCATAATGTTGAGGTTGACATTGTTGTGGTGGACAATTTCCAGATAAGCCTTCAAGAGGGCAGGCAGATTTCCAGACTCCACCATGTTTCTGTACAGCTCATCGAGGATGTTATCTTGACCGAACATCAGCTGCAGAGGGTCGATCTCCTTCCTCATGACAGCCGCTAAAGCCTTGCCCGTTCGAACAAGCAGCCGACCATCTGCATTATACTCCTCGATCTGACTGAAGAGAGCCTCTCTCAGCGACTCACTATCCATATAACGTTTCCATTCGTCAATGTCTAGATGAGGCAGCAATCCTTTGTGTAGATCATCTCGAACCTTGATACACCATGCATAGTAGTTCTTGAAGTGGCCTTCCAGCTTGTCGACAGGATAATCCTTCAGGTCTTCTAAGGCAAGCATGACAAAAAGTACCGAGGCTAATTGTAGCCGTCTGACATTCTGTCGATACTCTTCGTTCTCCTGGTCGGAAGCAAGCTTCGCCTTGAGTTTGGGTTGCTTGACGAGGTTGAGGTCTGGCATCCACTCCACAATGTGGCAAAGCTTCTTCGCCTCGATGGACGACACTTCTGATCCCAGGGATTTTCCCGACCATCCTCTGACAGCAATTCTCTCAGTGTTCGTTTTCTCATCCCAGATGGTAATGTCGCTGTGAAATTTTTGGAATCCCGTCAGCTTCGAGACTCCGAATCCTCGAAATCGGTGCCCAGCAGTGTTCTCAATGTTCGCAGAGATGCGAACATCTTTGATAAAGGTGGGCACCATAGGAGACTCCAATGTCTTTTTGTCCGTGATATCGAGTACACCTGTGACAATCAAGTTATGTTATTGGACTTCGCCTTCGAGACTACAAGTAGAATCAAGAGCATTGCTTCACTTACCAGCAATAAAGAGATGCATCATGCTATCCAAAGTCGAAGGATGAATCATGTGAGGATGGAGAAAGTTCTTGGGCATGACCTTGGCAACATCCGGTACTGTGATGAGTGATGACACTTCACCTTGTCCCTTGTTTACCACGACATCTGACAGGTTCTGGAACAGAGGTCCGAAATGCAAACCCACAGTATCCAGGTTGTCATAATTGATGCTTGTAGGCGTGGTGCAGCGGTGGACGCTGTCCTGTAGCAGCTTTTTCGACGCGAGTACCTCTGATGCCTCCTCGAGGCCTTCGTCGATGGGGCCAGGAGAGACATCATACTGGGTCTGGATGTAACCTGTGCAGTGTTCTACCCAGTTGTCTGCCACCGTGTTGTAGCTGGTCACGGTCCATTTTCTCCAGACTTTGGACTTTTCAAGACTGGACTCATCCATGCCGACCATGGAGAACTTGACTTCAATGCCTTCTTTGTTGTCGGGAACGATGAGAGCACTTTTGATGGAGATGTCCTTGAGGTGGAACCCGAGGAGTTTCAAGTCTGGTGAAGCAATTTGCCTGGAGGCCTCGATAGCCATGATAATGTATCCTACTCTATGGATCAATTAGCTTTCAGCACTGCACAGCATACCATACAGAAGCCTTACCCTGGGTACACAATACTGCTAGTGACCTACGAAATGTTAGTTCCTTCTCATACAGGATGACGAAACGGTAGGTACTTACGACGTGATCTCTTAGCCAAGGCTGCTCAGAGATTCGAATGAAATTGCGCCAAACGGGCTCTTCGGGATTCCAATCAGGTACCGGAGCTCCAAACAGATCATGGCGCGGGTACTTGCGGAAGCGGTAATTGCGGCTCAAGCGGCTTTCATACCAAGTGGTCTGGCTATGGTTGAACGCATAAGGTGGCAAGTTCGCGATCATGGAGGGTTGTCCGTCGCTGGGACTCCGCAGTGCTCCCTGGTTCACAAGAGCGAGGTCGACGACACTTCCGCGCGAAAACAAGTTGCCGACGGTCTTCAGAAGAGTCTCGACACCCGGAGTGTTACGATCCAACACTGCATGATATCCAATGCCCAGGTTCTCGCTGAAGTGGCTTGTCAAAGTCTCTTTGATGGCGCTTCGGAGTGCTGAGTGAGGGCCAACTTCGACAATCTCTTGAATCACACTGTTACTAGAGTTCACCCGCAGCGAGCTCTTGGGGCTCTCCAAAGTCATCTTGAGAAGAGCGTCAGTAAATCTCACAGGCGACACTAGGTTGTCGACCCAATACTGAGACGTGATGGCATCCTCAACCCGAGCCCCTGTGACGCTGGAGTACATATCCACCGACATGTCGGCGTCTGAGGGTTCCATGTCGCCCAGCAGACTCAAATACTCATATGCAACGGCCCTCATATGTGATGAATGATATGCCGTCTTGACTTTGAGTTTTCGGGCGAAGATGTCTTTCTCATCAAGGATCCGTTTCAACTCGTCAATCTTGGCAGTGTCTCCGGATATGGTGTGGTTCTTGGGGCTGTTGTAGCACGCCAGTGTCAGTTCGCCTGGCAACTTGGCGTCCACTTTATCGAGGTACTCCCGCAATTCCGACGTCGTCAAGCCAACTGCAAGCATTGAGCCGTTGGTTGTAACTTTACTGGAGACGTGACCTCGGAAGTAGGCCACCTTCCACGCCGATTGCCTGCTAATCTTGCCTGCGCAATAGGCAGCTGCGATTTCACCAGACGAGTGGCCTACCACACGCGTCGGGCGCAGATTCCAGGAGGACAGTAAATCGACAAGAGCAACTTGGATGGCGGTGCAAGAGGGGTGAGCCAAGTATGGCTTGTCAATCTGAGAACTTTGTTGATCTCTTTGGAGCTCGTCTGTTTCAGGTCAGCTGTCAAGTTATGCTGAGGATCATGTTCAACCCTTGGATGCCGCTTCCCTGCAGGTCTGGATGTAATAAATGACTTACCGTAAAGAGACCATGAGCTCCCCAGCTCCTGCATATACTGTGAAGCGCTTTCGATACTCTCCTTGAAGGTGGAGAAAGCCAGTAGCTCCCGCCCCATTGCATACCACTGTGCCCCTTGGCCAGTAAAGACAAAGGCAATGTTGGGAGTTGCTCTCGTCCTTACTGGCTTCGCAAGGGAGGAATCTGCTGTCAACGTCTTAGCGAGATCAGCTACGCTATTGGCTAGGCAAAATGACCGCCATTGAAAAGCTGTTCGCTTTGCTGCAAGTGTGTACGCAAGGTCCTGAAAGTATTTTCTCGTCTTGCTCGAGGTGTCGGAAAGCAGCAGGTCATTCAGGTAAGTGGCGAGCGAATTGGCGTTCCTTTGCACCCCCTGCTCGTCGAACGACGAAACCGGGAAGATAAGGGGAGTGCGGTCTGCGGTAGAATCTCCATTCTCGCCAGTAGGATCGTTGACCGTACCATTGGCTGTTCCATGGCCATTGGCGCTGTGGCCGTTCACATGGCCGGTGCCGTTCGTTATGCTTCCATTGGCATGAGCTGGGTAGGGCACAGTTTTGTGGAAGCCAAGCAGATTGTGCTCTTCAAGGTAGTACCGGGCGTCTTGCAGAACGACATGGCCGTTGGTACCGGAAAAGCCGAAAGAGTTGATGGAAACCTGTCTAAGGCCAGGTGAGGGCCATGGTGTTGGCCGGAGGGGCAGCTGGAGTCGCCACTTGTCAATGGGAATTTTAGGGTTCACCTTCTCAAAGTTTGTGTTGGGTGGAATCATAGCAGACTCCAATACCATCACGGACTTGATGATACCGGCGAGACCCGAGGCTCCTTCTGTATGTCCAATCGCCGACTTGACAGCTCCTACAATCAATGGTGATCCTCGGTTGGCAGTGTTGAAAGAGTTGGCGATTGCTCGCGCCTCAATCGGATCCCCGGCAGCAGTCCCGGTAGCATGAGCTTCGATATAAGCCGTCTGTGCTATATCCAATCCTCCCCTCTTGTACACTTCACGGATCATCTGCTCCTGAGCAGCTGCACTGGGCAGTGTGATACCAGGTGTTCGTCCATCCTGATTGAGGCCGGTTGCTCGCACGACAGCCCGAATTGTGTCACCATCTCGAAGAGCGGTAGACAATCGCTTGACAAGGACTGTAGCAACGCCTTCTCCTCGAGAGTATCCACTAGCACGATGGTCAAAGCTGTAAGACTTTCCATCTCCAGCAAAGAACCCGTGGTGGTCCATGCCAAACCAGTCTGTGGGGTATGTGAAAACATTTACACCGCAAATGACGGTCATGTCGGATTCGTGATCCCGTAAGCTCTGGGCGCCCAGGTGGAAGGCTACCATACTACTGGAGCAGGCGGTGTCCACTGTGAGACTCGGGCCTTTGAAGTCAAAGAACCAGCTGATACGGCCGGAAAGAATGGAGTTACTTGTTCCCATTGGCTTGTATTTGAGCTTAATCTCCGGGTCGCTGTTCAGCAGTTGAAGGTAGTCATGGTTGAAACCGCTGCTGAAGACTGATGTGTTCGATCCTACTGCTTTATCCATAGGAATGCCAGCTACCGAAGAAGTATCAGTAAGCGAAGTATAGCTTGAAAGCATAGGGCACTGTAACTAACCATTCTCTAAAGCATGATAGACGTTCTCCATCAGCAGTCTTTGCTGCGGATCCAGGGACATGACCTCGGATTTGGGTATTGAGAAGAACTGGTTATCGAACTCAGCTGGATCAGCAGCCATGAAATGGGCACCTTTCACATGAAACTATGCATATTGTAAGCAACAGCCGTGCAGAGTCAGAGGATCCTAGCATTAACTCACAGTGCCGCCGTGTTCAACGTCTGGATGGAAATGCCCTTCCATGTTGAACCTGTTTTTGGGGACTGGAGTCATTGCTGATTTTCCGGTCATAAGCATCTTCCAGAAATTCTCATTGTTGTCCCCCTCCTGGGGGAACTGGCATGCCATGCCAATGATGGCCAGGGGCTCCATTGTAGCCATCGCAACTCTCTGTCAAGTTCTGATAAAGAGGAAGTAAGGGAGAGCACAATGACCTTGGCTCCTGCTGCCAGAGTGTTTCAAGGGAGAATATATAGTTAAACAAAGCCGGCTGTCCTCCACACCCGTCACAAATAGGAAGTCGGGGTAATGATTAATTTGAGCAGCTTCCCGTTGGCAAGAGCAAATACGAAGTTCTTACTTGATTCCAGCACAAACAAATCAATGGTGTATCCATATGTACACTCACAAAGAACAAAAGATAATGACTTAAAACTATGTACCACCTTTACAGATACAAGCGCTAGTCGGACACTGCGTTGTAGGTGTATATTTTGGTGACTCGACCAGGGAACTATCCCTGATCAAGTTCAGTTTTGCATACGACTCTAGGCCCTTGTGTTGTGCATTAGATCCCTCGTGCGCCCCCGCGCCTGGAGATCCTTCCTTGAACCAATCTCGCTGTCGTGTGATTGCCAAGTGCGGAGTAACGGAACCAGAATTCCACAGAGAGCATGGAGAGAATCCAAGTATGGGGTATGGGGTATAGTATCATCTGGGCATTTCGGCCCGTTCCTCGTACGTCGTCAAGAGCGCCGCAGTAAGCTTACAGCTGGGAGTTTCAGGGGTATACACCACCAATCACGATTGCCTAGCTTGTTGCCCTTCCCCTTTGCATACAACGCTTGCACATGGCCCGAATTTGAGCTAGATTACCACCTTGAGTAGCGAGCGGCGATCTTGTCGATATACTCGTAAAGCTTGATACTTCTGTGGCTAAACTGCTCGTTGTGTTTGCTGCCCCTTTGATACGCAGTAAAGTCTTCTCGGGATTTTCGTGCATGGTTGTACATGCATCTTCCACATGGATCCTTATCAGAAGCGGGGGAGAGAATGAATTTGAAGTCGAATACGGGGGGCTGGGGGGGTACAAATGCAAGCAAGGATTCACACACACCAGAAGTGGGTTTTCAAGCTGGGTATGAATAGAACCATGTCAGCGCTCAGCAGTATGAAGTAGTACTTGCTTAATAAAAGAAAGCAACTTCGTAACTTTACTTGTTCAGATTCATTCGAGAACCACTCCATATGCCGTGCAAAAGAGAATCATGGCCTTCCTTCCGGCTGCAGTGGCCGTAGCTCTCTGGGTTCACGGCGGAGCCGCCCATTCTGACCCTTGGCTGTTGTCAACAGATCAGTTCCAGGGAAATCATTATCAAAGGTCTCCCTATGTCGCCAACGGATATTTTGGTCAGCGGTTGCCGGCCGAGGGGGTTGGATACTGGATATATCGTAATGAATCTACCGGCGAGAATCTACTCAACTGTGAGTGACCGATACTTCTTGTTCTCCCCTTCAATCCGCTGTGGAACCATGCTAACAGCCTCGTAATAACGCAGCGTGGCCGCTGGACCAGCCAAGGGCTACATTTGGAACTATTTCCGGATTCTGGGACGTCCAGCAGAACATCACGCACACTATTGTGCCCGATAACTTGAAACGAGGAGGTGAATCCGTAATTAGTGGAATTCCTGACTGGACAGGGCTTATAGTTACCACGGAGAGCGGCGAGACGTACAAGCCCGGCGTCGACGCTTCGACTGTCACGGATTTCCACCAGTCGTTATCAGTACGCGATGGAATCGTTCAAACCAATGTAACATGGAGCCCTCTCAACGAAAACATCAGGTATCAGCTCAACTACACGGTCCTTGCCCACCGAGCCAGACTCAACTTGGGCATCGTTCGCCTAGATCTCTCCGCCGACCAAGATGTGAGTATCAAAATCACGGACGTGTTGGATGGAGCTGGAGCCGTACGGGCCGATTTCCACGACAAGTGGCTGGAGTCAGACTCAACAATTTGCACGAGCGTGAAGCCGTCTGGAATCGAATATCTCACTGCATACGTGGTCTCCACGATCAAGTTCGAGACCAACAGCAAGACTGGTCCGGAGGACTTGAGGGGGGCATCCAAGACTAGGAGGAATGGCAGGGGTTATCCCTGGATCTCCACCAACAGTAGCACCGTCTCGCAAGTTTGGGACTGGGGTCTGAAGCGGGGAGATGCCCTAACAATTTACAAGTTTGTGGGCATAGCATCCAATAACTCGCTGGCGGCTGCGAGGGATGCGTCGATCCTGGCAGGATCGACGGCGTGGGACGATCTGATATTCGAACACAGGCAGAAATGGGATGCCATTTGGAGTGATGCCGATATTGTTATTCCAGGCGACCAAGACCTGCAGCGCCGCACACGCGCCTCGCTATTCCATATCCTCACCAATCTGCTTCCAGAGGACACTGGCCTTGCTGACAACTCAATCTCTGTTGGTGGCTTGTCCAGCGATTCTTACGCCGGGCTAATATTTTGGGATGCGGACCTCTGGGTATATCCGTCGATTCTTTCTTTGCACCCCCAGTATGCCGCGGGCATCAACAACTACCGTGGACGGCTTTTGAGCCAGGCCGTACAAAATGCTCAATATTATAACTTCTCTGGGGCTCTTTATCCGTGGACAAGTGGCCGATTCGGCAACTGTACAGGCACCGGGGTATGCAAAGGCTATCAGTATCACATCAACAGCGATATTGCCTTGGCCCATTGGCAATATTATCAGCAAACCAACGACCTGGGATGGCTTGCAGAGAAAGGATGGCCGGTGATAAAAATGGCAGCCGATATGTTTGCTGCATATGTGGTTCGCAATTCCTCTACTGGAAAATACGAGACCATTCAACTGGGGGAACCGGTAAATATAAACCCAGTGTGTTTTCACAGGAGGTCTATTGTTCTAATGAGATGAGTCTGCCAGGACGAATTTGCCTACAATATCAACAATGGTGCCTTTACCAACGTCGGGATCAAGCAGCTGCTCGGCAACTGGGCTCCTTCAGCCGCCCGGCAACTGAATCTCAAAGTTCCGAAGAACTGGTCTCATATTGCAGAGAATATGTACATCCCGTATGATGAGCAAGAAAAGATCATCATTGAATTCGACGGCTTGGATGGGACGTGGATGACCAAACAGGCGAGCACAGGCTTGATCCATTATCCCCTGCAGTTTCAGTTCAGCGACGAACAGGCACGGAATGATGTTGCATATGTATGCGCCCCTATGTTTTCTCTCCCGATGTTGAATTGATCCTGATCAAAGACTTGATTCTCAGTATTCTTCCGTCAACACTGCAGATGGCCCTGCAATGACGTGGTCGATATACGCAATATCCGAAGCTCAGCTAGAGCAGAAAGGCTGTGCGGCTTATACATATCTCCAGCGGTCGTCAGAATCGTACATTCGCAAGCCATACTACCAATTCAGTGAAGCGCAGCTAGACACTCAACCGCCAGGGGTCGAAAACCCAGCGTTCATATTCGGACTCAATCCGGCATTTCCGTTTCTTACGGGTGCCGGTGGTTTCTTGCAAGTTTTAACTCACGGACTCACTGGAATGCGGCCAAATGCAGACGCGTTCTATCTCGACCCAGTGTTGCCGCCACAGCTGCCTGACGGAATTGAGATCAAAGGGATGAAATGGCAGAACGCGAGTTTTGATGTGCTGATTGCAATGGATTACACTACAGTCACCCGGCGACGGACATCTTCAAATGGGAAGCAACGTGTGACCTTGGAGATACTGGGTGGGAACTCAGGGGCAAAGGAATATCGACTCAGCGAAGGAGAGTCCATTGTTGTACCTACAAGACGACCGGACATCAGCTACAGTCCGCAAGATTTGGCCTTGTGCCGGCCAGTTGTGTCTGACACGGAATGGGTCGCTGGGAGTTATCCTTACGCCATGGTTGATGGGTCTAACTCGACAGCATGGCAGCCTGCCACTCCCCAAGATGCCTCCGTCATCATTGATATCGGGAAGCTGCAAGCAGTCTCGAGGGTCTTGCTAGTTTGGGGCGGTGTGCCACCTTGTCAGTTCAGCCTGTCCGGGAGTGAAGAATCGAATAAGGACTTTGAGGAGCTGTCTCCGACACAGAAGGTGGAGATATCGGCACCTTACGATGCTCAATATGCCCGAGTTGTTCGAATCAGAGAGGGAAACGCAACGGCTGTTGAGTTCCGCAATTCTGTGCAGCTTCGATTCTTGAAGCTGACGATTGCTGGATCTTATGCCTCGGATGGGCTAGGAGCAACTGTGGCTGAAGTACAAATCATAAAGGAAGACCAAAGGCCTGTTTATGGGACGAATACAGGAGACTTTGTTTCTTTTGTCGCTGATGGTCTATGGAGGATATTTTCTGCTGCTATATCGTGGTCTAGCTAGCATTTTATCTATGCTGATTCGGCCAACTCGGTGATCTTTTCTGCGATTTTTCGCATCTCATCTTGTCCTCTTGGGAAATCGTGTCCAAAGGGATGATGGTGCTCTCGAACCAAGTCAGGCTTGCAGAGCTTGAGCAAATTGAGTCCCAGATCGGCATCAGTCTCTTCTGGACACCGAACGTGCAATGTTGGGATGTCAATAAGCACACCGTCCTCCGCGCCTCCATACCTCGTCAATGCGAGCTTTCCGTCTTCCGTGAGGAAATGTCTTCCATCAGCCAGTACACCTGTTTGCACCGCCCTGATTTCCCTCTTCCGAGACTCAATGGCTTTCTCTGCTGCTTCTCTGCTATCACCCTTGCGCACTCGCATGTTGGAAGGTCTCAAGTAGGTTGCCTGTAATTCTTTGCTTAGGGCCGTAGTGTCGGCCGCGTCCTGCACGACTTTCTCTTCAGTCAGGGAGAAAGCCTTGATGGGTGTTCCTCCGTTTATGAATATGGCAAATCGAAACAGCGGCTCGCTTGCGCCTCGCTGACTATGTCGGATTATCGCCTGAGCTGCAAACGCAGCTCCTCCTGAGTAGCCCAACACGCCATCAAATCCCCCCTCCTCCTCGATGAGATCCAGCAGATGCTCTTCCGCCTCTACGACGGAGGATGGAACCAGAGGGTTATAATAGGCATACTGAGGCAGGTTGGAGAACTGTGTAGTGTATACCGACCAATTACCTATGCATTGTTGAGACCGCGAAACACAATACAGGCGCTGCTACCGGAGGGGTGACGGCTCACCTTCGGTATGAAGCTCGGTTCCTTGCACAAAATCGAAGGTATAGTCGTCCAACAAGCTGCGCAATGCGGCAGTTTGAGCTTGGAAGATCTATGATATGCCATCATACAAGAGTTTAGCCCAGTCCACTAGCGACTCCTCCTTCGTATATCGCAGTTGATTCCAAGGAGAGAGCTACCTCATTATTGGATCCTCGTCCATGCAAGCAGAGAATCTTCATCTTTCTGGGATGGAGGGGTAGGCCTCGATAGCAGATGGTGTCAACGGAATCGTATAATCAACAGTCACTTCCACGCGGAGTAACACGGGAGGCGCTTGGTGGCAGGTGGATGGGTAATATCCTGCCAAGATTTATGTCGTGTTCCGCACATCCCTGGCCTCGAGAGTAGCATACGTACGCCTCCTCTTACACAATGAGTTATCCACAGCGCTTGTTTTGCCGGACTACAGGTCGCTGTTCGTGCGACTTGTGGGTATCACCACATGTGTATGTGTATAATCGGCTGATGCTGCAATGTTCCTTTGCCTGCACGCCAGCACTAGCGTAGAGGAATAGACCGAGCATCTTCCCGACGGAGAGTACAGGCAATTATTTTTGGGTATAAGTACAAATCCTCCGAAGAAACAGAGCCCCTGCACACGAGTACATTCCGAACTTCGTAACTGATAGCTAGTGGCATCTCATCGCTTTTCACTCGGGCTGATGTCATTTTTTTGTTTTGCACAATGGAAACCGGGCACATTGCCTTCACTCTGTATGTGGGAGTAGTTGTTTTCTGTCTCTTCAAGTTCATCTCCCATAGAATCGACAGAGCAGCCAGACAAAAGCGACTATCGCGAGAACATGACTGTCAACCTATTCATGTCAAGTATCCCCACAAAGATCCAATCTTGGGGATCGATATTTTCATCCGTAACGTCAAGGCAGTCTCTAAACACAATTTTCTGGAAACTGTGACCAAACGACATGAAGAGGTCGGGGAGACTTACCAGCTTAATATGCTTGGCACAGTCGGTACGCTCATTGCAAAGACCAGCCAAATCTATTTTTTCCTACCCACTTGCTGATCCGAAGCATCTCGTCGGTACAGGCATCATGACTCGAGACGAAGAGATCATCAAAACTGTTCTCTCTACACGTTTCAAGGACTATAATCTCCATGAGGAGCGAAAGAAGGCGCTGAATCCGCTATTGGGACAAGGCATATTCAGTTCGGACGGCCTTTCTTGGGCTCATTCGCGCTCTCTCCTTCGACCTCAGTTTGCTCGTTCACAACTCATGGACTTGTCGATGCTGGAGAGCCATGTTAGCTGCCTGATGAGCCTAATTCCTAACGGAAAGGAAATAGAACTTCAAGAGCTCCTCCTACGCTTTACCATGGACATGGCCACCGACTTTCTTTTTGGAGAGTCTACCAACAGCTTGCTCGCAGACAGGGACGGCTACCACAGCAAATTGGATGGCTTTGCCGAGTCAGTTCAGTATGCCCAAGACCGAATCGCAATACACATGGCGTTGGGTAAATGGGCCTTGCTCAAGCCGGACCCGAAGTTCAAGCATCACGTCCGTGTGGTGCACAAGTTTGTCGACGAGCTCGTCCACAAGGCGCTGCATGGGAATGACCCAGATACCAAAACACAACCGTATATCCTGCTGAGAGCTCTAGTCGAGGACACCCAAGATCCGATCCGTATTCGGGATGAAGTCATAAATATTTTAATCGCTGGACGAGATACCACTGCCAGCCTGATCAGCAACGTTTTCTTCCTCCTCTCAAAACGACCGGGACTGTGGTCAATGCTGCGGAACGAAGTTCTGACGCAGTTTAAAGACCAGCCACCAGCATTTGAAGACATACCGCAATGCAAGTACATTCGGTATACTATAAATGAATGTGAGTTACTTCCCAAACACTTGGCTGTTGGCCCTGGCCCCGGTGAAAGCGGCATAGTCGTACATATTCTCCCCAGGCTAACAGGTTCTTCTTCCCCCTCGACAGCGCTGAGATTATTCCCACCCGTTCCCGTCAACTCACGAGTCGCGAATTGTGATACAGTCCTCCCGAGAGGAGGCGGGGTAGATGGGAAATCCCCGCTCTTCATTCCAAAAGGAACCCCTGTCATATATAACGTCTTTGGCCTGCATCGTCGACAGGATGTATATGGCTCTGATGTCGAAGAATTCAAGCCATCGCGGTGGGAATCCTTGCGACTGTCTTGGGAGTTTCTTCCATTCAATGGTGGCCCAAGGATTTGCATTGGCCGTGAGTAACCCTTATCCTTTACTTAAAGATGCTTCTGACGCAGGTAATTACTTTAGAGCAATTCGCCCTTATAGAAGCTAGCTATGTACTGATTCGATTCCTGCAATGTTTCGAGACTGTCGAGTCAAAAGACGAGAGACCGTGGCAAGAGAAGATTGCATTGACGGTTTCCAATCGTAATGGAGTGCGCGTGTCGTTCACCCGCACATAATATTCCCGCACATAATATTCCTGAGGCCGGCATGGGACGACTGTACTCTGTGATACTATGCCTATGTGTACTGCCAGTCTCAGCCTTCACAGGTCTTGTCGATTGAGGATTTTCTTGGAATGGGACAACAATGCCGCGTCCTCGACTCGTCTCCAATCGCCCTAAGGCTTTAACGACCATCACGAATGGACTGCGCTAGAATGTTTCATGAAGTTCTACGGATTGGTATATCCTGGTCTATAGCCGAACTCGCCATACCTCGTAGGTTAAGCACACTAAAGCAGTCGATCCCCCACGTATCCGCGCAGCGACGACTTCCTGGAGGTCCCAGTCGTTCGGGCCTGAGAGCGGGCGTACATATGTACTACTGGTCTGCGATACTATATATGAGCCTCCACTCATGTATCCTTGACCCTGATATGAACGAATGCCAAGATGCGGAGTAGATCGTCCTTACTTCCGAGAATACAGAAGCAACTGCATGAAAGCTGCTTATAGGATTACGCTACTGCGAGGCACGTTGAGCTGCAACACATGCTGAGAGCCACCGGCATGGTATCCGAACCACAGTCTCCCATATTATCCTTAGGCGGCTGGTATATGGTACACACGGCGGAATATAAGTTTAGAGACCTTGCCAGCACACACTTTTTGTGTAAGTTCGTTAATCATACTTCGATATCTCCATTGCATACCTATTTATTTTGAAACAGTTCGTAAGCCCTTTTCGAAAGCAAGTTGCACCCTCAACAAAAGCCTCGGCAATGAGCATTTGAAGCAAAATTCCATTTCCCTAGCCCATGTTTTGCTCTTTATTACACGGATTAGATGAGTGCTCAGCGGCATATCTATGTAGACTGACCCCATTAAAGCTCTCATTGAAGCGCTGTACAATTGTTTTTATTACCTCCGAAGTCGCATGTGCACGTGCAATATCGGTTTAACCACATAGAAAGAGGGCGTTAATCGAGCAACATGTGTGCTGGAGAGAAGTAGTTCGCAGCAGGCCGCTATCATTATGATCTGCTGGGAGTTCCAAGCAGCAGGTCAACATTGTAACAAGTTTATTTCTCTCGTCATGGCCATGTTCATGCTAAGAGAAATGTTGCCAGCATCCAACTCCCGACGAAGCAAAGCTATATTGTTCCGCAAGCAAGATCCTTGACTTATAGATTGTATTCTATCTCAGGCTTACAGAAAGCAACCCTCCCATCTTCCCTCTCGAAGTCTGGATAGCGATCACTGCTGGAATTTACTCACTGATCCTCTAATCGCTTCGTCAACGTGTACCCTCCTGATTCCAGGGCATGGCCCAAGACAGACTGCCTTATCCGCCAGTCCCTGGATGAGCTTATCTATGTCAATGGTAATTTTGAGGCTCTCTCGCGTTTCTCGGCCTGACCCTGCATTATCCGCTAAGCTGCGCATCTCCGGATACCAGCCCGACAGTGAAACGTTGCTGTGTCCCGTTGGTATGGTTTGACCGTCCAAGAACAATTTGCCGAAGATGGTAAAATCGTGCTCTGGCAGAGGAGCACGCCTCCCTGGTATCCCTTCATGCGCGATGTGATCCCCGAGGTAGAAGTGGCTTTCTGAGATGCTACTACCTTGACTGGGGTCCGCCGTTCTTTGAGTATTCGACATATGGTTTATTGCATGTGATCGCGGGTTATTTATGCCATGAGGAATATATATATCCGATGCTGAAGGCCCCAGTAATGGAGTGTCGTCATGTGCAGGAGCTGATAGGCTTATAACATCGCTGGGGGAGCCCATGCGAACAAATATTCCTCGCTGCTCGAGGTACTCTTCAACATCTGGCGCCTCGAGCCATTCACCTTGGAGATCGGAGATGGCAGTGTGAAGCATTGTCCTTGTCCTCCCAAATTGCAAGCTCTGTAGGTTCGGCGGTGATGATCTCGGCGTTAGAGTGTCCAAGTTGCCCTCGGTTAATCTCATCATCTTGGGCAAGTAGACGTCTCGACCATCGCTATACTGGCAATCGGCAGTGAATGCGCTCGGGCTTCCGGAAAGACGGTGGGCAACTCTCTCGAGAAGCCTTTCCGCCCGCTCCAACTGAAGTGGTAGCAGCATCGCTGGGTTCACTGCGACAATTGAAAGGTTTCTTAGCTGCAGGAGCGAGATGGCTTTGGTCAGACAGGCCAACATTAACCGCTGTGATACGGGAGCCGGTTTGCCAGTGGTGAATGTCTCATACGTCTGCTCTTGCCGTTGGATCGCAGTGATATGAGTCTCTTCCGCGGCATCACGTATTGGATCATTCGTAGGCTCATGACCAGAATCAGGCTCTGCAGCCGCATCTGCCGCGTCTTCGTCAAGAGCCTGATCCTGGTCGCCGGCGACAATGGACTTCTCCAGGCGAGCCTTTCTTGCTATAGACACGATATTCATCGCTGTCTGGTTGAGCTGCGTCATAAGCCCCGTTGGCAGCTCATTTCCCCTCTGTGAGACACGCTCATAAAATTTGATGAACTCGTCAATGGAGCCATCCAAAGCCACCTCGAGTGCCTCAGCTCGAGCTTTCGCACAAATCAACGCGGTCTGTTTCCGGCTACGATACGACCGCTGTGCAAGTCTCATTCGAGTTCTCCTCTGGTTTTGGAACAAGTTAGATCATGTCACGAGGGGCTCTCCTGGGATAGGAGAGGATGGGATTGGCTTACAGCTTCTTCACTTGGCGTCTCGTGACCGGTTTCGCTCATCCGTGGACGCCCGGGTCGGCGCCGTGGTGCGGATCCGGCCTGTGATCCGGCAGCTTGTTCAGCTTTGTCCATTGTTTTGTCAAAATCTCCGGTATACAGATCCGTCCAAGACAAACACGATTGTCCATATAGTTGGAAGCTCCCCTCCTTTGTAAGAGGCGGCCTCGTTCGGCCTGAGCCGTAGCGGGGGAGTGCGGGCTGACAAATATTTCTGGTCATGGCTATTGGAGGGTGAGCCGGAGCATTTGGCAAGTCAGACAAATCGTTTTTTGCTTAACACCGACAGCCGTTTGTAAGGACGCGATGCTTTTCTCATAGAATTGAGCTTGGAAATACACAATGAGCAGCGAAGTGTGGAATGGTGCTGTTGGTATACGTGTACGGTATCTGGTATTAAAAGGAGCGCGTTGACCTCCATCATGAACAATTCCAGATCAAGCTTGCATTGACGGTCATTGGAAACAAAGTCAACAAAGCAAACCTAAATTCTCGATTTTTCTTCCAAACTATTGCGCGGCATAGCACCCCCATCCTCTCGTCATGTCTTCTCAATATGTTTCGCTTGCGATTGGCTCCCATACCTGGACTCCCGAGAACAAAGAGATTGATGGTTTGCTGGACGTGATGCGAAGTCACAAGATCAAAGTTATCGACACCGCTAGGAGCTACGTATGTCAATCATGGTCGTTTCCTTTGAATTCCAGTGAACAAATGTATCGCTAAGTATTAATTATAGGGCCTTGGCGCATCTGAGACCGTTATCGGGCTCAAGAAGCTGAGCCGCGAATTCGCTATTGACACCAAAGCTGCCACAGGAGTCATTCCTGGTGCTGGGCAGAAGATTATGCAGTTTGCCAAAGAGAGTTTAGAAGCACTCCAAACTGACAAGGTAAGTGGTTACCATCTTCAAGTTCACTCATACGCCATGCATTGGCTCGACTACTAATGATAGTCAAACTACGTGTAGGTCCGAGTTTTCTTTATACATGCACCTGTGAGTACGCAGCCCTCTTGCGCAGACTTCAATTCTGGACTCGGCCACTAATCTATGAGCTCAAATTTGAAGGATGAAGAAACGCCAGTACATTTGCAGATGGAAGCCATCCAGACTCTGTATAAGCAGGGAGTATTTGAAGCGTTTGGAGTCTCCAACTTCACTCCGGAGCAAGTCATCGAATTCTATGACTACGCCAAATCCAACGGTTACGTTCTTCCTACAGTATATCAATCCAGCTACTCATTGGCTGTCCGTGGGAATGAAACGAGGCTCTTCCCAACTCTGCGCAAACTGGGCATCTCCATCCAAGCTTATTCGCCGATGGCAGGGGGGTTATTGTCAAAGACGCGAGAGTATATCGAGTCGGGAAATGGCAATTGGGACCCCAACAGCCTAACTGGCAGGATCTTTCGCGATCTTTACTATAAGCCATCGTATCTGAAGATGCTGGAAGAATTCGCAAAGCTGTCCCAGGAGACTGGGCTAAGCCGATCCAGCTTGGCTTATCGTTGGGTGAGGTACCACTCGGCTCTCAAACCAGAGCTCGGCGACTCAATGATTCTAGGCTCTGTAAATGCTCAGCAGCTGGAAGAAGCATTGGCGGAGCTTAACAAAGGCCCTCTTGATGCTGCAACCGTTGAAAAGCTGGATAACTTCTGGCAGCTGATCAAAGACGACGCACCGGTTGACAATCTCATCTCAGTTCGCAAGGTAGTTCGTGGAGCGGCATAAAATTCTGGCAACATGTAACTTCGCGAAGGCACTGCCGCTTATATCCCTCTTCTAGTTCGCTGGCCTTAAGAGGACTTCCTAGATAGCATCGAATATACAAGTCGTACGTCTGTGGATTTTGCCTGTGGTTCAAAGACTTGTCATCTCGTTTCTTGCATCAAAACTTGTATCCGGGCGGTGCCATTTTTCGGACTGTTTTTTTCGACACAGGGTAGCCCTTTCATCCAAGTTGCTCTCGATAGGCATTATCAGTCAGTAACCTCCATGGCTCGGCAGCATTAGACGCCTACAATCCACCAACAAGAAAAGGCTTCAGCCAGTCTGTACCTTTTCCCACCAAATAACCACCGTGTATCTATATGTTGGTTGTTTGCTGTAGTACCTACCCACGATATGTATCTGGCCAACTGGTCACTGACAAAACGCCACACACAGCAAACCTTACTTTAACTCTCCGCTTGGGATTGCAAAAGCAAAAGATGAAAAAGAGCCTTGAAGTCTATCCCAAAAGTGATACCAGGTACCTAGTCATTAGCGATCGCACGGCGGTGCAATTATACCACAAAGGAGGAAGGGCATAGGCTGTTGCAAGTGGTGTCAGGTAAATTCTCCTCAACCCCAGTGCATGAGATCGTTGCCGAGTGATCTTAGCTTATTTACAGAATCTCGATCGTCCCGAGACTCCGTCTCCACAGAGGCTTACCAAAAAAAAAAAGGGGCCCCTACCCCATTGTTGAGTGTAGACCCTGGGAAACTTATCTCACGAAGTTATCAAAAATTTTCACCAGCTAGTAACACGCCCCACGTGGGCTTGTTCACTGATTCTAGACGGGGCAGCGGCCTCTCCGCCGCTATAAAGGCGATAAGGGAAGAGGAAAGGAAGTAAGGGAGACATCCTCTGTATCCTGTCATCTGCTCGTCAATCCCAGATACACGTCTGTGCAAAAATCAGGGCTTCGTGAGATACAATGAGGTCTCGGGACGCAGAGCATCCGCTCTCTCTAACTCTGCCGCCCCTAAAGAAATCGGCTAATCTTACAGAGGCTGAGACGCGGCAAGCTCTCCGACAGCTACACGAATTTTCTTACTATCCCGTCCCTGAAGTCCTCGAGCTGGAAGGATCCGACAAGAGCCAGGATGCATCCGCTCCAGACTCTGGTTATGCCTCCGAAACCGACGCTGACGAGGCATCCAAGGGAGAAAAGGCAGTTCCGCTCTACTTGGATCCCATAGAGCGTGACTTTGCCCTGCGTTGGCTTACTGGCTTCATCGGACAAGCCTGGGAATTCCCTCTGAGCGATGACACGCGCGACGAATTCGTGGATGCTGCATGTTCGCTGCTCTCGCACTTGACGCATACGGAAGATGAAGGCAAGCAGCAAGACGAAGATCCCGGCATGACGCGACGATTTGTGTTCTCAAGTGGCGACGGCGCCAAGGACCTCGTGATCGATCTCAACGATACTCCCATGCAGCTGGGTGACGACCATGAAGATGTCGGGCTGCAGACGTGGGGGGCGTCCATCGCATTCTCGCAAATGTTTTGCAATGCGCCGGCAAAATTTCTACCAAGCACGAAGGAGCTGGGTTCTACGACACGAGTCGTCGAACTTGGCGCGGGAACAGGACTCGTCAGCCTGGTTCTCGCAAGCGTATTATCATCAATAGCCGCTTCACAACCGTCAATCGTTGCGACAGACTACCATCCCGCCGTGTTGAAGAACCTGCAAAGGAATGCAGCCTCCCACCACAAACCAGGATCTACCGCTTTGGTTCAAGTGGCTCATCTTGATTGGTGTGCGCCGACGCGGGAACCTCCTCTGGACGTGCCGGCAGACATGATCGTTGCAGCAGACGTCGTCTATGCTGCAGAACATGCTCGATGGCTTCGTCAGTGCGCTGCGTACCTGCTCGCGCCCGATGGCGTCTTTTGGCTGATGGCCTCTATCAGGCCCAATGGCAAATTCGCCGGCGTCTGCGATTCGATAGAAGCCATCTTCGCTGAGCAAGACACCGCTGCCGCGAACGTCCGCGGTCATTTGAGGATCCTGGACCACCAGTGGATAGACAAGAAGCACAATGTTGGGCGAGCGGACGAAATCGGGTATAAGCTCTTCAGAATCGGATGGGCGTGAAATACCCGCGGGTACCTATTTGAGATGACCATTTGTCTTTGGCGTTATGGCGACCGGGAAATAAGCATACCTTAGGCTACATGGATAGAGCGTCGGGTATGGACAATAGACTAGACCTAGAGCAAGAATATGGCGGTATAGAGGGCTATAGACGGAACCTTTGATATCTTGATCACCTATATATTTATTACTACTACCGGCTCACTATAAAGTTATTCCTCGCGGGTGGTTTCGAGACAAGGCGTTGTGACTTTCCCAGATGTGGCTGGCCCCAGACTTGTTGAACATCTGCGAAATTGGGTCGGGTCATTACCACCAGTCGCAATTGTAGCGGAGCCAGACAGTCTTCTTCAGCAGTCGCACTGTTAGGCCTCCAAACCATCTCAATATCCGTGAACCCGAATCTCTCGGCTACCGCCTTCATCACGCATGGCAATGGAACTCGAAGGGCCCACGCAGCAGAAGGGTGCCAGGAGGATCAAGGGCCGGGTCGCGATCGCGTGCACCGAGTGTCGCAGCCAGCATCTGCGGTGCGATGCTATCGTGCCGACGTGCTCCAGATGCCGCAACTTACGCAAGACATGCGTCTACTTGGACCTGCGGCGGAGTCGTCGGAGGCATGCCAGTGTCGAGAAGGCGACGCATCCGAGGCATCGCCATGGGACTAATAATGAGACCAGAGCCACTCCGGTATCTCTTCCACAGAGCCGGGCTTCTGAGGGAGCCCAGTCACCACTGACGCGGTTTATCGCGTCCAGCCACGCCGTTGTCCCGGCGCCGTTTGTGGACAGCTACCTTCTCACAAGCAGACCGGCCGACGCTTTCTATAAGTTTTTCTTTCCAGGCCATCCTTTTGTCCTGCCGAGATATCATTTGATGCGCCGATCTGAGAGGACTACGGACGTCAACTGCGGTCTCGTCCTGATCATCACTTTCATTGGCTCGATATACATACACGATGTACTATCAAATGAGTATAAGCAGGCCGCCGAGCGGGCGTTGAGTGAGCAGCTGGCGCCCAATGGCTTCAATGTTCAAGCTCTGATGCTACTGGCTCTTACCTTGGAATGGTCGGGTGAGAATGAGAGAGCGGCAACCATTCTTGAACAGGCAAAGACAATGGGCCTAGAAATAGGAATTCAGAAGCGGAATTTCGCTTCCACACATGGCTATGGAGACGAAGTGCTGGAGGAAAGCTGGCGGCGAACGTGGTGGGAGCTCTACGTGACTGATGCCCTCTTCGCGGGCATTCGCCATTTGCCTACCTTCTCACTTTGGGGAGTAGACGCGGATGTCGATATTCCTTGCGAGGAAAAACAGTACCTGGGAGGAGTAAGATATACCACTCGAGCGCACGTTACTTTCTTCTCTGCTGACTGCTCGTTAGACGATTCCTCAGCCCCGAACGATGAGTGACTATGATGATCGCGGGTTCGACGACAACTGCGAAGGCTTTTCTTCATTTGCATATCTCATTGATGCCACTCGCATACTTGGGACAACTCTGGCCGCAGGTGACATTGCCAACAAATCTGCTTATTCTTTTGTCAAGAACGCTGAGGCAAACCTCATGAGCTGGGACTTGCATTTACCACGGTCGAAACGCGACCCTGTTCAATCCGATGGAACTGTCGACGAGATCCTCTTCAAGGCTCATATGACAAAGAACACGTGAGCATAGCCCTCGCATAGGACCATAATGGTTCCATCAGCCTCTACCCTACTCCGGGTGGCTACTGACAGTTACATGTAGCACGTCTACCCATCTCCATCGGCCAAGGTCGATGCTACACTACACCACGATGGAGCTTCTATGTTCCAAATACGCGCCACCACTTCCCGCAGAAGTTCTCAGTGAAGAAGAGCAACATCTTGATAGGCACACGCACAAGGCGATAAACGCTGCTAAAAATTTTGTCGACCTACTTACCGCTTCTTCTTCCCCGCTGACACACAGCCCGTTTGTGATGTGCATGGGATCATTGGCTGTAGCCACTTGTCTCTCGAGCTGTGAGCATATCCTGACAGGCAGCGAAATCATACGGGCAAAGGACCGGGTTCGGGTATTTCTAGGCGTACTGAAAGCGTTTGCGACAATATGGTCGCAGGCCAGGCACTGGTCGGGAGAGATTAAGCTCATGGCAAACGTTGTTCTTGGACAGCAAGATGGGGCTGGACAAATCGATTTCACTTCTATGCAAACCATGACAAACTTTGAAGACACGTCATTAACTTGGTAAAGTGCCAGAAGGAGTGGACAGTCGGATCTGGGTACGAATGGGGCGGTTGAAGGGAGATAAGGTATAAGAGAATAATATCTCTGACAGCATATTGCTCAGTTCAATTTCATGCAAGCTGCTATTCAGCCTGGAATTTAATCACTGCCTTTCCCTTTCTGCCTCTTTGCGATGCATATTTCCAAGCTTCTACCGCCTCTTCCACCTCAAACACTTGGACAGGAATTGGCTTTAGTGCGCCATCGTCTATAAGCGAGGCCACCTCTGAAAGAGCATCGCCGTCTGGGGAGACGATGAAGTGCAAGCATTTCACGTTTGGATAAGTTTGCAACTCTTCAGGTTGTCCCCTGCCAAAAGCCCACTTCGGAGCTGGATCACCGACTGTTACGATGTATCCGTTCTCTTTCACCACTCTCCAAGATTTTGAGAATATGTCCCCTCCAACTGTATCGAAAACAGCATCCATTCCGTGAACCTTGGCGTACCACTCTGGGGAGCTGTAGTCCAGGACTTTGGTTGCTCCTAGCTCGGCCAGCATGGCGTGGTTTGAAGGAGACGCTAGGCCGATGACCTCTGCATTGAGGAACTTTCTGGCAATTTGAACAAGCATGGCGCCAACAGCTCCCGAAGCGCCCGTGACGAAAATTTTGCTGCCCTGCGCAAGCTTTGTGTGCTTGAAAATGGCTTCCCATGCGGTTAACGCAGGGATGGGAAGCGCTGCCGCCTGCGCATGGGAAATCGAGGATGGTTTGACAGCGACCTCATTTGGCATGGCGATGGCGTACTCTGACTGACCTCCATGAGGAGCATCTGCGTGAAGCATGGCATACACGCTTTCCCCAAGAGACAGTGGGCCATGATATTCAGGGCCGAAGGCTTCGACTATGCCGGAGATGTCATGCCCAGGGACTCGATTAGGTGAAGCATACAGCTCGGGCCATATGACCTCGTCCGCCGTTATGCCGGCAGCATGGACCTTGATGAGAACTTGGCTGCCTGTAGGAGATGGCCGTGACAAGGCATCTGAAAGGACAATGTGGTGGTTTTCTTGGCTTCCCAAGACCTGAATAGCTTTCATCTTGATAATACCGAGAAGAAAGTAAGGAAATCGAAGACGGTATCGATTGTGTAAATGAAGTTGAGACAACTTTCGCCCTTGTGAGCGTATGCAACAGGGTTGTGTGTGGAAGAGACAGGATATGTCTGTTCGGCGTTGTTTGGGGACATTATATTTATAGGACTTTTGAATCAATGGAAATGCTTCTAAAGAGCCCTGTGGCTGAGATGATTTCAAGCAAGTTGATCGAGCTTCGGGTATTCTGTCAATGGCTTTGAGTGGTACATGTGAAGAAGCACTCGGGTCGGGCCATTCGGGAAAGCGACCCGAATGTGGCGCTGGGCCCATGGTCTGTTCGACCCGACCCGAATGATAGGCAAGTTTAGCAAAAGAATTCTCTGCTTCATAGCCAGGCCAACATTTGTAAGACCAATGGCTTGACTGGGCCGTTAGTCGGGTTGGGATATGCTTGACCCGAATCGTAGCACATTTCAGTTGACATTATGTCACCAGGGCCTTGTGTCCTCCGTGTCTACATAAAGTACAGCCAAGTGCCCCATCGTTCCGTCAGATTTCACCGTTGGAATATTCCTTTTCCAGAGAAACAAGAACAAGCAAGGACCGTTGTAGCAACTACCATGGCATCTCCTGTGACTATAACGTGAGCATTCTGATGCGACGTCTGTATAAAAATACTGAAGCTCTTGTTTAGCAATCGACCGCGAGAGGATATAAAAGTCGTCTTTGATCATGAGCTCACCAATGCACCGGGCAAATCAATCATCGGACTTCGCCTGAACTATCCTCCCGATGGTTTTACCCCTCCACATCGACATGGCGGTGCAACTGTTGTCGCCCATATTCTCTTAGGCGAGCTCTTGAGTGGCATGAACGGCAATCCGCCCAGGGTTTACAAACCGGGGGAATCTTTCGTCGAATTGCCTGGATGTCATCACACCGTGGGAGAGAATAACAGCAAAACTGGGTCGACTCAGGCTCTCGCCATCTTTGTGGTGGACACTGAAGTGGTTAAGGCCGGCGGTTATGCAGCCTTGACGGTGCTTGACGAGGGATGGTAGATGATGCGCGCATTTGCTTCAGGACAACGTAGAATTGCCGAGGTATACAGAGCAATCTGCATTACTAAGATAATGAGCTTTCATAGTTCACAAGAGAAACCAGTGACATTGCTTAACATGTCCCCAATATTACAACCACCTCCCATACCCAATGTCTCACCTGTCCAAGTGTTGCTCAGGTACGATATTCTGCTCCACAGTCACCGACATCTTGGAATATCTCGGATCTTCGACTTCGCATCAAGACAGCTTCAATCATATCGAGATCTGATTGATCAAGCGACCAGCCAAAACTGGCCAAGTTCTCATCGGTGTGGTCGCTTATGCCCATACGTGCACCGACGATGACCGCGCCAACAAAGGGAAAGTCCAACACCCAACGAGTAGCGACGTTGGATATGGACACTTGATGTCTCGAAGCAATGATGCGCAGCACGGTCAGTAATTCTTGGAAGAGAGCCCAGCCGCCCCAGCTGCGTATCATTTCGAAATACTAAGGCCAAAATCGTCAGCAAGACCGGCCGGGGCAGCATCATTAGTTCGTTGTCATTGTACCTTTCGCTGGCTTGGGGTGATTGACCCATTGTATATATCTGGCTCGGGCTTTCCGAGCCATTCGTCGGCAAGAAATCCACCGCACTGGGTTATCACCGTTAGACTTGTCAGGAGAAGATCGGTCCTTGAGCGAAAGGCTTACCAGCGTGCCATATGTCAGGAGTCTGATGTTGTGCTTTAAACAAACGCTTCCCATTTTAAACACAGGTCGAGAGTCGACCAGAGAAAACTGGGCAAATCAGCTGTCATTCGATACCAAAGATATGTGCGTCGTACCTGAACTTGGTTGGTGTATATTTTGATACCGGCTTCAATCACGTCGATGAGATGCTTTGTATCAAAATTGCATAGACCAACCGTCTCTATGCGAGTATCCTCTGTCAGGAACCTGAGAGCATTGAGATAATCCGGATCTTGATACTTCGACATCTGTTAGCGCGAGACCTGCATTTCCTGGCTGGCCTTTGAGCGCCTACAAATTGCCAATGGAATTGCAGTAGGTTGATCTTCTCAGTCTGCAATCTGTAACATCGTTCGGTAACATTTGCTTGTACGGCGTCTCGAGTTACCGTCATCGGGTGGAAAACGCAATACTTTGTTGCTGTGAAGATTGCATCTCTATGAGGATACAATGATGAAAAGCGGCCCTAGGGTGCAAGTGAGTGCTTGATTTTGTAGGGAGCCTTTGCTCTACTTACGAAAACAACCTCGGCATCACCATAATGGTCGGCCATGTCAAAGGCTGTAAATCCTTGTCGAACATGTTGTGAGAATTGCTCGACAATCTTGGCCGACGATGCAGCCCCCCACGCGGGACTGGACATCTGCCATAGTCCCGAGAATATTCGCGGGACTTTGTGTCCATTGAGCAGAAATGTTTCTCTCGCTATTCGCGGCAATGGAATCATGGAAGTCTGTTCACTTAGACTCTGGTACCCATCTGGGAGAGCAGGTCGAGGCAGCCCGAGGATACCGGCCGTAGAGACTAGGCTTCGACTAAATGGATATTCTTGGTTTGTCGCTTTCAGAGCAGTATGGCAGCTCGTCAATGATTGATAGAGAGCTTCAACCAGAGAATGCTCCCGGCTGTCCATGGGCCGTGCGCCAGTATTTATAAGTAGAGACTTCTGAACGGCTGTCATGGCTTGCACAATATCGCCATCCACGCTTGTCAGAAAGGCGCGCAGTTCGCCTAGACTGCCATCACTGATGCGTGAAAGCAGAATCGTCCCTTGAGAAACTATATTCTGGAAAAGCTGTAGACTCTTAAACGATAGTCCACAGCCAAGCATACTGCGGGCGATCTGTTGCGCCTTGGCGAGATCCGGAAGGCAGACCTTCTTGTCTTTTCCTGCTATTGAAGACAAGCCCCTCTGCTCGACATACTTTTTTGTCTCGCGCTCAAAATCGCGTGTTATTCCTGGAAACAACACCAAAAGTGACCTCATTACCACTCGGAGGCCATCTGCAGGGAGATTGGCGATGATTGTGTCGGTCATCATATTGACGTGCGCCGCACTGACACCGCTGCCCTGCTGTGAAATGGCCATGTTGAAAAGTGTTTCCGATGCAAAAACACTTCGGTAGGCGGGCCCAATAATATCATTAAATATGAACGGAGTAGGAATACATATTTTGACAACGGGCTGGCCCGCGATTGGTGTTTACCGACGAGCAGGCTATTGCCTTGAGCTTATCAGCAGCTCGTGATCTTGCACAGACACCCATCTTGTCATGTGAGATCATATATAACTGCCGGCGTCTTACAACGGCAAGTCATCGGCGTTCAACAGTAGCTCAGTGTAGCACCTTGAATAGGTTGCCGATCGGCCTCTCACCCCACAACCGCCCATCTCTCTCAATAGCCTTGATAGTGTCACTGCCACGGCAGAACGGGAGTTGGTACAAGCTCCCTCTGCCTAATGGCTCATTGCATGTGGCAACCCGATGAAGGCTTTCTATCACTGCGGGGTTGCGGTACTACTACCTCGTGATATCCTGATCCAAGTACACAAGATACGAAGCGCCAACAACAGCTGCCGACCACCTCCTCGGTATCCCATACGACAGCCGTTTCAAGATGACTCGTCAGCCTCACCCACAGAAAGCCAATAAGTCCGCAACAGACCTAGTCATCACTTGTCAGGCCCACAGTCTCCACTGATCCTTTCCATGCCATCCATTGTTTTCGCGTTCTGGCCGTTGCGTCCACGGCCGAGTTGATTCTCCACCACCAACTGACATATCGGGTCGTCGCGAGCCAGCTGCTACCGTAACTAGGCTACACGCGTTTGTGGCTACTGACCTCGCCATGAATGCCTGTCTTCCATGTCGAAAGGTAAAGATGAAATGCCGGCAAGGCGGCCAACCGGCTTCTAAATGCGAGCGATGCGCGCGGAAGTCTCTCGACTGCGTGTTTCAGCAGCACCGTAGAGGCCGCAAGCCTGGGACAAAGTGAGTGAGAGCTTCTTAGAGTCACTGACAACGAGATTGACGAAATGCGAACCTTGCTAGGATCGCCAAGCGAAACGTGCCGGCTGCACATTCGGCTGTGAGGATGACGCCGGAATACACCGGCGGCCCTCCATCCATTGCAGAGAGTGTGCCAGCTGAAGAGCCTGGCAACTTGCAGCCGTCGGGAGTGCTCAACCAAGAAGCAATGCGAGGCAAGTTCTCGCTCCGCCGAATACTCAGCACCGCGGATGGCGATGCTATGGAACCGCCTGAAGCCTCTCGTCCTAGCCGACCAGAAGACCCAATTGAGATGGGCATCAGCAACCTCTCCATTGCCAAATCCCTTTTCGAAAAGTTGGTGAATCACTACTTAGAGCGTTGATGCTTCGTTAAAGACTAATGTGAGGCTTTGTAGCTTCATTCTTGTCCTAAATCCATACATAAGCCAGCTGGATCCCCATCTGCACACTTTCTTCTACGTCCGCCAAAAGTCATCCTTTCTATTCACAGCTATTCTTGCAATGTCTGCAAAGACGCTCAACCCCATTGTATACAATGCGCTGTATGACCATGCGCAAGACCTTTACACCGACAGCTTTCGGAATGGCCTCAAGTCAACGGAGATTGTCCAGGCCATTCTCATTCTCACCTATTGGAAGCAGCCACAAGATACGCGAGCGTGGACATCGATAGGATATGCCATTCGCATGTGTATGGACATGGGATGGCACAAGTTGGCGCCTTACTCCGCATCCAGTCAGGCCATTGTGGACGAGGTAAGACGGCGCGAGATTCGCAATATCGAGAGAACGTGGTATGTGCTGTTTGTATATGATCGAAGGTAAGTCACAGCGCTCCAGCCATAGCCACTGATCCAGGCACGGCGATAGCTAACAGCTTTCCAGTATCAGTCTTCAAACCGGGAGGCCGTGGATGATTGAGCGCAATGAATTCATCGAGTCAATCGACGCATGGTGTAGTGATGCCATCGCGGACCGAAACGACGATTTGCTTGGTGCCTTTGTCAATTTGAGACTGATGACCTCTTCAATCTTTTCTCTACATGCTCCCAGGCATCAGCGAAATGAAAGAGTACCAATGGAGTATATGGAGACTTTGCTTTCGCTTAAGAAAGCCAGCATCGAGAGATGGGAGAGCCACTGGACCCAAGAGGTGGAACGGAAGCAGTCGTCAGAGGAAGGGACGTGCCACAAGTTTCTCATCCGGTTCTATGGTACACATTTTCGGTTGCAGCTCTTCTCGTTGCCTCTACAAGACGTGCTGTCGTCGGAATGCTCAGATTCATCCCTTCATTTGGACATCATCTGGGCCGCATTCACAGGTGCAATGGACATGTTGAAGCTGATATCGCGGCATTCGGCGCAGCTGTATTTTGCTCAAGACTCGATCCACGTCATGACCGCCTATAGCGCAGCTTTTCTTGTCAAGGTAAGCTTTATGAACTTTACATCTTCTATCGTCGCGGTTGCTTTGTGATTTGCGGTCCTAATGCTGGCGATATATCATTAGCTTCTCCTATCTGCCCCCGATGAAATAGTCCAAGAAGTTGAGTCCTCAACAGTAGATGTCATTCGTGATGCCGCTCAAGCCTTCTCTCACCAGGCATCAGCTGCAGGGACAAGTTGCGAACTGCAAGCACGATTTCTCCATAACATTGCAGCAAAGCTCTCTCGGAGGAGTAGGAAGGAAAGCGCCGCAATGCCGACAAAGATCTCGGGATTGAATCGACATGTACCCCGGGATCAAAAGGACGCGGCGCCAGCCGAGCTTCCCTTCCTACCACCAGAAGTCATTCCAATCATGCCCCCGCCTCTTGAGCAACCTCTCCCTGAGGTTTTCATCTTTCAGCATACTGACCTAGATCCATTATTCATGGATGACGGCGCATGGGCTGATATCTTGGCAAGTGCCGCTCTCAACACTCAAAATGGTGTATTATTGGCGTGATAATATGATGCTCTGTAACTCAAGACTTTACTGATGTCCGGACCTTATATCGTCCCCGCATCCTCTGGAAATGATCTAATGTCTTATACATCATGAGTGCAGTCGTACTACAGTCGTTTCCGCGTGACTAAACGTGCGAATGGCTTCCCTGATAATCTTCAACTGCGACGGGCAATTTGGATCTGGACACGCTATCAAAGCATCGGTTGTCATCCAATCGTTTGGAGCCGTGACTCTCTGTTTTGCAGGAAGAAGTGGAATAACACTGGCTGCTTCACATCAGCACTTCCCCCCTTTCATTCACCGACCGAATTATATACAGCTTACCCAGCGAGTATATACTGATACCCTGGTCGGGCGGCAGATATATCATTTCTCCTTGCAAAGTAAAATAATCCCCCATCTTGGCTCCGCACATAATTCGTCTTCCTGGAGGGCAAACAACTTCAATCCGAAGGTCGTAAAGCTGGAACGAATCGTCTTGAGAATTAGAGTAGGCCATATTAGATCGATCTCTTAGCGGATGCGGAGTAATGTCGAGTGACTCGTTTTTGCAAGAAACACAGTGTCATGGGGCACAGGTGTGACCTCCAGCCCTTACAGGTTATCAGCAACAGTAGAATTGTGACTTGTTTACAGAATCCTTTCGTATACCGCGTCGATAGTTTGTATTCTTCCTCGTCATCTTGATATATCTCAATGACTGGCTTGTCGCTGGTGGAGAAAAGCGTACTAGGTAGTCAGACCGGCGATCAAAAAACCAAGTGAAAGACGCCGGTAACGGTGACCAAATGTTCAACGAATGTGCAGATCTGCATCAAGCTAATTCGTTTCGAAGTACGGTGTACCGATGCTGTTATCAGAGTGGGCTATCAATCCAATTGCAACACACCTGCGCTTCAGCAGGTCCTATTGAGATAAAGGTGCGTGGAGAGTGTGGTGAGTCTGAACGGCGTGTGCGTGGGATAAAGCATATTTCAAGAAGGTCGAATCCCTCTTCGTACCATGAAGAAAGTAGATCCTTGCTCCCAAGGGGGGTCGTCATCCTCCCTATCGCCTGGTGCTTACGGCTTAGCTGTCTTTCCGTCTTTCCAACGCTCTATGCAGATAAACTTGAATGTTTCATGAACAGCCGTCGACACTGGTGAGGAAGATCTCACAAAGGCACAGTGACATTTGCAGAAAAGCTACAACAGCCGGCCCAACAAAGTGCATCTCGGCAAACTACCATACCTAGCCATTGATCGCAGTTGAGCGCCCAATGGCAACGGAAAAGGACTTGAAATGCAGCGTGGTCAACACCGACACGTCTCACGATGGAGAGGTCTATTCAGTCGCCATCACGACTAGCGGTCTCAAACGTGACCTCAGTTCCCGCCATATCAATATGATCGCCATTGCCGGAATGATCGTACGTCGAGATAAAGCTGCTACGCTACCCTTGGCAACCAACAATGACCATACATATATACTGACCGCGCCTAACCGCGTGCAAATAGGGCACTGGTCTGTTTCTCGGCTCAGGGCAAGCGATCGCGGCTGCAGGCCCTGCTGGGGCCCTTTTGGCGTACATTCTAATGGGACTCGTCACTGCCGGGGTCTCTTATACGACGGGAGAGATCACCGCATTCATGCCAGGAACAGGTGGGTTCATCAGGCATGCGACCAGCTTCGTGGAGCCGGCACTTGGCGCAGCGGCAGGCTGGAACTTCTGTGAGTTTTTTCTGCGGCATTCCCGTCGCCTTGCGCGGTGTTGCATTTCGTGTCCTGCATGCTTACAAAAAGCCAGGGTATACAATGGCCATCACGGTCCCTGCAGAGATCAGCGCGGCAGCTACAGTAATACAGTTCTGGAACGGCTCGGTGAACCCAGGTGCTTGGATCACCATCTTCCTGGTTGCTATTGTCACTCTGAATCTTTGCGGTGTGCGTTTATATGGCGAGGTATGTTTGCTGCAAATTCACAGTCCGAAGCCAGGATTACTGACCAGAGTCAAGTCCGAAGTCATCTTCGCATCTCTGAAGATCATGCTCATTCTGGGCCTCATCATCGGTGGCCTTGTCATCGATCTCGGAGGAGGGCCCAGTCATGAGCGTTTGGGTTTTCGCTATTGGAAGCATCCGGGAGCGTTCAGCGAGTATATAGAAACCGGAGCGGCAGGACGCTTTCTTGCGTTCTGGAAAGTAATGCTCACGGCAGCATTCAGTTATGGCAACATTCAGGTTGTCGCCATCTCCGGTTCCGAAACCCGCTCACCCAGGAAAATCATCCCGGCGGCTACGAAAAAGACGTTCTACCGCGTAATGCTATTCTATGTCCTCAGCATCTTCATCGTTGGTCTCATTGTGTGAGTTGCCTCTTCACTCGGCTAAGCTTTGTTCCGATGCTCATCAACTGCTGAACAGTCCATATGATGATCCGTCACTCTCCCTCTCCACTGGCACTGCTCAGCAATCTCCTTTTGTGATTGCGTTCCAACGATCCGGCGTGGAAGTCCTTCCATCCATCATCAACGCCATCGTATGCACCTCTGCCATCAGCAGTGGCTCAGCTTGCATCTTCATCGCCTCCCGCACTCTGTACGGCCTAAGCTGTGATGGACACGCCCCTCGAATCTTCCAGCGCTGCAACCGATTTGGAACGCCTTATTATGCCATTGGTTTGACTTGCGTCCTGTTGCCCCTTGTTTACTTGAATGTCGCCAACAACACGTCTGTGGTCTTTGGGTGGTTTGTCAATATTACGACAGTCTCGGGCTTAATCGGCTGGGTAGTCATTGAAGCTACATATCTACGCTTCTACACCGGCCTCAAGAAACAAGGCATTTCGAGAGACTGTAAGCTTCACGGGCCAATGATGCGCACAAATGCATTGTGATCACTGCTAACAGGACTTTCAGTGCTTCCGTACAAAAGCCCACTGCAGCCTTATGGTTCGTGGGCGACTTTGTTTGTGGTGAGCCTGGTGATCATCTTCTCAGGTACGTGCTTCCCATTCACAAGTTACGTATTCAGATTGCTCACATACAACGTTAGGGATCGATGTGTTCATCAAAGGACACTTTACCGCAGCAGGGTTTTTGACTTGCTACCTGAACATTGGGATATTCATCGGTATGGCACCTCTGGGAGCGTCCCGATCTTCTCTCGCCTTGCTAACGTGCTATTCAAGCACTGTACGCCTTCTTCAAGGTCTTCTTCAAGTCGAAAATCATCCCCACATCTGAGATCGACTTTGAGACCGAGTTCTCAGCAATACGTCGAGAAAAGGATGCCGAGGAGATCGCACGTTAGGCGCTGTGTTTTTGTGTTTAAAGTTGTAAAGTTTTCTCATGAAGCCATCCGCGACAATCCCTTTCGTAGCAAGAGCATGTATGCATGATACTCACCATCGAGCTTTTTTTTTTTTTCTTCTCTAATACCTCATACCATCAGTATCTACGAGTGGTCTATCACTTACTTGCTCCACACGCCATCGCAACTGCCCATTCCTCTTTCACGAGTCATTGGTCCACCCTCTTCCAGCTGGTGTTTCGCTTCCAGTTCTCTAGCGGCCGAAAGCGCTCCTCGTTTTATACACATTGGGCGCAACCCCGCCCTTTGATGAAATCCACATCAGCGTAGCAGTGGAGGTTCCACGGATAGATGGCGGGAGTTTCTGCACACAGTAGGTCTATGAGAACCATCGGGGGCTAATGGCTGCTGTTTTACGGCCGGGGCCGCCAGACTGAAGATGGATAATAAAGTCGTGCGGTTGCCTCGTTTACTATGTTTAGCATCCCCTCTCACCATACCCCTCTCCCACCATATCCATCAAACGCTGTCCTTGACTAACAACAAGTATATCCAAATTGCTGAACATGGCTGCTCCCTCAATTGAACTCACTGCGCCAAACGGCAGAAAATGGAACCAGCCTACTGGACTATTCATTAACAACGAGTTTGTTGCGTCATCCAGCGGCGAGACGATTGCATCCATCGACCCAGCGTAAGCGAACATAGCAAACAGCCATTCGACGCTGAGATTGAGCCACCGGTGACTGACTTGTGCGAAACAGCACCGAAGAAACTATCACAAGGGTTCAGGCCGCTGGCGCTGAGGATGTGGACAAAGCTGTCAAGGCTGCAAAGGCCGCGCTGAAAGATCCCTCTTGGAAACAGCTCTCGGCTTCTGATCGTGGCCGTTTGATGACTCGTCTCGCCGACTTGATCGAGGCCAAAAAGGAAGTTTTTGCGACAATTGACGCATGGGACAATGGTAAGAAGACCTGCCGTTGCACGATCATGACATTGGCTACTTTCTTCCTCCATAGGTCGTTCTGCTGTGGCAAGAAGGCTAATCTTCATATTCGTTCAGGGAAAACGTACCAAGAAGCGTTGGACGTTGATCTGCTTGAGGCCGTAGCCGTGATACGGTACTATGCTGGGTGGGCAGACAAGCAGTACGGTCAAACGATCAGCACAACGCATCAGAAGTTTGCCTACACTCTTCGTCAGCCCATCGGAGTCGTTGGTCAAATCATTCCGTGGAACTATCCTCTTTCGATGGCCACCTGGAAGCTGGGGCCTGCACTTGCTTGCGGCAACACGGTGGTGCTCAAAGCGGCGGAACAGACGCCGCTAAGCATACTTGTTCTCGGAGAGCTTATCAAAGAGGCCGGATTCCCGCCCGGAGTTGTGAATTTCGTCAACGGGTACGGAAGAGATGCCGGGGCTGCCCTGGTGAACCACCCCTTGGTCGACAAGATTGCCTTCACAGGCTCGACAGCGACGGCCGCAAATATCATGGCGTCTGCAGCCAAGACACTAAAGAATATTACTCTCGAAACCGGAGGCAAATCGCCACTCGTCGTCTTCAGCGATGCCGATATGGATCAAGCCGTCAAATGGTCTCACCTGGGCATCATGTCCAATCAAGGCCAAATCTGCACCGCTACCTCCCGAATCCTGGTCCAAGACGAGGTGTACGATGACTTTGTGCAGAGATTCCTCGAGACTCTCAAGGTTGTCAGCAAAGTGGGCAGCCAATGGGCAAAGGATACATACCAGGGCCCGCAAGTGTCCAAGGCGCAATACGATCGAGTCTTGGAGTATATCGAAATCGGCAAAAAGGAGGGCGCAACAGTTGCGGCCGGAGGGCACCCTCTAAATGTTGATGGCAAGGGCAAGGGCTTCTTTGTCGCTCCGACAGTATTCACCGATGTCAATCCTTCCATGCGCGTCTACCGAGAAGAAATATTTGGACCTGTCGTTGTCATTCTGAGGTTCAAGACGGAGGATGAAGCATTGGAATTGGCGAACAACACTACGTATGGCTTAGGTGCCGCCGTCTTCACGACCGACCTCGAACGGGCTCATCGTATGGCGGCCGAGATTGAGTCCGGGATGGTATGGATCAACAGCAGTCAAGACTGTGATCCGCGGGTGCCTTTCGGAGGCGTCAAGCAGAGCGGTATCGGCAGGGAGCTTGGAGACGCGGGCCTCGAAGCTTATTCTCAGATCAAGTCTGTGCATATCAACATGGGAAATCGATTGTAGTGATGTTGCATGGTAGCAAACAGAGCACCTTATGGGGGTGAAAAGAGCAACAAGCTATAGAGGACGAAGAACAGAGGGGGGTGTATGAACATTGTTCAGTATATGTAGTATATATAAGGTTACTAGTATATAGACTGCGGTTTGAATGTACCTCATTAGTAGAGGATAGCCTCATGGCCTGCAGCCGGTCTTCGAGTCCAGGCTCTACTTGTTGCTTGGACCGTGGCCGCCGGTCACGTCAGAGCTCATCTTCTGGGCTTGTGACTCAGTGCATGTAAAGCCAACCGGCCCGTTAACGTTGAAGCAGTCCCATATATCCAGCAGCTCGTCAGTGCCCTCCTTGGTAACATCAAAGTCTGTCACCTCGAAGTCGTCGCATCCTCCAGCCGCGGCGCTGCATTGGAAATATGCCGCCTCCGTCACTCCAGATTGCACTGTTCCGCTGACCCGCCTCCACGCGACGTTTTCCATCTTGAACAAGGAGGAGTCGCAGTCTTGACCGGCGAACCCAGAGTAATTCTCGCATTGCCAGGCGAAGAATGGCTGCTGTCGTCCACCAATCAGATTGACATCCTCGATGGTAATGTTTCGGGCGACGCCGTAACCACCGCCTCCACCGTTGGGGGGGTAACCTCTGGAGATGCCAGCCCATGTCTTAAGATAGGATACGTGGGCAGTGTTCTTGAGAGTGATGTTTTTCGCATAGAAATTTTCCAGATACTCATATTGGCCATTATACTGCCCCATCGAGCCGATGGCTATGCCCTGTCCGTTCTCGAAGTAGCTGTCGTACACAGCAATGTTGCTCGAGTTCATCTTGAGGGCAATGCCATCGTCGCCATTGGAGACGGTCCATCTTCTAAACGTGATGCTGTCTGAAAAGATGGTGTCGCAGCCATCCGTATTCAGGGTGCTCCACTGGCTTGTTGATGTACTATTGACGTAGATGTCATCTAGATCAACATGCTGGGAGTAAGTGATGGCCATTGTCCACATCTGGCTCTGAACAAAGCGCAGCCTTCGAATGACAGAATTGGTAAGGGTGCGGAGGTTGATGTTCATCGGCCGGTGAGCCAAATTCCCTTGGCTCTTGGCCCAGTCGTACCAAACTTGGCCGTTGCCGTCAAGGGTACCAACACCCCAGCCATCCCAGATCACATTGTTGCCTCCAAAGTACCAGACTGTACTCTGATTCTGGAAGCCAACCGGCATCGATACTGAGAGCCAGTAGTCAATGTCGGTGCTCCAGAGCAGGCGCCCAAATTGATGGATGACGACGTCTTCAAGGTCCAAGGTTGTCATATTGGTCTGAATGTTGTACACAGGGCCAGGGAGGATGACGAGGCTCTTTGAGTTGCATCTGTTGTTGAGAGCATCCATAATGGCCGGGGCATCATCGCCGCCATCGGTATCTGGTTTAACGTAGCAGAAATGGCGACCTTGAGCTGCCGCTTGGTTTGCCCAATGAGACTCCGACTGGGCGGCATTTGCCTCCCTGCCCATAAGATCTTGGGCCGCAGAGGACACTGCGAGAGCAGTGGGCAATGCTGCCAGAATGAAGGATGATAGCGCAACCATTGTATAGGCGGATGGCGTAGTACGATAAACGACTGATTATCAGCAATATGTGGATATGATGGAGGAAATCCTGCTATGGCTAACAAGACAGCTTCGTTGCCATCGGTTTGACAAGTAGCCGATGATGGGCGGAATCTTTGTCTATACTCTGGCCATTTTACCAACTTCTCGATAATTTGAGCGAATAGCCTCCTATTTATATGGCTATTAGTTGAGCTACAGAGCGTTCTACATCGTAAATGCACTCCGAGAGCAGAAGCCGTGCAATGTCTCCTTGCGTCACAGCCTAGATTAAAACCCCCTCTCGCGAACAATGGAAGCCTGCACTAAGCCAAATCATGCCAATGTCGCCGCGCCCATAAATAAATTATTCAAGACAAACCAAGCAGAAAGCATGATCCGAGTCCAAGTGCGAATCTGCAGCGAATCATATTATCGAAAGACTTGCTGCGTAGTGCTACTTCGTACGCCAAGGCCATATTTACCGCCCGCCGCCCTCAAAGTACCTAGGGTGTGGATCTACAAGTTGAGGTTAATCTGAATACCAAGCCTCCCTGCGGCGAGAAGGTTGGTTGTTGTGCTTGCCGGTCCAATCGGGAGCTGAGATGACGTCGCAAACGGCTCAAGATGCTGTGAAGCGCTCTCGGGTATAGAGGGAGTGGCTCTCTGATCGGCCGAGCATTGTTCGCAAGACCCGTCCTGTGCTTTGAGAAACTGATCCTACCAAGTACCAACCGTGTCTGAGCAGCTCCATCGGATGCCGCTAATTTCTTCACGGGGCCTACCCCAGATTTTGCTCCCCACCACTTCGGGATATGAATGACACGAGACCCAGGCGGAGGGAGCAGAACCATACACAGAGAATGAAAGTAGCTACTCCTTACGAACTACCGGCGCCTGTTCAATGCATAATGTGGAACAAGGCCGGATCATCGGCTTCTGAATCCTACATTATGTGTGCGACATGCTTGCTGAACTAAGCCAGCGTTTATGTGACACCAGGCAGGTATACCAGCGCTTATGACTTTAAATGAGCCGCATTTTGAAACATCCCTCATTGCAAATGAATCTAGAACTTCGAACAAGCAAGACATATCAGGTCAGCCGGGCTGTGATGCGGATAAAAGGTGCCATTGTTGGATCCACAGCAGCGTCACACATACAGCTCCCACCACGAGACAAACGCGTGTTGGTTGCAATGTCTTCTGTTTCTGTTGGGTTACATTTGGCATGATAGTCGGTCAATATGCGAGCATTCGTGCCCAAAACATGCTTGCTTTCATGGCATTGCAATGTCAATTGATTTAGGCCAAATCGCATAGAGCGATGCCAGGTTGGATATCCGCGTTGATCGCATCTTGGATCAAGATGCCGTGCTTGTTTATCAGCTTATAATAAGCCCACGATTATTAGGCACTGCTTGTTCTGTACGAGTTATTGTATGTAAGATGTATTGAAATAACAATGTGCACCGTTGCCCCGCCATCTTACAGCATTTTTCGCGTATGAGAGGAACACGATACCAACCAACATATGTATCACGATTGACTTCAGGAGGACTGACGGTGCACAAGCGAGGCAGAGGAGTCAATGACGTTTCTGTCCGTGTGATTTTGCAGTAGCTTTCGTAGTTTCAGGGCTATCAGCCACTCCCGTCGGCATTAACCGTTGCAATTTGCCTATTGCTCAGCTGATGGTGTTCCGTTCGCATACGAGTACAACAGCAACAGCAGCAATGTGGCAAAACATCTCGACCAGAAAACTTTATTACCTGCCTATTACAAGGCTCTATCAGGTATGCGGTCTTGATTCTGGGGTGTCCATGACTTGGGCACATGATGGAACGTTGGTAATCGTTGTGACACCAGGGATTCTGGAAGGGCACGTTCACTGGACGTGAAAACAGAGTAAAGATCAGCGAGCGGGGTGCGACATCAACCATAAACCCAAGCCCGCGAAATCCTGAATTGAGGCGACAGAGGGGAGGTCGCTTTTGCTATACAAGGTTAGCAGAGTTTTTGTAGTAGAAAGGGCGTTGTTGGCGAAGGCGACGAAGGCAGAGAAGGTAGATATGTAGCTGCGTGTAAACAGGCACATGAGATGCAGGGTGCTTGGTGCTTTGATGTTTCTGTGCCGAGAGGAATGCGGCCGTCGGCGTCTCTATCTCGTCAGGCAAAATGAACTGATGTTATGCTGGCTGTCTGGACCATGCTGTTATACCTCATCAATGTGACTCGTACCCTATTGCTACAATTATCATGCACTATCGAGTCCCATGCTCACACAGCGGCTCCATACTCTTACTAAAATCCAGTGAAGCTGCTGATCTTATATCTACTGCTCCATGCTTGTTTTGTTTTAACCCTACTGCTCTCCGTCGCTGCCGTTTGTGAGTGTACCGGTCGACCTCATCAGAGCAGTATATGTAAGTTGGTGTCACTGCATGATGCGAAAAGCAGAGAATTTCTGGGCGACACTTGACCTCCACATAGGAGGAGAAACCTTCCATCTCTCTCAAGTTTACTTAGCTTCTACTCCTTTACCTCCCCTCCGTCTTATTACTAGAACTGCTTCAAGTACGTGAGTAACATGACTAACGAAAAGCACGGCTCCTAGGGGAGAAGAAAGGCGCCTTCTAACGACAAGCTGATAGGCCCACTAAGAGGCCGGCGTATGTAAGAGCAGAATATTAGTCGACGTCGAAACTTCCTTCTACTAATAACAAATTCAGCGGGATCACGCATCACATAATGAAATGCCGAAGTATAACATAGGAATCGCGTTCGCGCTCTCAGTAAAGCGATGATATCTGCGTCGCCTCATTGATTTAGGTGTCACAATGGCCTCAATCTCAACTACGACCGCTATTGAGCTCGCCACGAGCTCCTCTCCAAGTCCTGCGTGGAGTTTGCGTCACTCCAATCTTAACAAGGGCAAAACCCAGCCATCCGAGACAATTACCGCCATAGACCATGTTCTTGAGGCCTCAAGAGAAGTTGATTCGACGGCTCCCGAGGGCGGATATGGCTGGGTCATCGTGGCCAGTGGCTTCGTTCTGCTCTGGTGGTCCCTCGGCACAACATACGCCTGGGGCGTGATGCAGACTGCCTTGGTCGCTGATGGTCTGGCTGATCTGGCCGTGCTCTCTTTTGTCGGGTCGCTGCAGGCGGCCTTGATTTCGGCCTTGGCCATCGTGAACTCGTTGGTCGTGAGGAAGACGGGAGTTCGTGCAGCAGCGATGCTGGGAGCAGCGTGCATGGGCGGCAGCCATATTCTCAGCAGCTTCACGATCAAGAATGTCGGAGCGTTATTTTTCACGTCTGGAGTGGTAATGGGGATTGGCGTCAGGCTAGTATTCCTTTCTGCTACGTCGTGTCTTTGCGCCTAATAGTTAGCTGGTCCGAGAAGACTTTGAGTAGCCTGCTAATGTGAATTGTGACAACAGTCTGTGTTTCGCTGTAAGCTTAGCTTCATCCAACCGGCCTCATATTCTTCTTATAACGCAAGCATGGATGAATTGAGCACACTACATTCGAAGAACACAGAGCATCATGCAGCTAACGTTCACTATGAGCCAGGTCATCTCGACGGTTCCATCACAGTACTTCAGCGCAAGACGGGGCCTAGCCAATGGCTTCATGTTCGCCGGAAGTGGTTTTGGAGGCGCCGCAATCAGCTTTGCACTAGACTCGTTGATTCAAAAGTTGGGCGTTGCGTGGGCATATCGCATCCTCGGGCTAATGACCCTCTCAACAGCTCTCCCGGCGGCATGGCTTATGAAGGAGAGAATCCCGGCTGAGCGACGGGGATTCATTGAGTGGTAAGGCATGCGGTGGTACAGAGCCTCACAGGGCTGGAAAGTAGTTGTGACTGACTGACTGTTGGTAAATCTTAGGAAACTATTCGAGTCGCCCACGTTTGTGCTGATCTTCCTAGGAAGTGCAATAGGAACCTTTCCCCTGTTTGTCCCGCCATTCTTTATCCCACTATACACAAAGTCACTGGGCTTCTCTACCAACGTCGGCGCTGGCCTGGTTGCGGGCTTCAGCCTCTCCTCTGCAGCGGGCCGTATCCTCTCAGGCTTCGCATCCGACAAGATTGGCTCCATCAACACTGTTCTCGCGTCGCTTGTCCTGACCGCCGTTACGATGCTCGCAATATGGCCAACATCCACAACCCTAGCGCCACTCATCGTCTTTGTCGTCATTAACGGTGCTGCCAATGGAGCTTTCTTCTCTACAATGCCGACGGCCATCAGCAAGGTGTTTGGAAGTGCGAGAGTGGCTGTTGCTATGAGCATGGTGGTAACTGGCTGGGTCGGTGGGTATCTGATGGTGAGACCTCACTTCCATAGCTCCTATTTTAGCGACGACAGGCATCATCTGACAAGATTCGTTTACCTACAGGGAGCTCCGATTGCGGGTTACATCTTGGACAGCTTTGGCGGCGCTGACGGCGGTTTACACGCCTACCGACCTGCCATGTTCTATGCTGGTGCGCTTGCGCTTGCATCCGGAATCTTCATTCTTGGTGCTCGATTTTGCATTAACAAATCTCTTTTGGCTGTCGTGTAAACCGTCGAAAAGACACATTACGGCATACTGGGCTTCGGAACGGAGGGCATCATGGTAATCCTCACCATGACGGGGTCGCATTATCACTGTTACAAAGTAGTGCTACAAACATAAGAATAGAATCCTCGCTATAAGCGGCAAATGAATTACAGATCCTTTGTCCTCTCTTCTGCCTCCGCAATCCACTGTCTAAGCTTAGCTTCGTCTCGCGGTTTTAGACCAATCTTGAAGGGCTTTGGGTCAGTCGTCAGCGAGGTCGGCGTGGCATTGCAATCGATAGGGTGAATGACTGGAGCTTGATTCGGTTCCTTCGTCGGGACAATTCGAAAGCTGGTAATGAGTCGAATATAGGCCGTGTAGAGCTCTCGGTTGGCGAGATGGGAACCAGCACACATTCGAGAGCCGGCTCCATACGCATAGTGAGGCGTGCCAATTTCCTTATCCTCCAAGAACCTCTCGGGAATGAATTGGTCCGGAAGCTTGAATCGAGCCTCATCAAAATCCGCCGCGTAAGCGTTCTGAGCAAGTCTGTCAGCACTGGCATACTAATGATATCGCCTGATTGCGCATGTGGCGTCACATGGGGATACCGACCATAAAAAAAGTTGTTCCGGCTGGGATAACAGATCCCTCATAGGGAATGTCGCTAATATTCATCCGAGGAAGGCAGATTGGAATGACCGTCCAAAAGCGAAGGGTTTCCTTGACGAGCGCAGTGACATAGGGGACCTTTTCTTCAACCAGACACTTTTCCCAGGCATCTCCGTTAGGGTAGACTTGTTGGATGGCTTCTAAAGCCCTGGCCTGGATACTCTGACCATGATCGGTTGAAAGATATGCCATGCCCATGATAATGTTACCGGGTACCGTATCTAGCCCGGCAGAGACCATGGTCAAGCAAATGGACTTGAGCTCAGCTAGAAGGATAGGATGACTATGATTTAGCACACTAAAACATTACTAGGCGGGTGAAGAATAACAGGGAAAGGGCGTGGTGAGCAGCACTGACCTTCGTTGAGCCTTGCCTCGGGGTCTTTGAGGATATTTCCAGTAATGCAGGGCTTATCCGTACCATTTGCAATTCGCTCCTTCAGATCGTTAAGCATGTCGGTCAGATATTTGTCCCGCCTTAGGCGATACTCTTCTGCCTTGGTGTTGGTCTTGCTAAACATGCGGAGAAGCGGAATGTAGTCCTGCCAATTGTTGCTCGTTGATCGAAAATTGGATATCTCGCGCTCAACATGCGTAATTTCCGCCAGAAGGTCGTCGTTGACGTTGCCATCGATGCGGAATCCATAGTTCAGAGTCAGGGAGGTGTTGAGCGCAAACCGCGCCATGTAAGGACTGGGATCCACGTCCTGCAAGCCATCTCTACAGTCGTTGAGCAACTCTTTGATGCTCACCGTAGATTCGAGATCGAGGATAGGCATGTAGGACTGGACAGCAGGGCGGTTCAACGCCGTAGCTGCTGCCTTGCGGCGGCGTTTGCAGGATTCATCCCAGGGAGATGTTCCAATGGTGAATCCTTGAGACGAGGAGACGACCGAGTGAAACGTGTGAAACGTCGGTCGAGAAATGAGAGACGACTGGTGAGTGATCCAAAAGTATTTTACTGCATCGTAAGAGTTGACAAAGAGAATTCGCTAACGTATATCATGTCAGCTGTACAATTCTCTCTTTAATCATCAAGAGAATGAGGGAAAGGAAAACGCACTCTGTTTCCCAGGCGGGCTTGAAACACAGGTCCGTATTTCGATACCCATTCCTTCGCAACTCGAGCGTGGTCAACTCCAAGCTGAAGCAGGTTGCCAAAGAGCGGGACACCGGGAATCTCGGGAATTCCTCTGATCTTTGGCGTGTCGGTTGCGTTGAGTATCTTAAGTACAACAAAGACGGCGGCAATGATTGCTATCCCCAGGATTTGATACGCCATGGCGAATCAATAATTGGACAGATGTAGAACCCTCTTGCGACTGTTTGATGCCCTTTAAATTCTCTGCGTTCTTAGAAGACCGTGGCACACTCGGATCTCTCACAGGATCAGTAAAGCGCCATATCGATCATTCGACAAGACAGATATAGGGGAGCTACTTATACGCCTGTGAACGCTAAATGTTTGAGTGGTGTCGGAATCATGAATTGCTCTTCATCGCGGTTATGACGATATACCTCGACAAATAGGCTCCCCATTACTGGCTCCGCGTGAGAGAGGGGCGCAGGTAGTAAGCGGAGGGTGCGGGGAAGAGGATTACTACAAGTAGTAGTACTACCTAGTAGTTCTAGTATTTGCAACTTGGATCTGAGGCTTTGGTATGGAGAGTTGGTGAGGTGTCACAGTAGAGGGGACGGAATCCGAATCCGAATCCGACTCCGACTCCGGTTTCAGCAACATCTCCAGAATAAAGACTTCACCGACTTCTCGGTATCACGGTATAACAGAGGGTAGAGAGGGCCGTGTGTATGTATGCGTATTGAATTTAGACTCTATCCAAGTTGTCATCATTGGAAAGCGCTTATGGCTCCTTGTGGGCTTACATCAAGGAACCTCGCATCTACGCTTTCATTCCGACCGAGCGGCCAAAAGGTTCAAACTTATCGGATATGCATTGTGCCCAAAGTTAAATAATGAATACCCGCCATCCTGAATGCGTTTCGGTGAGAACCAGTGCCAGGATCTTGCGAGAATGCATTGCTGACCAGTCTCGATATTTCATACCCGCCGACTGCCCATTGTCGCGAAGCATCCGTCACCGTGATTTCTCAAGTGATGCAGATTGATAGAATACCCCCAGAGACCGAAGCGCGAATCCTCGTCACAGATTTCGGCATTACTCAAATAATTCTCCTTTGCAAAAGACCGAAGAGACCCGTTGGTGGGGGTCTCGGCCATTTCTGATGAGCCTCGTTCAACAAGTCGACCAGTTCATCGTGATGCCAGGAGGCCAACTGATCAAACGCTGTCCTTGAACGGTGTTTCGCTCCTGGGTCGACAATCTTTCGTTTGCACAAGCGCCTCACAACTTCCATCTGCCCAGTGTATGCAAGGCCCTCGAGCTCGGTGGCATCACCACCCGCCACATCTTTCGGTGAGATGTCTAGGTGACCTAGAAGAAGGTGACCCATCATCTTCACATACCCTTTGACTTTGCCATGTTTCAGATGGCCCTCGCAGGTCACCTGATGCAGCAGAGGTTCGTTCTCGGGACTTGTCATAAGCTCTTCAACATTGTTGGCCTTGAGAAGATATTCCATGGCTTCTAGGCAGCCATGCCGTGCGGCTTCTTCGAGCGTTGACAATCGTCGGCTGGATCGGACTGTAATATCGGCGCCTGCTTTGATGAGGATCATGGCAGATTGGTCGTTTTCCATGCGGAGAGCATGGATCAGAGGGTATTCGGATTCTGAGCGACTGTTGATATCGATTCCCAAGTCAATGAGGAATTGCGTCACCAGGGCGTTCTGCACAAGAGGACGGGGAACGCCGGCCACCTGCAGACTCATCGAGTACAAGCGCCCGAAGAGAGGGTCGGCATGGATATTGGCACCTGCTTCCACAAGAAGTTTAAAGCAGGCAAGCTTATTGTCAGATGCCGAGTATGCTGCAGCGGTTAGAGGCGAACCACGATCCCGGTATCGCACGTGTAGTAAGGACTTCTTTCGTGATAAGAGAGCCTCAATTACCCTTGTGTGGCCCCAGAAGGCTGCGTCTTCCAGTACGTTTCGGTTGCTGGGATCACGGTCGTTATCTTCATTGATCGGTATTGGTTCACGGATCAGGCACCCATCCTCGATGAGCAACATGGCCATTCCTTCCAGTTCTTGGGGATTGAAGTCTCTGCCTTCCTCGTAAATTGTCTCCAACGGAGTTCCGTGAAACATTCCCGGTCGACTGGCGGCAGACAAGCCAGGGGCTCTGGCAAGGATCATCTTGGTCGCTTCTATGCTGCGGACCCTATGCAATACGTTCTTTCGGTTCAGATCACGCGTCGGGTCCGCCATTGCATCCAAGAGAAGCCTCATATTGTCCAACCGATCATGCTGCACCGCGTGGACCAGCGCATTGTGAGGTACTGCGCCCAACTGGAGCAATCTCGCCACAATCGCCGTGTTTTCCCCTTCTGCCGCATATTTCAGCGCTGCGGTCAAAGTCGCGTTATCAAAGCCCTCGTCAATGAGTCGCTGAAAGACCTTCATGTTCCCAGACTTTGCTGTTGCGCCAAGGGCATCGCACATCCTGTGACAGCTTATCTTCGGGTCTGCACCGGCCGCCAACAGCAGCTCTACCGCTGGAAGATGCCCTCTGGAAGCCGCTTGGTGCAAAGGAGTCGTTCCAGAATGCTCGGTCCTGTACCTGTCGAAGAGCGGTGGCTGATTCCAAATTTTCCTCAGCTCAATATCCGCACCTCCATCCACGAGGATACGCATGACATCTGCGTTGCCGTTCCAAGCCGCCAGGTGCAAAGGTGCCCATCCATAGGTATCAAGAATATCTGGAGAAGCTCCTCTCAAGAGCACTAATTTCAACGTATCTTGGCTGCACAACTGAGAAGCAACGTGCAGAAGAGAGGTCAATCGTCGAGGTGTATCCCTCGACACCAGCTCTGGTGGTTCCAACAAGCTCCGATCGTAATATCCTGGGACCTCGTTTAGATCAATGTTGGCTTTATTGATGTCTTCGAGCTTCGTCTGCTGTAATAGTATTCGGAAAGCATTCGCCGCCTTGTCTGCCAAAGCTGCGCGCACAAGATAATGAGGCCATCCTCGCTCTGAATCAAGAGCGACCGCCTTCGCGTGGAGAACGTTCTCCAGGGAAAATTTGATCTTCTTGCATGTCAATGTCCAGCGACATAAATCAGCTAGCTCAAGATGCTCAGCAATAAGGCATAGTATTTCCAAGCTAATCTGGTCCATGGCATGAGTCGTTGACAGGGCGCTGATGTGGAAAAGAAGTGTTGCAGAGACTCCATTCATGTCAACCTTGAAGTCATCGAGCGCAACCACATCTACCTAGGGGTCTGGGATCCCAATCCCAGAATCAGCACCCATGCCTATGCAACTAAAGGGTAGAATCTTACATGAAGTACTCTCTGATTTCTAGCGTTAAATGGCGCATTCTTTTGCAATACATTCCGTAACATCCATCGCAGTTAAGTACGACCGTCAGCCCATCCAGATGTCCACGAAATTTACGTAGCTGCGTATATGCATATACAACTACCCGGGCGAGTCAGTATTGCGGTCTGTCTCGTGCTGTTACGATAAATTTGACCTTTCATCTGGTCAACACACATGGGGTATTATCGCGCAATGATACGGGCATGGGACAGATTGAAACTTTGGCTGCATCGTCTCGAATTGGGATTCTTCAAGGCGCCATCGACTCTTGACATATTTTTGACTTCATTTGACGCCAGATACGCATGAATAAGCAATTGTCAATCCGCTCTGACAGACTCCCAACACCTGAAGCAACACTTCGTGAGAGCGGACAGTGCAATCTGGCCTTTTCTTCCTCATTGTGGCAACCTCTAAGTATCTGATGTATCAGTACTCCGTAGTTCTTCAGCCGTGAGACATGCAGCAGCTCTATGGGCGGTGTTTGTCCTATTTAGCTGCTGCTCTCTCGGCCAAATATCGCTCGATATTCGGGCGAGCGTGGATAGCCTCCCTCAATTTCTTCAGTGGCTCTGACAGTGTATCCTAGCGGCGGTTGTCAGCATGAGTTCAATTCAGTATCGAGGATGAGCACGTTGAGGGTTAACCTACAACACCGCAGCCAATGCACTCGTCATTATCCAGAGCTTGGAAGACGGCAAAGTCGACATAAGTCGGCCTGTTGCCCAGGAGGTAAGGGCCGCTGTTGTCCAGCGCGTAGAAATGGGTGAAGAGATCGTTGAACTTTGTGACGTGCTTGTCCTTGTAATCTGTCGCTTTGGCCGTCAACTGGTTAACCCAGCCAGTCTAAAAGGAAGGTAAGCCGAAGTCACTTCGATCCCTGACACGACAGAGGATTGTAGGAAAGGATAAACGATGAATGGACACATGCACGCATAGACGAAGTACGAAAGTGAGAAATACTTACTCGCCAGTCATTGTACATGTCGGCTACAGCGTCGACAAGATACTTTTCATAGTTTGTTTCCCCATCGTATGCACCGGATCGGCGTGCTAGATAGCGAAGTATGGCAAGGTGCTAGCAATAGCTCTCAATTGTTAGCATGGATGGCACATTTTGCAAAGACGAACTCAGAAGGCAACTGGAGCACAAATGCGCCTTTACCTGGTATAGCCTTTGGCCGTCAATTTCCAAGACGGGCAAAGTGCCAGTGATGCTGATTCCTTGGGATTTATTGATACCAGGCCACGTATCGTCGTAGGCGTAGTACTTATCCTCGTACTCGATATTCAGCTCTCGCAAAAACACTCTAGCTCAAGCATTAGCAGGTCGCGAGTCTCTGGTCGTTTCCGGGTCATTGTTACCTGATAATTTCACCCCTACCAAGGCTTCCCAAGCGAAAGTAGTGAAGTACGGGAGTCGACATTGTGATAAGAGGCAGAGGACACAATGTGTGCGTAGTATGGGAGAGCTGAGATGAGCCGGTCCCAAACTCTTCTCTCCTCTACTTATATATGTTTCTCTAGCATTAAGAGTCCATTGCTTTGGGATACCACTTGGAATGATGATTAATAATAGCTCCGTGGCAGCAGGCTGGTTGACCAACTGTCACTGTGACCCCTTCAACGCTATGAGATTCAATAACCTGGAGAAATAATTCCGCTGTCTATTACGTTGACCTATTGGAGGAAACCTATCTATCTTGATCCGCCTTCGAATCCAATACCACTCATGGATCCAGCAACCCACCTCTATTACTCAACGACTGTCGTGAAAGCACATCAGGCCCTTCATTACATCAAAGGTGAGGGGGGCACAATTTCTTGACTCTTGACTCTTCTTCCCCGCTATATCACTAAGCAGAAATTCCGGGTATTCGACCATTCACTCCCGCCCGAGCCTTTGATTGCGGCGGCACACGGAGTAGTGCAAGCGGCGAAAGCGGCGAAAGCCCTTCGATTTGGAGCCGCTGCGGCGGATTACCCAGCTATACCTTCTATGTAAAATGCCTGTGCAGCAGAAGTCAGGCACATAATTACGTCCACGGAACTCGCCCCGTAGCGACGCGGAAAATTTGTCGCAAGTTTAGGGTAGACCTAGGTGATTGGCAGTCGTTCAAGGCCAAGCCACACTACGAACAAGATGCGGTTTTCATACCGCCCGTATGAAACTGCCCCGGACCTGATATTAACGTCAGTGTTATGATTCACACTACGAATACTCGCTGCAAAATTAGAGCTGCGGCGTTGAGCGTATACTGAGCCATTGCGTCTCGTTTCATCCTCCATACGCTCCCCGCAAACATTAGTCAATTTCCATTAGAGAAAGCTCAATTACGTGTTCTTGCCGTTCTTCGGATACTTCACTCGACTATATACTTAGACTCAAAAAGCTATCGTCTCAAGCTCAGCCATACATGTCAGGAGGCTAATCTCTCAGGAAGTTATTAAGATTATCGGACTTTACATATAAAAAGAAACATATCATCCTTGGTCCCCCGCCGTCATATTCGACCATCCGAGTGCGGGATTGCCCGTTAGCGGCATCGTGGGCAAGGCATTTCCAGCAGGCTTGATGAGCCTACCACTCTATTGGTGCCCGAGACCAAATGAGGCAGACCAGCCAGGCTGCCCACGGCCACTAATTGACGCCATGTCGCACTCCCAGTCACGGCGGTAGCGTACTTAGACTAACATTGATGAGAGATAATAGATCATGCTGTTGCTAGTATTGCTGGTGAAAGGGGATAAATACTGCGTACCAAGTAGGAGAGAACTGAAAGAGATAATACCCCCTCAAGGCTTAGCCGCTACTTCTCAACTGGCTTACTAGATATGTATATAGCTATTAGCATGTAGCAGACAATTGGTCGGGCCTAAAGGAACACGCAACCTTGCGTTCAAGCGCGACATCGTGGGGTAACAGATAGTCAAAAGACAAGATCGTCTCTTGGCTCATTAGCGTTTCCAGCCTACACACCGACCCATCACTCTCAATAGGTTCTTACCGCATCTTGTCAAACCAAACATTGCCCACGGCAAAAGAGTCAGCTAACGTGTGTGTTATGAGCTGCATAGCTGTGTCACTCCGAGATGTGTGAATGCCATATGTGAAAGACATGGGTTGTTTGTAAATTGAAGTACTAAGGTATACTAGTCTCCACCTATGAATAGAACATGTCCCCTAAAGAAATATACAAGTCTGAAATATTATTGAAAGAGATTAGCATCCAAGCAACTGTTCAAGCTCTACCTGTATCCAGAGCAGACATCCTGGTACACGTTCTGCTGCAGGGCAGCAGCGTTGGTCGGGATGTAGTTCAGGTAAGTAGCATAAGAGTAGGTCCAGCGAGGATCATTCAGTTCCGTCTTCCAGGTCCAGTAGATCCACCCATCCATTCCGGGAGACTCATACAGCTGCTGCTGAGCTGTGAAAAACTTGGTGAAGAAGTTTCCATCGTGCCAATCAGCACCAGAAGTCATGCTCCATTCGCCCGTAATGGCAAAGTCCTGGCCGCTCACAACACGAGAGTCGGTGCAGGCACTGTGCATGAGGGAGTATTGGTCGCCAGTGTTGCCGAGAGCGAAGCCAATGTAGTTGTGGTCGTCGAAACCCGTCATGGGGTCGTTCTTGACTGCAGCGTTGCTGCGAGCATCGCCAGAGTCCCACTTGCTAGACATGAACTGCACATGCAGCTTCTTGTTGCTGGGGACGTTGAGTGCAGCCTCAGCATCGCGGACGGCCTTGAGGGCGCCCGGGTAGTAGGTCTGCACAAGACTCGGGTCTTGGCCAGGGGCCGGGTAGCGACCACCTCCATCGTGCCTAGAGACAGGCTCGTTAAGAACCTCAATCATACCGACGGTTGAGTAGGCCGGGTTGGTGTGGATGCGATTTGTCATCCATGACAGCCATTTCTCCGCACGGCCATAGTCGTATGAGTTGTAGAAGCCCGCGGGGTTGGGGTTCTGGCCGGTGAAGACGTCCTGCTGCTGACCGCCAGGGGCGCCGTGAAGATCAATGATGACGTAGATGCCGAGGTCGGCTGCCTTCTGGACAACAGCGTCGAGGTATGGCAGCATGAGGTTGCCATCGGCAAATGGCTCGCTCGCCGTGTCGACGATGTCAACGTAGGACCAGTATCCGATGGGGATACGGATGGTGTTCAAGCCGACATCGTGGACGGACTGAACGGTGGCAGGGTTGATCCAGTCCCGCCAGTGGTTCTGGAACTTCTGGTTACCGGCAGCACGGTTGTTGCCCATGTAGTGCTGAAGCATGCAGTCAAACTCGGAGGCAGCGCCGTTACAGCCCATGACGTTGTTCCACTCGTTGGACATCATCCAAGGCTCGCAGATCAGCCATCCTAGCATAATCGCGTTAGCCCCGACTTGCTTCACCCATCACAAAGATCCGACATTAACTTACCACCAAAGTTGACACCGCGGATCTTCGTGATGCCAGAGGCCAAGGATGGCTCGAACCGCTTGCCGAGCTGCTCATATCGAAGCGTCTGGTTGAAGGCTGCCAGATCGCGGTCCTGGGGAAGCCACGCAAAGGCGGTGCCGGCGAGAAGGGCCGGAGCAACAATGGAGTATCGCATCTTGGTGGCGAGCTATAGGAATTGTCCAAGAGCTGTCGATGGGGTGACGCGAAAGATTTCAATCCAAATGTCAGGAGCCATACAGACTTATATACAGACTTAAATTGAGCCTTATTGTGCGGCCGTATCCTGAGAGTAAACAGTCAAGGTACTCCCTCCTCGGTACGCACCAACGAGCAGAGCAATCAACGGTAGTGAAGTACCTCCATCTATCCTAGTATTTAGTTACATCACCTGGTATTGTATTAAGCTCGTCGACGCATGACATACGAAGAATACACAGCGCAAGAAAACGCCGGCCCGAATCACTGTAGCATCTTGATTTACTTGTAAACATATGACTAGCCCAAATAAGAATCTGATTAAGCTTACTGTTGCAGATAGCTTCAGAGTAGTGTGGACCTTCCTCGTCCATTCAGGCGCCATTTTTCACTTTGCATGCAATCCATGTCCATCTGAAGTGCTAGCTTCCATTCAAGGGGCGAATGGCAATCTTATGAGTCCACTGGCGCATGAAGCAAACTCAGCAGATCTATCAATAAACAAGGCAGAACAAAGGACAGGACACGGGGCCCAGCCAGGTAAGCGGTTTGCAACAATTACCAAGGGACTCATAAATGAGTGTGAGCATACAGAGTACAGCGAGACAATACGTGCAGCATTCTAGAGGGCCTGCGCTGCTGAGATGTGCGTGGTGAAACATCTGTCTCAATCGTTTCTCGAGTCCCTATTTTCTGCAACAGCTTGCCAGGATCGGGCAATTCGAGAATGGACGGAAGCAATGTAGAGAAGAGCTGTCACATCCGGCGTCCGTTGAACACCGCAGCCACTACTAATCCATAAAGGGGTTATGGCACAGCCTTCCCGGGCTGACAACCCCGAGACTGTACTACTAGTGGTATCGCGTAGGCAGTGCTGCTATCACTAGCTCTACCGCCTTCGTCTTGTGATCAGTCAAGGCTGCAGTTCTTCCAAGAGATCTTGCGAGAACTTATTATTAGACAAACAGATAACTGACTTACTAAGCCTATGGTGAGCGTGTGAAGTAGGGCACAACCGCCTGTTGTTGCTGCCTAACAGTTCGTCACGGAGAACGCCGGCTTTGGCTCTAGGAGATGCCGTGGGCATTGTCGATTACCCCTGGGTTTTCATACCTTGCTTGAAGCATGCCTCCCCCCTACAACTAGCGCGTCAACGCCTTTGTCGCCTGGTGTGTCGATGGATTGTCTACAGACCGTCCAAGAGCGACCAGTCGTCGCTACGTCCCAAATCAGCAGTTGGTACGGTAAGTTTTCGGATTAGTGGATAAGCGAGAGAACATGCATGTAAAAGCACAGGGAACATCGAAGTGTTGAGAAGGGAAATTCGTGTTCTCCGGCGTCTGATTGGCCCGTGAAAACAATCGTGACTCGCAGGAACTAGACATACATGGATGGAGTTTGTTGTCGAGTTGTTAACTTCTCTCTTAGACTTGAACTCTAATGCTGTAGGTTGTTTGGCAACTCTGTTCTTCGACCTTCCAAGATGAGTTGGTGGCGAGACGTTGTATTTCCGAGACAGGGCGCAACCCATGCCCGACAAGCCGCTCAATCGGTTACCTGCAAATTCCCGACGTAGCCTGCTTACAAGTTGCAGCCTCAGATTTGGAAGACCTGTCTCATTCTAAAGCAGTCAGTATCTACTTAACGAGTCACCCAGCGAGGCTGGTGGAGCAAAAGTAATCCAACAAAGCGGCAATTCTGAGGGCTACATGCCCGCACACGGCGAATAACCTCATTTGAGCAACTCAAGATTATCTGTTATCATGATGCATAGAGAGGCCCACTAGGTTGCCCAGATTCGTAGACTTTGCATGTTAATGTAGGACGTACACAGTGGTGCCACTTGCAAAATACCATGACTTATTACTCGAAGTCATGTAAGCTAGTAGTTGGCATATAAAGCTATGTTATCCGTAGTATACTTGTGACTATAGAGCATAGGATTCACTCGGAATTGGAAGGAACGGATGTGACCTCAGATTTGTACGGGACTCTAACTCCATTTCTCATGCTTGAGTCATGCTCTATTCTGATAAGTATTTATTTTGTATTGAATGGGCTTCACGATTGAGGCGCAAACTGTACACATGCATTGACCACTTCATGATGGTAACAACAGCTCGCCATGAGCCTCTAAGCACTTGTGCGCTGCTGCAATAGAATCTGTTCTAAGATATAGAACCCTCTTGCGGCGCAATTAAGAGACCAATTATAGTGTAGAGTAAAGGTCTCCTGAATCTACACTCTGCAGATGATCTTTACGCCACAGAATATGGAACGATATCGAAAGCCCTCAGCCGAAATCGCTGGTGAGGTGCAACAGACTGTGAGAATTCATCAAGAAACAAGCCCCATACTTGGCGTAAGCAGCTTGAAAAGAGTCCACAAAAAGCCAGGAGAACATGACGAACTCAGGCTCTCAGTGCTATCGATGTGCCGTCGTATAGAACTGTAGCTACTTTGAGACGGTATAAAGCTGTTGTAGACTCTGCTGGTTTGCTATCAAAGTCTCAACATCAACTTACACTTTGACGCTACCTTGAAAGTGTCGACGCCGCTGTTACTCCTCGCTCTAAACCAACCTTGAAATATACAAACTTGATCAGCTTGCCGCTTTCCGGTCTCCTCAGCCATGCGCAGACATTTGGAGATGAAGCGCAAGGCATCTTGAATACGGATTGGGTACTCGAAATGCGTCGCGCAAACGCAACGGCAGCAGCGAGCATTCCTGGATACAACGTGGCAGTCAAGTATCCGGGTGAAAGAAGCGGTAATTGGACGGTCTCGATATCAGTATCTAGTGATATCCTTGGCAAAGATAACGCAAGTGGCTGCTTCGTTACTGGCACTCAGATTGACTTGACGGCCACTCAAGGCTTGAGCGGTTCCGCAGATCCGTCATGGTTCATATGTCGCAGCGTTTACAGCAGTTCAAGACTGAAAAGTTCAGACCCTGCATCAGGTCAGGGAAATTGTAGTGGACTACTATCTGACGATTGCTGGAGTGTCCTTCAAGAATCGCTTCAAGCAGGCACACAGTGCCAAAACAATACTCTTCCCCCAGTTTGTGTCGATGAGCTTGGCTTATCAGACGGAGAAGCATTTGGTTTGACCTCTGGTACGGCATCTTGCCACTCTGCTCGATGTATCCTTTTGTTCCCTATTGCTGACAATCACTGAGCAGCTCGCCCCCTGAGCAGCGAACAGCAGTACATCGCTTCAGATGCGCTTAGGCAATGAGAGCCATCAACGTGGGAATTTTACAGCTTATGATAAAGCCATCCGACAAATATGGGTCGTCATCACAGGATTCGCCGAGACAGGTCGCGTTGATGGGCATCCAAGGGGGGCTGTCGGCCAGCCAGGAAATGTTGCATGTATTCAGGTCAATGAGATCCAGCAAGGAAGCAGAACTTTCGAAAACACGGCCGATACTGCTCTTCTTTCGAGAATGATAATCTGGGTGAGCAGCATGGTGGCGACAACTCTCGTTTATTAGGGATATAGTAGAAACTTCCGCATGGCGTTACATGCGGACAGCTGTGGCCTTTACAAAGCTACCATTACACGCATATGCCGTCTCCGCGTTGCGCATGGTCATATTGCCGCTGAATGGGTAACTGTTGCACTTCCACCTCCATCCTGTTCTAGAGGTTCGAGAATGTAATCGAGATGTATACATCGCTAGTCAAACGAGGCCTCCAATGTTGAGTGTAATGTCTGATGTGCGGCGATGTATCTCACTCATTGGTGGTAGCTGTCGAGAATACGTAGCTATCTCCAGTCACGTTCAATACGCCTAATCAACAACAGTTCTTTTTTCTATTCCATCCCACATTCTATATATAGCTTTCTTCTACAGCCCAACCCTCGAGCGTTACGCTTCTATACCTGTGGAAAAGCTGTTAGGCGTTATGCTCTGCTGTATCCAGATACTGAGGAGAGCAAACCCTTGATCCTTACAGCCCTACTGGCTGCAGGGTTTCAGCACATGGATCCTACCACGCAGCCCCCACCCACCGGGAGCGTGAGTCAGTCATGAGCTTGCTCACAGCCATCGTGCAGCTATCCTATCAAGAGAGTCAACCGTCTCCTGCATTCATCCGGTATAGCTACCATACATACATGGTCCCAAACCATGATGGCACAACATTATGTGTTTACTGATTTCAAGCTACCAAATCACATACGCCTCCTTACGATTCACTCTAGGGATTATGTTGCAGCTTTACAGGGCTCCATCTCGGAGCATCCGTTAGCGGAAGCCCCGGCCTATGAGGCACTTTCGTACGCATGGGGCTCTCCTGAAGGCGAAGACGAAGCTCGTCCCTCTATGACTTTGGATGGTCAACGATTCGACATATCGTGTGCTCTAGAGCGAGCGCTACGCAGGCTACGGAAACTGGACAATGCGCGGATCATGTGGATTGATAGTGTTTGCATCAACCAGGCAAACAAAGAGGAGCGCAATGCGCAAGTGGCTATTATGCCCGACATTTATCGCGGTGCAGCAAGGGTGGTAGCGTGGATTGGGGAGAAGACGCGCGACAGTGATCGCGCGCTGCTGTTCCTCAAGGAGATGGCAATGCACCAGAAGTTTTATTTGCGGCACAATTGGATAGATGGTGAACGGTTGGGAAGCGACACATTCCGAATGTGGTGAAGGAATCTGTACCAGTCCTACCGAAGGAGGGGGGAAATATGGAGAGTGAAGATGCATAGGAGCCCCTATCACGATACTTCAGCCACGAAGAAATGGAAGGGATGAAAAAATTGAGTAGTAGAGACGCTTGGAACAAAGTTCTGGATAACAGCAAGCACCACGGACACATTATCACGGGTATCCCCATCTTATATGCGTCCCCATACCACCCGTTCTTCGAAGATGCTCGGCAAGCAGACTGGGAGGCCGTTGACAACCTCCTAGCACGACCATGGTGGTCGCGAACTTGGGTAGTGCAGGAGATTTGGCAAGCACAAGAGGCTATACTCCAGTGTGGCGACTCGACACTCAAGTGGAAAACCGTCAGAAAGGCCATGCAGTACCAAGAAGCCTGGGATGATATGGGCTGCTTGGTCAGGGGCACCAAAAGATGGGAGCTTTGGGCCACGTTGAAGCGGCGATATGGGCTGGCGATCCATATCTCTCAGCACAGACTTCTCGGCAGCAAACTGTCAGATCTGCTGTGGAATGTTTGGGACAGAGATGCCACTGATCCGAGAGATAAGATATTTGCCATCTTAGGCCTTGTTGGAAAGGACTACGGCGACACTATGCCTGCAATAGACTATTGTAAATCTGTTGAGCAGGTATATAAGGAGATCGCCTCTTTCATCATGACGGAGGAGAAATCGCTTGATCTTCTTCTCGCCGCTTCCGGTCTCCATAGCCAGTCAACTTTGCCCTCGTGGGTTCCCGACTGGAGGCGAGCAGCCAACGACAACCGGCCAGCGCTCTTCATAAACGCCTCTTTAATGCGGATACAGTGTTACTTCGTTGGTTCTGCGGAGGCTCTATATCTCAACGGCCACGGATTCTCTGCGTCGGGCCAACTAGAGGCTCGAATGAGCTTCGGCGATGACCTGAGCGTGCTATGCGTTCATGGCTTGCTTTTTGACACCGTAACCGAGGTTTCAGAAGGTTTTGGAAACGATTTGAGTGCAGACACTATCATTCAAGGCGCGCAATCTACGATAACGAAGGCATACAAGAGCGGCACTTCACTACTGAAAACTCTTGTCAATGAGAACGAGCTAAGGAGAATCCTTGCAGCAGGGTCCTTGATAGATCCCCACAGCTTGCGAACCGAGAGTCAGGCCATCGAAAATGTTATGAGACTGAGACGGTGTTTTGTCACGAGCGGTGGTCATTTCTGCATTGGGCCCTCCAAAACGCAAACCGGAGATGTCATCTCCATCTTTGCTGGCTGCAACTTTCCGATAGTCCTTCGACCTATCGGCAGCTTCTTCACCGTAGTTGGAGAGGCCTATGGTAAGTCCCTCGAAGCCAAACGACAGGCGCTTGCGAATCTAACTGACAATTTCAGTTCCCAACTACATGGCTGGGGAGATTTTGATAGATAATCCACCGGGAACATCTGGATGGATTGATATATCTCTGAGGGAGTGGTACAGAAATCTTTCGTAATGGTGGATTTTGATCTTGCCACCAAATAAGAACTGCAGGTGACCTTGAAGTCTATTGTGCATCGGCGGGCAATGTCAATTCGGGGCGGAACATATCGATCGTGGTCAAGATGTCTAGAAAGCCCATGTTCGGCCACATTCGTAATCCAGCACTCTCTTCAGTTGTTTTCCCTTTTAAATATTCTTAAACAATAAGGCTGTGTTGAGTGCTGCCACACGATTACTTCTTTGGATATGCTTTTCCTCACAGACAATACCTGTGACTGACTGATACAGCCTAGGTACAACTAAGACGTTGCTGTGACATATGTCCTTGCCCCCCAGTCAAGGACGGCGAAAGTGCCTCCAAGCCATCGTTCATTCTTCAACCAAAACAGTATCCCTGATCATCTCATTACATGCGATTGATCACCGATAACTAAATTTGGGATTTCCATGACTAGATTAATTTGGAGGTCGTTCTACCGACAAACTCTTTCGTGACCCAACCTTGTAAAATTATGCCAATGTAGCTTTCTCCAAGCCAGTTTCTACCAGGAGATCATACGTCTTGAAATCTCTCAGCGGAACCTTTCTTTGAAAGAGGATATCCAACTCCTCAAACGTTCTTCCCTGACTTTCGGGGAGTCTGAAGTGACACCAGATGGCGCAGAAGAAGCTGATTCCTCCAAACAAAAAGCCTGCTTTGCCTCCCCAGTTGGCCTGATCGGAATTCAGCATATAGGGCATGGCAATCGTGGTAATGATGTTGAAGAATGACTGAATCGCAGTGGAAACAGCGATGGACTTTGTTCGCAGTCGAGTAGATGATATCTCGGAAATGATAACAAAGCAGATAGGTCCAACTGTCATCTGATAGATGAATGTCCATCTTTAAATTGTGAGTTTCAAGGTTAGCAAAGTGAGACTAGAAGGAAACGACCACCATCTGGAATAGACAACTCACATATCCATGCAGCTGGCCATTGCCCAGATTGCACCGGTATTGTGCGTCGGGATGCTGAGAAAGCCAATAATGAACAGGAGCAATGTCATAACCCACATGCCGGTGGTGTATATTGTTCGACGACCGAGTTTAAACTAAGGCACAATCGATCATCAGCTTGATCCTCGACAAGGTCTGGAGTAATCTCACATAGTTGAGCAGGAACCAAGATGTGATGGTACCGACGAATCCCAGCGCAGTGTTACCAACACCCACTATTTCGCTGTTAGTAGACATTCGAAAACCGTTGCACAAGGGTTGACAGCTTACTATCGAATGCGTCTGAAGGATTTAGGCCGGCCTGTTCAAAAAAGTAGTTTGCGTAGCCGATGAGCGGATTTCCGGCTATAACCTGGATCAGATATACCATGATTGTGATCTCCGTTCGTACACGGTTGACACCCTTGAACAGATCCCGGTAATTGGTTGTCGCTTCAAACTCTTGCTCCAACCGGTCGGTCTGCTCAACACCAAGCAGTACCTGGTCAATATCTGGTGCGTTCTTCGAGGACGATAAATTTGCAAGGGCGCTGCGGGCATCCTCTCTTCGCCCCTGCCGGACAAGCCAGTATGGGCTTTCCGGTGCAAATGGCAAACCCACGAGAATGATCAAGGGCCAGAGCCATTGCAGCGCCTGACCAGGTTAGCTGGTGCGGTCCGGACACAGGAGTCTTGCGATATGCGGGAGTTGATACATACAAACGGCGCTTTATATGCCCATTGATCCTCTCGACCCTCGAGGCCGGCAGCGACTCCCTGGGCTATGAACTGTCCGATAACAAAAGCCAAGTTTATGAAGGCCGTGAGCAGACCTCGGAGAGCCAGGGGACAGATCTCGGATGCGTATGTTGGGGCAATAACCACGTAGAATCCGTAAGCCAGGCCACCCAGGATCTCGCCTGCGCAGAGCATCGGAAGAGATGTGGCGAAAAACTGCACAAACACAAAGCCGATGGACCATACGCAGCACACAGCCAACGTCCATCTCCGTCCAAATCGTTCCATGGGATAGCCGCTGGCAAGCGCGCCCAGGACCTGGCCGATCGGGTTGCCCATACCCAGAGCAGTCTGCCATGGAGCAGGAATTTCGTAGGAGCCATCGACGAGGTTTCCATATCTCTTTTGGAAAGCCGGAAGGGCATAGAATGAGAAAATGATTTGGCCGTCGTAGCCTGACATGATGACTGCAATGCTGAAGAACATGGCCCAGAATGTGGCGGTGGGATACTGTTTCATAGCTTGCCAGAAGCCCAGTTCGTGTTCGGCGCGGGTGATGTCGCGAGTCACATCGATGTGAACAAGCTCGCCCTTTTCCAGGGGCGTCGCCTCCTGCCCACTCGCAGCTGTCTCTTCATGCTTCTCCATGTTGATATCGAAGTCCCGGTGGCCTATGACTTGGCCAACAGCTTCCTACCCAAGGCTGCGATTCATGTGGGGTTTGTGAGGTCGGATTGAAAGCCAAAGGCTCGTTCGTAGCTGGCTACATAGGTCATATATACAAGCCTGACAGGGTGAGTCCTCCCACGCAACTTGGAATGCCTATTACCTGGAACTGGCGGCTTGTGTGGGGGATATTTGACAAACTTCTGAGCCAACTCTAATGTGAGAATGCCGATCTAGACCAAGAAGGAGCCTCGCGACCCCGGGAGACAATTCCATCAAGGAAAAATTAGTGGCAGCGTCGAGAATGTAACGTCACCTGAGTCGCTCTCACGAAGTCCGTATGATTGTACTCCCGTTAATAATATTTCCGTTGCCAGCCAGCGCTCGGCAATATGTACGTGGGGTAATAGCCCGTAGAGGGCTATCGACAGGCCTCCGTGATAAAGGACTGAGGTTGGCACGAGGAGGGTAAAGCTTCTTCTAAACCCCTGTTAGCGTTGATAAGCTATGGCCCAATGTGCCGATTTGCCGAGTGATGGAAGAATATCGTGGCCCTGATGAACCGCAATGCGGGGGATAATGCGGAGTAGTAATTGGAGCAAGACCTGAATTAAGGCGTGTCTTGGGCAACGCCTCGGCACGATGTCACTAGATCTAGGGTCGTGCCATCGGTATTCGTAGCGCGTAGAGGGTAGTATGTAACACAAGGCCTTTGAAGCATCTCTCGTACTTTGTATCAACAACGTGTACTCTCCGCGGGGTGTGGTAAGTTTTGTACGGAATGGGCCATATCCATAGACACGTTGTGTGAGGTAGGAAATTATACGTGTGGGCTCACCTAGATTAAGGTTCGCCTTAGAACTTACGCTTAGTCCGGAGTCATAACCCACCATAAAGTGTTGGTGGCAGATGGCCTTGATGAGCGCGACATGGATCGTTATGTTGATTCGTATGGAGACGGACATTCAATGCTAGCAGTGTTGGTACGAGTATCAGCAAGCCGCTAGCTATAGCAACCGGCATAGTAGTAACATAACCTACACAGGCTACATGGGGGTAATGATACGATATGCTTTTAATAGCTGGATTAGGTATATCATGAAGATGGGGTACTTGATACTAGATGATGGTCGCGCACGTTGCAGTCTTGGTACATGCGTCTTACACCTCTCTACGTACATAGCTGTTCCGCACACCAGCCAGCCAGATAAGGGACACAACCTTGATATCATGCGTATCATCAAGAGTGGATGCATAGCTATCGATTTATCCTACACATGGATAACATACGGTAAGTTAAGTAGGCATGGCACTTCGTATCATTTTCTTGATTAGATTAGTTGAGTGCATGTCTTATATATCGTCAGAGATAACCCGCTTCTCGCAAACAGCAGATAGCTTCGCCGAGCCATACATCTAAAGCAGCGATAAGAGCACTTGACAATACTGGGAGCAGCGCTTGCTTTTTACTTCGTCCAGAAATCGGTCATCAACCGATATGAGCCACTAATTGCTTAAACATGGTTAGGCGTCAAGGACGCCAATTCACTGCACGGACAGTCATAGCGGTAATTGAGCAAGATGTACAACTGGCTGCTGAAGAAAGCCGACATTTTACGCTCAAAGAGTGGCGCTCAATATTTGGTTCCGTACTGCGCTTCTAACTGTTTTGGCTCATACCATTGTGCTCGTGGCACTAAAGGTTCTGTCAACACGTGCCAGGTTTATGCGTTGGGCTGATATGTTACCAAGACCCAGGAATTGCCTTGTACCTGTTTGCCATTCGAGGGAGGGAAAGACAGGTGGCACTAGCTCGTAGATGCTTCAGATGTCGTCTGCGGTTGATAAGCAGTATCAGCAACTATTTCGTTATGACTTGGTCATGGGCGGCTGCGGAAAAGTTGTGTCTACCGTAACTCAAGAGGCCATCGCCGAGTCACTATGCTGGGTGGAGTGTGTAAGCAAGCATTCGGAGGGCGCCTTTAAGTTATTGTACATATGTTGTAAATGTACACACCTATCTCTATTTACCTTATTAGATAATTGCTTTATTAGCAGGAAGCAAGGGAAGCTGGAGGATATGAACTTAGGATGGTTGCACCTGCAACTAGGCAACGGCTCGAGAGGCAATATACCCGAGACAACCTTCTTTCACCTCTTACCGAGATCTGCATACGTCTTTGTGTGTCTTTTTTTAGGTTTGATTAATTAATGTAGAGTAGTCTGTCGACAATGTGTTGTTGCATCAGAACTCTGGGTACCACCCAGACTATAGGCGTGTCGTTAAAGAGACGACATAGTTCGACATGATCAACGCCGATAATCCGTCGAAGAAATGTCATAAGAAGTCTTTGTTAGTGAATCCAACTATTAATTCAGCAAGCCATAATCTCGCTCCATTCTAGTACATGGCTCTGATAGAGCTCCGATAGCTTTGATCAACGCCTGAGGCGAAATTCATGACTGGCGGTATTGGTCTCCGGCCGGGAGCATGTACAAGTTGAAGTCCCGTACGCTACAAGCATATTGGCATTAACCCTCGACTTCAAAGACAGTACCAATATATTAAAGACGTTAAGGACGAATTTGCTCTAACAGCCCAATCCAAATGGCATGGATTGTTCACTTTCAGAGAGTACCTGGTGGGTTACTTCAAAATGGCGGGGTCGGCTGGGGATTTCTCCAAGGCTGGGTTTGAGGGCGATTTGGGAGGGGATGGTTTCGGAAGAGCGATGTTTTCCTTGGAGCTTAATCAAAGCATACCCCATTCCTGCATTCTTTATCCCCAGACCCCCTACGTCATCCTGATCCTGGGGATTGGTGAGGTCCATGTAGTCAAACTTAACGTTGGAAATTCCGCTCTTTGCAACTCAGAGTGTCTCAACCGCCAAACAATGACAAAGAAGCGTGTCCTGATCAGCTGGGGCGTCGACGTCGACGCAGTGGCAGGATGGTTAGGCTCCTATGGAGGCGAGGACTCAACTAGCGACATTAGCAGAGGCAAGTTGCGGCTTGAAGAGCTCACCTATACAGGAAGTGACGAGGTTGCTAAAGAGAATATGCAGGGATCTTTGCTGCTACTGTTGGAACACAGCGCATGCTCAAAATGTTTGACAAATACAACATCAAAGCGACGTGGTTCATCCCGGGTCACACTCTCGAGTCGTTCCCAAAAGAGATGGCTGAGGTGCGGGACGCTGGCCACGAGATCGGCCTGCACGGTTACTCTCATGAGAATCCAGCAGATATGACGCTAGAGAAACAGCGGGCTGTTCTCGATAAGACGTATAAACTCCTCACAGAATTCTGCGGCAAACCGCCAAAAGGAAGCGTCGCCCCTTGGTGGGAAGCCAGCGCTGAGGGGGCGCAGCTTCTTCTGGATTACGGAATCGAGTACGACCACAGCCTGAGCCATCACGACTGTCAGGCCTACTACCTTCGAACCGGTGATTCGTGGACCACGATTGACTATAGCAAACATCCAGAAGAATGGATGAAGCCGCTAGTCAACGGCAGAGAAACTGGGCTTGTTGAGATACCTGCAAACTGGTATATCGACGATCTACCGCCGATGATGTTTATCAAATCTGCGCCCAACAGTCATGGATATGTGAACCCGCGGGACGTCGAGGACATTTGGAGAGACACTTTTGATTACTGTTACCGCGAGTATGATGAGTTCATTTTCCCCATTACTTGCCATCCTGATGTCTCGGGCCGCCCGCAAGTCATCTTAATGCACGAACGGTGAGTTAACCGGAGCATGAGATTTCTTTGATATATGCGGTGATTGTCAGAACTTCGAACTAATTTCTTTTAGGCTTATTGAGCATTTCTTGAAACACGAGGGGGTTGAATTTGTTACTATGGGATATATCTGTGATGATTTCAAGAGGCGAAATTCTCCGACGGCTGGCGCTGCAATGCCTGCCGCAATGCCTGGCATCCTTCCAAGTGGATAAGACGAATAGTCTGAGACGAGAGATTATACGACGAGCACAAAGCAAGATAGTTCTATTTCCCGTGCTTATACGAAGCACTATATGGGCATTAAGTATCTTGTCAACTCTTCCGCTTTGTAGTAGAGTAATGGAGCAGAAGATCGCCTGGAATGTGGAAAAGAATATGCCAGAGGTTGATGATAGATCTCGCTGTCCAGTAATCCTGTGCCCATACTATTCTGCGATTATCAAACGACCAGAGGCATATCTAATTACTGAAGCTATCCTGTTCGGTATGCCTGAGCTGCACATGGCTTCACTCAAACCACTTGTTCTACCTTTTTCTTATGATACAAGTAGACGAAGGACAAGCCGTCCTTTCAACACAAAGCCCCTTACAGTCCAATCAACTTATCTCGAACCTTGTCTCGGCCAAGCATCAGTAAGCGGATAGCCTCGTTTGCTTCAAGACTTGATTGCCTTCTCGCATTCTGTTCTCTACAGCGCGAGGAAAAGATGCTGGATCTTCTCAGAGAATCGCCAATTGGCCAGGCTCTGCGCCTGATTGAAACAAGATTCTTTAATACCCAAAAAGAGAAACAGGGCTTTCAGCCGCCAGAGGGATACATCACTCAGTTGAAGCCAAGAGAAAATTTCATTCAGCACTACTCGTCTCGCAACCTAGACGGAGTCTTCTTTGGCTCTACAGAACATAATTCGGAAACTTCCTATTCATTCGGTGGTGAGGGCGATGATCTAGAGAGTGTTAACTAGCAAGAACAATATCCAGCGTTCATACCGCCCCATTCAGCAACGAGCAGTTACACGCAGAAAGAGAACTCGAACTGCAGCGCACCAGATCTATTGCCATTAGCCCCCAAAAGGCATCTGATGGTATCCCTGTCGACTGGTATACGACTGATGATCCAACCAACCCTCGAAAATGGTCCCGTGCCAAACGAGAATTTGTTCTCTTCATCCTTTGTGTTCACACCTAGACGATGTATTGCGCAGGCCCCATTTATGCCGCTGCGGAAGAGGAGATCCAGCAGCAATTTGGTGTCATTCCTGTTGCTTCAACTCTGGGTCTTGGACTGTACGTCCTCGCCTTTGGCATCGGAGACCTCCCTTTCTCGCCATTGTCTGAACTCCCGAGCATTGGGCGAAGCCAGGTTTATGTCCTGACATACATTGTGTATTGGATTCTATCCTTTCCTGAGACTGTTGTTGATGGCTTTGGTGGGCTCTTGACGTTGCGATTTTGGGTTGTCTTCTTCAGTAACCCAGCTTTAGCAAATGGCGGTGCAACTGTGGGAGACATGTTCTCCCTCGTGTACATTCCATTCGGACTTTTCTGGTGGGTGTTCTCCGCATGGGCTGGTCCTGCAATTGGACTTGTGATAGTAGGATTTGCTGCCCAAGCCAAAAGATGAAGATGGCCTATGTGGGAAATCGTGTGGATATCTTCACTTGCCCTCATTCTCCTCCTATTTTTTGCTCGAAACCTCGTCACCTACTATTCTGCTGAGGCGTGCACGCCGGTTACGCAAGCTGACCGGCAATTCAAGGCTCCAGTCTCAAAGCGAGATTGATCAGCACCACATGAGCACATCCGCAGTTGTCTTCGACGCGTTCGTCAGGCCCCTGGAACTCATGATGAAGGACCCGTCTATCTTCTTCGTCGATCGTTACACCTGATATTTTCATGGCGTCTTTTATACCTTCTTTGAGGTGTTTCCTCCCCCTCTTTTTAGCCATGTATGGAATTAACTTTGGAGAGACTGGCCTTACGTTTTTGTCTTGTCTCGTTGGCGTTATTGATAGCCTTGCTGCCTATTTCGCTTATATACAGTTCTACATAATACCTGACAACATTAACCGTGGGTTGCGGGAACAGGAATATGGACTTGTATCGGCTATTATCGGCTCATTCTTGTGGCCCATCAGTATGTTTATTTTTGCTTGAACATCAAGATCCAGTATCCATTGGATGGTGCCCCTTGTCGGAGTGGCCATCTTCTGCTTTGAGCACTTCTGGGCCAAATGATTTTTGTGTATACATTTCCCGCTATCTTATCCCAAGTATGCTGCCTCTCTTTTTGCCAGCAACAGTATTTGAGGATTTGGTACTGCAGGCAGGGCCGTTATCTTTGCAATGCCCCTCTTCATCAAATTGGGCGTTGATAAAGGTTCAACGCTTCTCGCTGGATTAAGTGTCACCGATATCTTTGGAACAACAGCGATTTACATATTCGGCAAGATACTGCGAGCCAAGTAGTCCAAATTCGCACAGAGCTACGTTGTAATCCACTGAACAGCTCGTTGGAATTTCTTTCTTTTTTAGGTGGGCCTGCCAAGTTTCTATGTGCCCGTTAACAATGATAACAAGTGAAAGGAAGATGGTAATACGATGTTGGGATAGTAGCTTGCATGCAGTTGCAATCTTCTTTCGCCACTATCTATATCCTTCTTGCCCCTTTTCCAGCCATAAATGTACACCTCCTAAAGCTCGCCCAAAGCTTGTAATTCTTCAAATTGTCCCTTCATATCATCAGATTTATCTAGGACCCTCTTCAGGAGCATTCAAGTCCGCGGTGTGCGTCCAAACTTGGTGTTTTTGGTGTTTACTCGCTACTACTTGGCTCAGACGTGACATCTGCTTGCATTCGTGCCATTAGGTTTGCAGCCTCTTGAGCGTATTTGCACTTCAGTCTCAGGCTCTCCCCAAACCTGAGCATGACAAAAGGGAATGGCAAACACGCAAGAGTCAGGAATCCAGGTATCGAACTTGCCCAGTGTATCCCAAGATTGTCGTACATCTGGCTGGTGAAGAGAGGGAATGCCATACCGAAGAATGCCCTGAGCATGGCTGAGGCCCCAAGCACCGAAGCTGCGTATATGGTGTATGAGTCGATTAGGTAGTTTAGAGAGGACAGGAAAACCAGGACGCAGCCAAATCCAAACGGTGCTGACAGGATAATGCTCGCAGCCCAATGTATGCTGGGCGAGTTCGTCCACGCAAAGGCGAACAGACCGATGGGTAAAGCGATGGCACCGACTGCCCCGGGGGGCAATCGCGACTCGGGCTTTGCTGACTTGCCGAGTTTCCTGAATCGTTTATCGTCAATTATGGCATATAATGTCCCAATCCACATGCCACAGACCAGGCCAAGAAATGCCAGGCCGCCTAGACCTTCGTTCCATCCTCGCCCTCGCTGATAGACGATAGACAATGCAGGCATAAACATGTAGATGGTGCCGTATAATATAGCCAGATATGTTGCGGCAATCAGTACAATAGGCTCGCGGAAGAGAAGAACCCATGGCCGCATCAAGGCTTTGCGGAAAACTCCAGGTGATGCAGATGTACCATGATGCTGCTGCAGTGCGCTTCTGTAAGGTTTCCCCGTTTCTTTTGAGAGCTGTGCTGCTCTCTGGCTCAATATCACCGGTCCGTATGTCTCGGGCACTAGAATCGAGCCGACAATCCAGACAATGCCGATGAAGATGCTGCATACGCCTTGCACCCATCTCCAGCCAGCGTTCATGGAGATGAAGCCTCCCATAATCGGACCCAGGACAGGTCCCATAAACGGAGCCGTGCAGAAAAAGATCATTGCCAATCCCCGTTGTGCAGTCGGAAACATATCAGCAATGACACCGCCAGAGTTTGTAAGAGGCGAGGCGCCAAACATTCCGGTGAGGAACCTGAAAACCAAGAGAGCTGCCATTGAGCTTGACCCAGCGGAAGCGCCTACAAAGGCTACCATGCATGCATGTGTCGTGACGAAAAGGACTTTCCTGCCGTAGAGCTCGGAAAGAGGCGCCCACAAGGCGGGACCAATAGCAAATCCCAGCACGTACAGCGATATACCGAGCGAAAAGAGCTCGGTGCTGCATCGGAACTCCTCCAAGACTTCGTTCGCAGAGCCAGAGTAGGCCGAGGAGGTGAGTGTAACGGCAAAGACAGACACAGTTACAATAAAAATGATGAACCACTTCTTCATAGGGGAGAAGTTCAAAGGGTTTCCTGGGTCGCCATTATAAAACTCGACGATATACGGATCGGATGTTGTACCAGCTCCATCGTAGACTTTCGCCGTTGCAAGTTCTCCGTCGCGGGTGGGCTCCAGATGCATGATCGTTATGATCGTTCGAGGCCAATGTCGTCAGCTCAGGAATTATGACTACATAGTCAAAGACTTCAGGAGTGTCCGGCATGTCAGAGGATATATAGTAGATGGTTTGCAGGCAGATCTCGCAAGCTCGGCGTTTCGATCCTTTGGTCAATGATCCCGCAACCCAGCTCGGGACCGTTCCGAGCCCGGCGTGGGTCGCCGGAACTGCATTTGATTGGCTCTTGAGGGACAATGCCTCGCAGGTCAAAGTAAGAACTAGACTACAAAGCATCGAGCTCACTCTTCGTCTAGACGCGTCGAAGGAAGCGTTATCACACCCCATGTGTCATTCAAGTTACATGATTCATCGTTGATAGGGCGTAGAGTTACGCTTGCCCCTTCCTCTGCAATATGGCGAGCACACGGATTGTCTTTGCACTAAAAGACCAGGTCTACCAACGCTTCTGCAAAATAGCTCCCCTTGGGCCAGAAAGCTGCGCTCTCTGTTATTGTCTGCATATGCAGTAATACAGATTACTGATACAAGATCTTGGAAAGGGCTTCAGATGCTGAAGCCACACTGGGGGGGGGGGGGGGGACGCTTCTGTATGGTACCAAATTGCCCAACATATGTTGGATCTCGCCGCAAAGGAGAGCGGTCTCCGTAATTGTTAGTACGAATACAAGCGATCAAAGACCTTATATGTACCGAGTCTATTACCGCAGAAATTGTCACCAGAATGACTGCTGCCAAGAAGCAAATCACAAGTGTATAACTATAATGAGACCCGAGGACTGACAACTTTCACTACGGCGTTGAGCTTACATAGAGGTTGGCCTATCATCTCTAGTCTTGCTCAGCCGCTCAAGAGTGATTGGAACAAGGACTCATCGGGTTCGTCAAAAAGGAAAGCGTCTGTATGAAAGCCAAAGTCTTCGAATGTGTCATGGAACTGTGCGTCTGACAGGCCTCCTAGTACTTCGGCGTTTTCAAGCGGATGTCGGATGTGGGAGGCTTTTCTTGCCAGAGAATGAAGTAGAGATGAACATTGCAGTATGTATGAACTGAGGTGCTCATGTCGCTTGAAGGTTGCCAGAGCTTGTTGCCAGCTGTCTGATACCGCCTCTGTGAAAAGATTGGCAGACTGCATCGCTGCGAGTAGAATCGTCCCTGCCACATGGAGATAGAAGATGCGATGCCACCATGGCAAGATGTAAATCGATTCGGTGGTCTTGGAATTCTCGTCAATCAAGGTTATCAGATTTTGAGCATATTCGATACATTTAATAGCCCCGTATCGTATCATGTGGCCTTTGTAGGAGGACTCAAACTGGGTTTCGGCAGCGACAAGAGGATTTTGCTGCAAGAAGCAACAGCGAGCGACCATTGGGCGAAACAAGATGATTCGAGCGTGTAGCAGCCTAGAGTTGCCAGAGATATAAGCGCCCAAAGGTTCGATGTTGACTGAAGGACCTTGTAGCTGTCTCACCTGGTCTGGAGAATGAGTCTCCGCGTTTTCCAGTCATGATCATTGCTCTGATCTAGATTGACGTTTAGTCTCGCTTTTTCCCATTGGTTCAAGCAAGTCTCGTGCTGCAGAACCACGGTGCAGTAAGATTCCTTCTTGTGGTTCGTCCCGTGCAGGCCAAACCTTTCAGCAAAGCCGCCACCAGCAGGAGCCTGTGCTTGCAGAGCATGGCGAGCGATGTCGTACAACTCGAGCGTTTCAATCAGAGAGTCCCTGAAGGAACACCCCGTGCCTGTGCTGGGTTGGCTGACAAGCGACGCCATCGTTGTGCGACCTTGAACCCACGAGATTGATCTTGAAGCTTCGGGTTAGTGTAATGTCAAAGCTGCAGAAATTGAAAAAGTCCAAAGTGACATACAAGTCGGCAAACACACAGCAGTTCCAAAGATGGTGGCGCCAGCAATACTCATCGCTCGACATAGCAGCCTCTGGTGCTCTGGGGATGTGGATTCCGAGGCTCTGCGCAATTCGGATTGCCGAGCCCACTGCCATCCAAGTTTGGTGGGGGTTGTTTGTGCACTGAAGATATCGGCTCATCAGTAATAGGCATTCTACCAGTTCTAGCGACGGCGACTCCCATAGAATGGACTCCGGACGCAGGAGGTTCCAAGCTCTATGGAAATAGGTAGCCGCCACCTCGTTCCTCTCCGCGACGGTGGCGGGCTCATTTGCTTGGGTAGCGAAAGCAAAAACGATGTTCAAGGTGGCAATGAAAATGCGTTCCTCTGTTTCCAACTCTTTCCCAGCAAACAGCAGATCGTAAGACCGACAAAATCGCTTCTTGTCGAGAAGAAAATCGACAGGGTGTATGCATCGCCAGAATGTGTGCAGTAGCTGGTCTGCCAGCCGGCGTGGCGGTAATACCTTGTTGACATGTTCATCGCCAGGCTGTCGACTCGACAGCAGCAATTCGAACAACGGAGCATCCGACAAAGGCATCGCGTTCCCGTAGCCACTTGAAGCTTCGCCAAATTTGGCGTCAATGGCAGCTTTGACTTCTCCAGCGAACGTGCCGGGGCTCCCGCTGTAACCCATTCCCGGAATCTTCCCCGCGGCGTCTTGGGCTTGAAAACTCGCAGCGGGTTTGTAGTTGCATATCTGTCTCCTCTTCTCGCAGTTACCACAAGCTTATATGCTACGTCAGTATCTACACAGGCATTCGACTGGCGTTTGACAAGCATACCTGGGCGCATTCCGTCGCATTTGATCTTTTTGGAGCGACACAGTTCACAGGCATTGCCGTTCCCTATCTTGAGCTTTTTCCTGCGCCGCGCGTCTGGAGTTGGAGACTTCGACAATGAGTGCATCGGCAGTAGCTGCGACCCTTCACCAGGCCGGAGGGAGAAGACTGAATGAAGAGCTTGAGGCTGATGGGCCTGCAATTAAGCAAGGCTACTGTAGCTGATATGGGGACTACAGTGAATGGCGTATTGCCTGAGAACCCGGATATGGGTGCGACAACCAGAACGTGATGTTGAAGATTACACGAGCTAGAGAAAATGACCAGCTAGCCGCATTTGTGTCAACGCTTCCCAATCCCGACAGTAGCTACCTACTCGGAACATGTCCCGACATCTTACACCCCCAAGCGGGATCACTTGGGATCCGCAAGATGCGACACCCAGCACCTACCCTATACCACCCAAATGCCTGTGGTAGGACTGTTTATACTTGTTACTCGGCGGGACATTAATTAGATAAGTATATGCAGACTACGTTCCAACGACGAAAGCGAGCATTAAACTCTGGCATCAGTATTATGGCTTCTTAGAGCAGGGTAGACGAACGATAACTGCAGATTCAGAAAGTCATATCAGATTAGAGCAGTCTAGACAGTAAAAATCGACTGATATTTTGATGTGACGGATATTTTGCTGCAACTACATACTTTTCAAGACGACAAAACCCAATGCTGCTCAACAATTTACTTTGTCAGACTGACGAAACACCAAGAAAATTCCGAAGGCGTGTGAAACTTGCCCAATACCCTGTCACCCAAGCTTATTCCTCCTCTGGCCAAACGTTATACCCGAAGGTGTCCTTCATGTTAACGAATCTAGTATGCCTCCCCTTCGCAACCTGTTGAATCGCTTCAAAGTCCTCATCACTCAGCTCCGGGATGTTAAAGTTGCTTTCAATCCGGCTTGGTGTTGAGCTTTTCGGAAGGACAACATAGCCTCGCTTTAGACCCCATGCTAGCAGAACCTGGGCAAGGCTATAGCCGCTTCGCTCGGCAACCGCGTTGAGCGTCGGGTTATCGCGTACTCGCTCGCCGGTGCTTGGGACCTGGTTTTGCGAGCCCAGCGGCGAGTAGGCTTCGGGCAGGATCCCGTTCTCAAAGCAGAAAGACACAAGCTCTTCGTTTGGTAGGAATGGGTGAATTTCGATCTGGTTCACTGCCGGCTTGATCTTGGCGATCTGAAGAAGCTTCTTCAACCCCGGAATCGTCCAGTTGGATACTCCGATTGCCTTGACGATGCCGCTGGCAACGAGCTCTTCCATTGCTCGCCACGTTGGCTCTGGGTTTTCCGTCAGGGCTTGGTTGATGACATACTTTCCGTCCGGGCCTAGCTTGACACTCCTGTCGCTGTTCTTCTCAGCCGCAATCGGCCAGTGGACAAGGAACAGGTCAATGTAGTCGACCTTGAGGTTTTCGCACGAGTTCTTGGCGCTCCACTTCACGTCCTCTGGCTCATGCAGGTGGTTCCAAACTTTGGTGCAGATAAACAGATCCTCGCGTTTCACGTCGGGTCGGCGGGCGAGAAAGTCGCGTACCGCGTCACCAACCTCATCTTCGTTGTGGTAAAACCAGGCGCAATCAAGGTGCCGGTATCCAACGTCCAGCGCCTTGGTGACGGCTGCATACGTCTCGCCCTTGGCACCTTCATTGGCGAATGTGCCGAAGCCAACAGCGGGTATCTTCGCACCGGTGTTGAGAGTGTAAGTTTTGGTGGCCATGATCTCAACGGTTCCGCGGCTTGTGCCTTGTCTCCGATGTGTAGGGAAAATTCGGGCTCTCGTCTGGCAAATGTGGTGATGTATGCGTGGGATAGATAATGGGAATAAGCGTGATTTCTGCTCTCGCGATGGGAGCACGGAAATGGAAAAGCTTTGAAAAGTGTTATGTACGTATGTCTCAGCCAAAAATACGACGTATCGGGTTTCTCATGCAGAGCGACTCGTGAGATTGCCGTTTCTTTATACAGGGATGCCTTAGGAGTCGTTGCGGCACGCCGTCCAAATATCCAACGCCTGAGGTGTCGAGATACTGCGTATAACTTATCCACCCATGCCTCCCTGATGACGCTCAATTGTGTCCACCCAACCTGGTTCCGTAGCGGTGGAATCCCTTTCTGCTGCAGCTAGAGGGATTTTCGCCTGCATCAATTCTCACAAAATGACGCAAGAGGCGGGTAACATCCATCACTCCAAGAGGAATTTTCATGAAGATCTGCGAATTCTTGACCGAAGTTTCGCCTCACCCCCTTCACGAAGATCAGTGGCCCGGAGACAATATACTTTGGCATTCCTTGGCGTGACATCGTATAAGGATCGATTGGACGAATCTCAGCATCTGAAACTGCCGCTACAGGCCCGCTTTCTCCATCTTTCTGGACATTTCCTTACGCCTCTGCTATCGACTTTAGGTATCTTTCAGGCCGGCGCCGGCTAATCCGACTGGCTCATCCACCGGCCCCACATTTCACAATCTCTTACACCGGAGACAAGTAATCCGTATCCACCCAGAGGGCGGACGGCGGTCAGAAACGTGGAACTGTTGCCGACGCATTGCCGCAGATGGCGATATCTGAAGGAACAACAAGGCTTATCAGGCCACGATTGGATTGAGCTGGTGGGTTTGGTCCCTGAGAGTGGCTCCGGCGGCACGCAGGACCCAGGGAGAGTAAGGGGAGAGAGTGGATAATGAGGTAGTTGCAGCCTTGACGCCTAGGAGAGCGATGACATCAGGGCTGAATCACGGGCAAAACCTTCTTCTGCCAGTCAAGCAGTGTCATCGTATCTGCTTCGAAACCGTTGGAATAATGGCTCTTCTGGATCCACTTCTTCCATGGATGTGATTCAAGTCTAGGACTTATGGCTTGCTGACTCCGGAGTGAAGTGTTGAAGTAGTAGTATATATGAAGGAAGCCCTCTGCCACCAACAGACGACGAGGATCCAGTTTCTGACAAACATTCTACTACTCACACCTCACCGCAACCATGGCTACCTTTGACGATGTCGACTTTGGCGTGGAAACGCCAACTCAGCCCCCGGAAAGCCAACCAAATGCTGGCGATGGCTCAGCAGCCCATCCCCCCCCTCATGAGGGAGCCCTTGCTATCCCGATGTCACCCACCTCGACAACTCACGATGCCATTGAGGTGCCCGCCACGAGATCTCCCCATGCTGATGCCTCCAAGTACATGCACCAGCTGTCTCTCTCTCCATCCATGAGAGACAGGCGGGCATCTCGGAATTCGTTTGGCACTTCCCTCCCCATTCCTCGCTCCAAGCGACAGTCTCGACTCAGCTCAGTCCACTATGCCGATCGAGACGACGCCCTGGCAAAGGGTGTCATTCCTCCCCAAAAGACGCGAGATATCCTGGCCGCCCAGGTTCAAGATATTTCCGCGGACAAGGCAAAGAAAGCCAAGAACATGGCCTTTGTCTTCGACATTGACGGTGTCCTGGTGCATGGAGATCGGCTGATCCCAGAGGGAAAGAGAGCGCTGGAGATCTTGAACGGCGACAACGAACTCGGCATCAAGATTCCACACATCTTCCTGACCAACGGCTCAGGCAAGCCCGAGCTGGCCCGCACGCAGCAGCTGTCCAAGATCCTGCAGAACCCCGTGAGCACGGAACAGTTCATCCAGTCACACACTCCAATGCGGGCACTCGCCGAATACTATAACACGGTGCTTGTCGTCGGTGGTGAGGGTTACCGTTGCCGCGAGGTGGCGGAGCAGTACGGATTCCGCGATATTGTAGTGCCCAACGACATCGTGGCATGGGATCCCACGATTGCGCCGTATCGCGTCTTCACGGAGGAGGAGCGCGCCAGTTCGCGGCCTCGCGACTTCTCGAAGACGAACATCGAGGCAATTCTTGTCTTTTCCGACTCTCGCGACTACGCTACCGATATGCAAATCATTGTCGACCTGCTTCGGTCCGAGAACGGACGGCTGCTCACCATAGCCTCTGACCCTGTTTCTCAGAGAATCCCCATTTACTTCTCTCAGGGCGATATGCTGTGTCCCACAGAGCACCCGATCCCGCGTATGAGTCAAGGCGCTTTCCGAATCGGGCTCGAAGCCATGTACAAAGCGCTCACTGGGGTTGATCTCGAGCGTGTTGTATATGGAAAGCCCGAGATGGCGACGTACAAGTACGCCGACGAGGTGCTGGCGTCCTGGATGGAGCAGCTTCATGGCGAGGAGCGCATTCCAGACAATATCTACATGGTTGGCGACAACCCCGCCTCAGACATCATCGGAGGTAACATGTATGGTTGGAACACTTGCCTGGTGCGAACTGGTGTTTTCCAGGGTGGTGACAACGATGAGGCCAACCCGGCCAACTTTGGCGTCTTTGCGAATGTTCTTGAGGCCGTCAAAGCCGCGTGCCGGAAAGAACTTGGAGAATCTTTTGGATTTGAATGGGATGATCGAGTCAACCCTGTACTTCATGGAGAGAAGCATGTTGCGTCGGCGATTGAGTAAAGGAAAGAGAACTTGCATGGCATATGGACACAGTTTGTTTGGATCGCGGAATGCGTTGGAAACGGCGGATATCAATTTGGCAGCTTTACATGGAATAGAAAATCGGAATAGAAGAGCGACACCGACGAGTCTCGGCATTGAATTTGATATGAATCACATCCATCTTTTTATAACGGCTTGGCACAAGCAGTGAAATTTCAAAGACCACCTGTGCTGTTCTATGTGTCGAAACACTTCAATACTCGTTGAGGGACGGAGTATCAATAACAAACTAAACCTTTGTGACTGGCTACAAGGTCCCGAGAAGCCAGCTGGCGTGAACTACTCCTGAAATCACAAGCACCTTTTGTCTGAAGCGCCAAAACGAGTACATGAGCTTATACTTTTAGTGGAGACGGTCGTCCGAGGTAATACACATCGCACTGTATAGAAAAGATGAGTAAACAAGAAGTCACGTTGAGTAATCATGAATTGGCTTGTCGATGGCAGAACCAATCACCACCAGGTGACGGTAGTTAGAGGTTCTAAATTCCAGACTCATTCCTGCTCGTTGCTGGTACATTAGAAATAGTATGATGACGAATGGACGAGGACCTTGAAGCGACAAGTGATAGACGAGATGGCATCTTACGATGAATAGAGTTGCAATGGATAATATCACCAGCCGCCGCGTAATATATATATATATATATACATATATATATATGCTCATCTCGGAGCTGTAGTCTTCTAAACTTCCCTACAGTGTCTACAGGCTTCTCAATTTACTTGGCAAGGCAAGGCCATATACACATATTACCTACCTTTTTTTCTTTTTTTATTATGGCGAGCTTCGAACCTCCTATCCTGGTGACCGGAGCAGCGGGCCGAGTTGGCGGCGTCGGCAGGCGTGTTGTGGCATTGCTTCGAGCGGCCAATCTACCAGTTCGGGCACAAGTGCGGCAGGACGACGATCGAGCTGAACAGCTGCGCTCTCTGGGTGCGGAGGTTGTGGTAGCTGATCTTTTGAAGCCAGAGCAAGTCCTTCCAATTCTCCAGGGATGTCGAAAGATCTTTTTCTGCACGAGTGTCTCTGCCGACTACCTCGAGGCGACAATGGTCATGGCCGCGGCCGTAAGAGCTACGACCGGCATCGAGCTTCTCGTCAACTTGTCTCAAATGACTGTGGCAGAGATGGACCTTACTCATACGACGGATTCGCACCAGCATAGGCTGCAATGGCTGAGCGAACAAGCGCTCAACTGGTCTGGCCTGCCAGTGACGCATCTTCGACCAACTGTGTTCCAAGAAAATGCACTCTTCTGGCAGCTACCAGCACTCGAAATCAAGAAGTCGGGGACAATACGCATGCCCTTTGGGCAAGGCCGGATCTCTCCGGTAGCTGCCAACGATGTTGCAGAGGTGGCGGTGCAGATTCTGCTTAAACCAGATCGATATGTCGGCAAAAGCGTGGAGCTGACCGGGCCCAGTTCAGTCGACATGTCTGAACTTGCCAAGGAATATTCTGCCGCAACTGGGAGCCCGGTTCAATACGTTCCGATTCAGCTTGACCATTGGGTGGAGGAAGTATTAGGAATGGTAGATCTGCCGAAACATGTGTATGACCATCTTATGGTCATGGTTAAGCTCATCGCAGCTGGATGGTATGATAGACACACGGATTCTGTTCAAACCATTCTCGGTCGGCCGGCAGCAGCTATTTCGTCGACTATAAAAGGAAATCCTCAGCTGTTCCGGCCCTTCTGAGCGAGCTTTTATTTGGTCTGCTAGGGATATGGCTGTCTTATCAAGACATGGCGGTACCTTGTCTTCGTTGAACTTTCGGAGATAGAAGAAAGTATTTGGTATACTGCTAGGCCTTTTACGGACACCTGTATGGGCCGAATTACATGTCCTTATATCTATTGGCTATCAGATGTAAGACAAGCTCATGAATATAGTGGTATGCAGAATGAAGTTGAGCCATGCTTATCTACTTATACGTGGCGGTAAGAGTTACGACTTGCTGATGTCTCGCTTCCAAGTTCGATAAAGCGACATAAAGATGCCACGCAAAGTTAGCTTTGGCAAAGGCCATTCCCAGCCAGAGGATTCAAGACAACGTCGGCACCGTCACTGCCGTTCATACAAAAGATAGACATCTCGAAGCTGTAGCTTCTGCTGCTGAAGGCGTGGTCCTTGCGGATCCCAGCCTGTCTCCCTCAAGAACCTCATTTCGATCTTGGTTAAGACGGTGGGGAAGGATTTAGCACCGGTGTACCCAGAGTAATGATTGCACTCCAGCCTATAAGACTCCCGCAGCGCAGTGAACGAGGCGGGCCACGTTAAAGAATGTGTAGACGGCTGTTCCTTGAAGAGGGATTTGAAACTGTAACAGTTCAGCTTTCCCGAGCGACTTCATGCCGGGTATGGGCTATAAAATCTCCTCTGAACCGTAGACGTATTCCGTAGCTTGCCGGCCCGAGATTCAAGGCTTTGTCCCTGATTTTCGAACTTCATTACGGTTGTTCCAACGCGATTGTAACGATGCCGCTCATTCGAAACGTAGATGTCTATCCTGAGTTTGGGGCGTAGCAATTATGACGCCGTGGATTGTCATACCAGCCCATTCATTCTGATTTAAACATCCCCATCACGAAGCGGTAGAGGTTATTCACCACAGTTCGTGAGATGGAACGTATTCAGCATTCTTGGGATCTTATTTCGAGAAGGAGCGCGCAGCATGGCTGAATGAAAGCCATCTTCGCTGCGGGAGAAGCCTCCGTGCTGGTTGCGATCTTACCAAGAGGCTTCTCACTTGTGGATCCAGATGGAATGAGATACGCTAATCATTCCGCTGCGTTGAGTACATGTAGGTATGTCGGACGGACTACGTACGAGTATCCACGACTATTTGGGGAGATAACCCGGGCCTATGTCTCATGCATGATCCTGGCAAGCTTGGACTTCGAATCCCCCCAGATTATCGACTCAGAGTCCGCTTATGCAATCGTCGGCGAGCTGTTCGAATCCAAGGTTGGTCCTGCAAATCGCGAGTGACGATCACACTGAATTTGGGTGTAGTGCATAACACGGTATCAGGGCGGTGAGCCACAGAAGTGCTTCTGCGCCAAGAGCCACATGCTTGGCTACCTAAGTCGCAGTCATCGGGCTCGATGCGACGAAACAGTGGCTTGTGCGTCTCCACCTCCATAATGTTTGTTGTCCCAAGGAAATCGGCGGTGTGAGCATTTCGCAGTGAAACTACGAGTACATATGTATGTCTGTCGACTTGTACTCCCTCATTCTCGCACATCCGTGATAGGCTCGATACCATGGCATTGATCAACAGGGTCGGACACGACTGATGACAACGACTGCGTTGTGGGGCACTGGTGGACGTCTTGCATGGCCACAGACAATATCACAGGGATTGCTTATAATGGCGACGATTTACAGCTCAAGAGATAGTGGCAAGAGATAACGAGCTTGAGGCCATTTGGTCTGATCATAAGGCGTTACCCACTGGCGTGTTCAGAGACAGATGGGCTAATGATTTCACCACAATTCTTATAGGTGTTGTTATAACCAGGTGATACATCATAATCTCATTGGGAGGAGATGTTAGATAACCCTTGCAATCAAAAGGGTCTTGTGTGGACAAACTGCGGTAGGGAGTTTGAATGAAATGACATCATGGGGCACTACAAATTCATCGAAGCGTTTGATGCATGGCAAGTTCCATATCAAGTGCGCCTATCACATTGCTTATTATGCTGTTCGTTCGAGGACCCTGACATAGGACTGTGCATAAGCGTATTGCGACCATGATAGAGGAAGTTGAGAACAGAGGAGGAAGGCAAGAAGGGTTCAGTATTATCTCTCTCATGGGTGCTTCCTATCATCCAGTCTCTTCTCTTCGGCCCACGACCTGATAGCCTCGAAATCTTTACACATATGAACTGCTCCTGTCCCATCTGTGCCGCTTATATTACTGTTCGGAATCTGTCCCTCCAACGCCGTATCTCCGCAACACAGCAGAGACTGGCGGAGGTATCTGAAGCAGTGGTTTATGTGCCCATGAGAATCTGAACTGATGTTGAGAGTCGCTTGTTGCGCAGAACCCGTCTGCGTCTGCTGTGCAGGGCTTGTCAAGTTATTGTACATATCCATAATCGCGTACTGCATATGCGGAGGGTTAGACATCCGTAGCTCATTCACTACCACAAGGCAAGATCACTTACTAAACAATGTAGCTGGTGGAAAACAGCAAGTGAGTAAACCTGTTTGCCTTTAAACAAGATCGGCTCTGGTAGAATGTACTTGTCGGTATGATTCACTTCAATGAATCCATTTCCTCCTGTAGTGATTGCCAAACCAGGTTAGTGTGCTTGCTTCTTTTTATCATCGTTGATTGAGGTTGAGCCTACTCGGCATGTATGAAAGCCAGTTCTCCCGAGTCTTGTTCCTTGATCTTTCGTCCTGCTGATCGACTGTGGCTGACGGATCGGTTCGAAAGAGCACTTGGCGAGTGGAAACTGTATTCTCTCCGTACGTCGTTAGCAATCTGCTCTCGTTCCTTGGAGGTGCCTTGGACGAACATGTCGGAACCAAATGATTTAGTTCGCTCAATAGTGGCTGTATGTGATTCTGAGGGCTGAGTTGACCAAAGATGATTGCAAGCACTATCAGCTCAATCAGTCCAATGACTGTCAAGATAGCCAAAGAAACGAAAAGGAAACTCCATTGTCGAGTAGTCTTTTTCTCAGCCGGCCGGTGCTCGATTAGGAATTCCTTCGATCCGGACTCGTCGTCGACAAAACTGGCTGGCATCTCCGCGGCGCACAATCGCAAAGAAGATTCCAAATTGACGTCTGTACCATGTAATAAGATTCTGCCTGCAAAGACAGGAAAGAAATAGAACGCGATAAACTACCTTGATTTGGGGAGAACAGCAGCACTAATAAGCATTCTGAGAAATCTTGCATCAGCATACCAGGGCGATGTGATTCATTGCCATGTGTACAGGTACTTCAACATGGCTATCTGCCCTAAAAAAGTCTTGTTTATTGTGGTAGCTGTATCCACCTTATTGTCGCAAATTGAGGCTGACTGCTTTTCGCTAATCTGCGATCACAAGTTGGAGATTGCCACTCACGAGCCCGAGCCAAGGCGCGCCGTCTCGAAACGAAACATGGGTTCAGCCAATAAGGAATGCGGCTGTAGAGGTCTCATCGTACCCGTACAGGATCTCGTACAGGATCTCGTACAGTTAGATCTAACTTTCCTGTCTCGACCTTGTCAAACTGTATATACCCCGTCATATTATCCATGGCAAACTTTGTAAAAGGAAGGGGTAAAATCTCGGATTAACATAATGAATGCATATAAAGGTCAGACGGTAGTCCTTCAGCATGGGGAAGTGTCCTAAACTTGCTTCTCATGTAATCAAGTTAATATGCATTGTCTTGTATAAGCTCCCGTCTTCGATAGGATGATCGTAAGCTAACATGTCGCCTGACAATTCCGATGTTGTCGTTTGAGCCTTGTGTAGTCAGAGATGTCCTTTGATAGAGCTCGATGGTCTTGTCAAGCGGGACGACCGGAGTAATGTATAGAACGGAGAATTGGATAAATGTGGCTTGAGAGAAACAAACAGCAGCTAGTAGCGAGCGTAAATGGCTGTCTCTGCCTCTGCAGTTGGTAGCGGATGTCCTTGGTTTCTCGCATCGATATTTCCCAACTTGACGACTGATCAATTTCACCTGAACGGGCATTTGGCTCAGGCAGTTGGTATACCGCATCAATCAGTCAACTATGGGCTTGAAGAGAAAGGAAGAGTAAAAGCAAACGTACATGTCACGGGGCACATTAACAATACGACGAATTAGACCTGGGATACTTACTCCTTTAGATATTACCTAGCATTGAGGTTCTTGTTGAAAGAGCCTACGTTATCGCTATTTAAATGATCTGAGGCAAACCGCAATACGTGATCAGTGCCCGAGAAAGACAGCTAGTTTCCTCTAGTGCGCAGCAACAGCACCATCCCTTTACCTTGTATAGCATCCTTTGTGTCCATATCGTTACAACTTAAAGTATCCTGGCTGCAGCTGCTGCCAAACTCGCTGGGGGTCATACTTTGTACTTATAGACCTCAATTTGGCGAGGTTTTCTTTTCCATAACCGGCAAAGACGTCCTGTTGGTATGAGGCGTAATTTTGATACAGGTACGGATGATCAAGTCCCTGAGTACGTGCAGTTTTGGTAGACCGGTCTACAATGTTCTTCGCGACAGCTAAAACACGCTCGTCATCAGCAGCGTCAGACCAAGATATGTCAATATTGATCACTGTAACCATGTTCAGTATATAGATTCTCTGTGGCTGTGGAGGACAGATACACACGGTTCAAAGGGCCCTGGCCATCAAGTCCAAGGGGGTTACCGCCGTTTCGAGAGAAATGTTGAGTCATGTCGGTGGTGATGAGCTGGAAGACAATTGAGGGAACGATTCCCACAGCATCCTTGACAGACTCCACTTCCTCCATATAAATCGCGACCAGGTCCGCCATGAGGCAAGCACTGTTTTGGACTGTAAAAGTCCAGTACGTTTGCCTGTAATACCCGCGTCAGTCCTTGCCACAAGAATGCACACATCCATCTCTATCAGGAGCATACCGGAAGCCGCCCGGATTGGTATTGTTGAACTCGACGGTTAGATTCGCCAGATCAACAATGCGAAGTGTACTGGAGATGGCACCGGCTATTGACGTGAAGTTTTGCAAGATGTGTGGATTCGGAATTGGCTTCGCATATTGGAGGTCCGACGCAATAATGTAGACATCTTGTGACTGAGCATACGCATATGCGATGATGACTTGGGCATATGGATCAGAGGGCGCATTGATGCCGAGGTAATAAAACGCGCTGTTGATGGCAGCCGCAGTCTCGTTGGTATACAGGAAAGTCTCCGAGCCCGCCCAGAGGTCACCTTGGGGATATGCCGCTAATTCGAATCGTGTTACGATGCCGAAGTTGTTTCCTCCGCCACGAAGCGCCCAGTATAGGTCAGAGTATTGGGACGAGTAGCTGACTTCACGGATTGACCCGTCTGCAAGCACAATCTGTCCCATCGAGGCATCAGCTCCCTTTTCAAAGACAAAACATCAAATAAGAGTGATAAGACAACCTCGTAAGCGTTCACGTTGTCACAAGCCCATCCGTGCTGGCTAGAGAAGAAGGACATGCCGCCTCCGAGAGTCAAACCCCCGACGCCAATAGCAGACACCCTTCCCCCGATCACGGTAACGTTCTCAGGCTGCAGATATGTGTACACGTCATACCACACATTTCCAGCGCCAATTGACGCCTGAGTCTTGTCCTCAGAGAGAGCAAGATGGTTGAGATGAATGAGATCGATTGTCACGCCACTGTCGATATTCGAGGCACCTGCGAAAGCAGCATGGCCACCACTCTTGACTGCAAACTTGCAACGTATGACGCGAAAGGTCAACACGGCTAGAGATACGTCTTCTGCCGATGTGGGAGAGAAGCGACAAGTAGGTCTCGTGAGTTCTTGCTGCTGCGACCAGTACCGCGACTCTTCGAACTCGTAGACAGGGCTTTGCGGATATGACACATGCCTGGGCAAGGTGAAGTCAAGGAAGCCACACTAAGGGACCGGTCAGTTCATTTTGTACGAGACTGCATCGCGATAGATTTCTTACTGCAAGTTGGCAGCCCGATAGAGGACCAAACCGTTGCCCATGGATGCTATTCTGGTCCAAGTAGGATGAGATCTGGGACTTGACCTCGTTCAAAGTGTAGGTGGCAGCGGCGATACCGAGCTGTAAGAGCAAGGGTAGAGCGAGACTGATGCAACGCATTCTATTGAGCTTATCATACGCGAGCGGGTTGTTATGGAGAGATGTCAAACACAACTCGTCGGCTTAAAAGACTGGGTTCTGCAGAATAGGCACCCGGCGGTACTTTCATGATTCAGAGAGCAGCGTGTCGCCCAATGTCACGCGTCCACTCCTGCAGGCCTCGCCGATCTCAGGCGCCAATTGCCTTGAGGGTTGCTGGTCGACCTAAGCCATGCGGCTGCTCCGCGCAATATCCTGCGGCCCGTCCCATGTGGCCAGACGACTGCGAGAACTGCTTGAGGGCGCTGAGTCGGTTTTGTACAAGGTCTTTTCTTTTGACGTTTCAGGCCCCGTACATGGCGACATCGCTGGGTGCTGAATCGGGAAATCATGGCCGCCTGGACGACGCCGCCGCTTCCTTCGCGTCGGACATGCAAAAGGCCCTTTTATCGACAAGGTCAGGCAATAGAAAAGGATACACACAGCTTTTCGGAGCATACTCTTAGACTGGTAAGGGTAATGCTGACGAGCCAAAGGGCACAATAACTAGTCTATGTAGGGATCGACAAGCACAACCAGATCGGGCGTGGCGTGTTGGTCCACCAATGTCGTGAAATACTACGCCCGTGCCTTGCATTCTTTCCCTGGCCCCCATCCACCATTTCTGCTGCGTAACATCGTCCATTGCGGCAATACCACGATCCCCTTTGACTTGCTTGGGCTGCCAAGTCCCCTCGCCACGTCAAGCTTGGGGAGAAGGGCAGGGAGAAAGATAAGTGACAGAAAGTCAGAATCACAAGAATCTGTACCTTTATCTTAATGATGTGGTACGTACTACAGCGCCCATAGTCTCTAGTAGATTCTTGTAATGAAGGTACTTCAATAACGTGCCGTTATTTGCAGCCGTGTCTGCGGTCTCCATGATGCCCAATTCACACCTTGCAGGCCAAAGACAGAGTCGTATAAAACCATGTACCAGCAGCGGAAACAACTTGCGCTAATTCGCATGGAGTTCTGATGAGGTGTATGTCTGAACAATCCGCCGCAACAATAAGCTAGGCCAGTAGAACACAACATAACAGGAGGTGGAAGAATCGATAGCTAAGAGCGTGATAGCGTTTTATAGGTACATAGCTATGGTTGAATCATGTGCATCTGCTCGAAATTTCATCTTCATAGTGATAATAGAAGGGCAAAGCTCTTTGAGATTCCTCCTGTGCTATACACCTATATGTCTCCTATAATGACAGCATATGGACTTCCGTTTAGTTGGATGCTATTGAACATATCACTGAAGCATTGCAGTTTGTAATAACGTCTGGAAAGGCTTTATCAAAACGCGGATCCGGCCAGTGGGGATGACATCAATTCCTGGGTAGGTCGTATTAGCGGAACATGCTGGGGCGCTACCTTGCATGAAGTATGAACACTGACATCAAACTGGACAGACACATGCGCAGCGTCACAGACAGAAATATATACAATGAACCACGCCTTGAACCTGTGCTATGGTTGTGACTTTGTTATCATCTCTTAGAGCAGCGTTCCTAGATGCTTTGCATCAAGTAGCACATTCCAATCTCGTAACAGTAGAGGCAGAGGTCCAACAGTAACTCCGAAATTGTTCCTGATATACTATAGGAAAGATCTTACATAGGCCTTTTAATCCAGAGACAAATAAAAGGGCAAGGTGTACAGCCGTTTCTGCTAATATTATAGCACTGCATTATTGGGAAGATGTTAACCTAAGAGCTATTACTGGGAGTTAAATACCCATATAGCAGACACTTCCAAAGGCGCAATATTCCCATCAGTGTGTATTCTTATCAGTGTGTTTACATCTACCTGTTAGTATATGTAAGGTGATGCTGCAGATAGTCCGTGACACTAGGCCATAATTGCAGAAGTGCCATAGCTCCTTTGACATGTCATGTTAGTATTATATATCTGTAACTGCATGTATGAGGGCAACTATAAGCTCTAGACATAGGTCTCACTTATGCTAGGGACACTTCTCAATAATGCCAGCACTACACACTATGCCAGACTAAAGCAAGTGCACTCACAATCGCCTATTAAACCCAAAGAGTCTCAATCTGTCAAAGAGGAACGAGGTGGAATCTCTGTAATTCCTTACCTAAGGTCTCATGCCTAATAATAGGGACCTACCACGAAGTGTGAAGCACATTCGTGCTTATAGGTATTTCTACTCGTCTCTCATCTACTGTATTCTAGAAAGCTGAAAAGAGCCTGCGGTTTCGGCAGAAATGGGTCCTCCTGCCCGAGAAAGTGGAGCACAAGTGGGTGTCTGTTAAGGAGATGCCGATGAAAGTGGTCTGATTTCTCTTCCGCCACGTGTGTCAATTTGGGAACTCATCCAGTTTGGGACTCGGACGCAACGCCCCTTATTACCACTATGCTTATACAGTTTATCTTGTTACGCACACTTCATACTGTGTACCTTGGATGAGAGACTCGGCTTTCTGAATATGGTAAGACATCACGCAGCAAATAGGTTTGCTTGGGATATCGGACAGCGTGACTGTTCGTTGACTTGCAGCATAATTGCAAGAAATGGTATGTGATACACACTCTCTCACATTGACGACGCCGGTGTGGAGAATTGGGCAGAGGCTGGAGGCGAAGAGTATGCGGCTGTAACACGGAATACTCCGAAAGTTTTATCATGTGTCTACTCCGTAGGCCGTCTCAGTCACATGCGCCCAGTAAAATTTTAAATAAAGGGAATAGGAAATTTCTCATTTAATTCGTTCCTCTTCCCTCTCTGCTATCTTTCTTCTTTGCTTCCTTCTTTCTTACTTAGCTGTACTTATTGTCTGTTCTCTGCTTCATACGTTTGCGTTTCGTTCATACCCTCACGCTATTACCTCTACTAATACCTGCTGACGCCGTGGTTTTTTTCACTTACTTGTACCAACTCTACCAATCTCGACAGCTGCCAGAAGCCCCTCGCACGAAATCAAGAGGGAAGAAACTGCGCAAGATCAAAACGAAGAACCACACTTCTCCTCACCACATTCATCTCGAACGAAACAACGAGTCGGCCGGCATCGATACAAACATGAAGATTACACGCGCTATTTCTCTGACCAATTTCATGGTCGCTACCTCTGCCCTCGGCTTCCAGGTTTTTGTTCTCTATCCTTGGCATAAAGAACTGGACAATGGATTCGAAGACCTCAAGAAGGAACACAAGAAAGTCCTCGATGCTATGGGAAAGAATGTGAGCGAGCAGCAGCGAATGGCGTTCACGAGCAGGCTCAATGAGCTCAAGACGGAAAGCTCTCGCCGATGGTGGTGGATGTAAAGAAGCAGTATAAAATGGAGTTGGAGTTGAACGTTATTTCAATACATTTCAAACAGTTCTCATACCCTCTCAAACCCAGCTAAGTAACCGCGTCCATTACCGCGTTATTGTCTAGAGCAGGTGGTGCAGGAACACAAGACACACCAGCATGACTGACAGATTCCGAAAGCCGTAATCTCCCGACAATATTGCACCAGTCTGACAAGCGTCATGTCAACGGCCAGCTGTTGCGCCAGTTGCTTTAGCCTCTAAATACTTTTGCCACGCACAATACCCGCCAGCCAAATCTGTCGCTCGCGACAGTCCTAGCTTCTGCAACTCCCTCGCTGCTAAGGAGCTTGTGTACCCTTCTGAACACGAGACAATGATGCGCGTGTCATAGCCAAACTCATCCACAATCTCCTTGATACGAGCATCGCTCTGGGGATCCAAGCGCCACTCGAGGACATTCCGCTCAATGATGCTAATTGTGTGTTTTGTCGCAGATGCGTCGAACAGAGGGCCGCTGGGGAATGTGAAAGCGCCTTCTCTTTTGCGCTGTGCTGCGGGCCGTATGTCTATAATATGCGTTGGGCTGTGAGCTGATGAGACCTGAAGCTCTGCTAGGAGCTGCGCAGGGGAGACGCGAGTAAGGTAAGTGCGAGCCTCGGTAAGTATCTCGTAAATACTTTTTGCCCCAGGCGGAGGGATATGCTTCTGCATTTTAGAGTTTTTATATAGTAAAGAATATACTTTAGTAGTAAAAGTAAGTAAAGATAAAGAAAGGAAAAAGGAGAAGAGGTAAAGGAAGAAAGAGTAAAATTAATAAAAAAGAAAAAGAAAAAAGAAAAAATAATAAAAAAAGAAAAAAATTATATATATATATTAAGTTATTATATAAGTTTATAATTTATATAAATATTAATATTAAACTAAGTATTTTAAATGTATATATATATATATATAAGAATAAAAATATTATAAGTAATATTAAATTACTTTTTATAATTTAAATTACTTTAATAAAAAATATTAAATTTAAATTTCTTAAAGTTAATTACCTTTTACTATAATAATATATTTTATAAAATAGTCTTAAGGTATTAAGGACCTTAAAGAGACCTTATATTTTATAAGCTACTTTCTCTCTTAAGCAGTTAAGAATAAAATTATATATTAGCCTAAGCCTTTTTATACTTATAACCTACTTACTAAATTATAATTCTTATATAAGAATATAAAAACTAAAGTATAAAAAACAGTAGTTTATTAATAGTTAGAGCATATACCTTTAAACACTACCTGTTAATCTGCATTAAGTTATGCTATAACTTGATAAAATTATAGCCTGTGCGCAGCGGCTATATAGTGTAAAGCTTTATATAACCCTACTAGGCTATAATAGCAGCACTTAATAGCCTAGGGCTTAATAAATAACTAGCCCTGCAGTAAAACCCTAAAACTAGAAACCCCCTTTACTATAAGGCTAGCCTTATATACTATATACACTTTATATACTTTACTTTATCTATATAAAAGTATAACCACTTACTACCTACCCTATATACTAATATACTAACTACTACTACTACTACTACTATTACTATAGCAGTAGCCTAAGCCTACCTTTTTAAACTATAGGAGAGCTATATGCTTACTATACTATAATTCCCTCTCCCTCCTTTTTCTTTCTTTCCCTTTTTTTCTTTTTTTACTTAGCTTTACTATAAAGCGCTAAGCAGGTAGCTATAAAGAAAGGGCAGCTAGTGCTGCTGCTACTATATAAAAGGCTAGCCTTTAAGGTAAATAGTAAAGTTAGTAAAAGTAAAAGGATAAAGGCTAAAGGCAAGGGCAGGTAAGTAAGCCTATGCCTGCCTATTAGGTGTATAAAAAAAGCAGTAAAAGGGAGAGAGGGTTAAGGGGGGGCGTAAGGCTATAGTATAATAATATAGTAAGCAGTATAATAGTATAAGTATATAATATATATAAGTATAATAAGTAAGTAAGTAAGTATAATAAGGAAGGGTAGTAAGTATAGTAGTTATAGTAAGAGTAGTAAGTATAGTTAGTTATAGTAAGTATAGTATAGTAGTATAAGTAAGTAAGTAATATAGTAGTATAAGTAAGTAAGTAAGTAAGTAAGTAAGTAAGTAAGTAAGTAAGTAAGTAAGTAAGTAAGTAAGTAAGTAAGTTAGTTAGTTAGTAAGTAAGTATTAAGAAGGATAGGAAAGTATTAAAGAAAGGAGGGAAAGCTATATAAGGCTAGGGTATAAGAAAGAGAGGGATAGATAAAGCTATATAAGGCTAGGTAGGGTAGAGGAAAGAAAGAAAGAAAAAAAAGAGAGAGAGATAGATAGTATAGTAAGTAGTATAAAAGGAAAAGCTATATATAAAATAAAGTATAAGTAGGTTATAAAGTAGTCTCTCTTTATTCTCTCTTTTTATTTTATTTTTTACCCTTTTTTACCTATCCCTTTACCTTTTTTTATATATATATATATATTATATATATATATATTATTATTATTATTATTATTATTATATATAGTATTACTTTTTATATTATATAACTATAGCTAGCTCTCTTTTTAATTTATTTTTATTCTCCCTCTTTATTTTATCTTTCCCTTTTTTATTTATTCCCTTACCTTTTATATTATTATATAATAAGTAGCTATGCTATTTACCTATTTATATACCACTCCTTTTTATAAATCTCTATTTTATTTAACCCTTCTCTCCTCTCTCTCTGCCCTTAGCCTAAGCCTAGGCCTTTTATTATATTATATTTAGTTAATAAATAGCTACTTTAGTATATTTTTAATATAGCTATAATAAGGTAGCTAATATATATATTAGCTATAATAAGGTAGCTAAGGTATATAGTAATATAACTATACCTACTTATAATTTATTTAATATAGCTATGCCTTTTTAGTCTTCTTTTACCTTACCCTTATTTAATCTTACTAGGCCCTGCCCTATCTGCCTTAACTAAATATAACTAATCTATAATACAGGGTAATGCTTCTAGGTCTGTTTAATACTATTAGGTTTATTTAATACTACTAGGTCTATTTAATACTACTAGGTCTATTTAATACTACTAGGTTTATTTAATACTACTAAGGCTGTTTAATACTATTAGGGCTGTTTAATACTACTAAGTCTATTTAATACTACTAAGGCTATTTAATATAGCTACTAGCTTTATTTAATAAGTCTATTTAATACTACTAGGTTTATTTAATCTCCTTATATTACTCTCCTCTTTATTTAACCTTACTAAGCCTTGCTTTATCTATCCTCTTTAATTAATAGCTAGCGCTTTATCTAATACTACTATACTAGTCTTTATTTAATATAACTAACTGGTTTATTTAATATAACTAATCTAATTTAATCTACTAAGTATAACTAATTTATTTAATCTTTTATAAACCTTAACCTAATGCCTAATAATATAGCCTTACTAGCTCCTGCTGCCTTTACTATTAACTAACTGCCTAACTAACTATTTAATATAACTAGGTCTATTATAACCTCCTGCTACTGCTTTTACTATTTAATCTCCCTTTACCTTTACTTATTTAACCTTATTAATAAGCCCTGCCTTATTTATCTAACTAATAGCTAGCGCTTTATTTAATACCACTAGTCTTATTTAATATAACTAATCTATTTAATAGCTATAACTAATTTATAATCTATCTCTTTATTTAATATAAGTAACTAGTTTATTTAATATAATTAATTTAATCTAATTTAATTTAATAATCTAATCTGCCTATTTAATATAACTAATCTATTTAATCTCCCCTAAGCCTTAACTTAACGCCTAATATAACATTACTAGCTCCTGCTGCCTTAACTATTTAATATAACTAGTTTAGTTAGTCACTTTTTGCTATAAATATAATAAGGGATAGTAAAAAGGGGGAGAGAAAGAGGGAGAGAGGGCTATAAAGTATATAAAAAAAAAAAGGGGGGG